AGTACAATCATTATTGTACTTCCCGTCGGGACACTTCCTGTTGTCCCGAGCCCGGTCGGGTCTTTTTGTGAGTATAAAAATAGCTGCGCGTGGTCCCAGGATAGCCCGGATCAAACGTCATAACTGACGGCTGCTTGAAACCTTGGAACGAACTTTAATATTTGTATAACATGTATAAGAACGTTGACCACTCACAGGACTTTATTGTATGTACAATATAAATGTTAAAGATCTTCAAATAAATCATCTTAGCTTTTAATGGATTAGTTATCGGCACTGGCTACGGTTACATGGAAATGTAACAAATTGAATAATAAAATAATTATTGTTACATTGGAGACTAATTGCCGGAATGCAGTGTTGGGTAAGGAACCGTTTAATTACGAGTGTAACAATAATAATTGAGTCTACGGTTATATTGCGTTATTGTTACATTAATGCAAAATAAAACTTGAACACTTTTATTTGAATTTTGCAATACAGTAATGCATACAATTTGTTATTTTTTTATTTACAATGTCAGTTTCTACAAATCCCGTATGTTGTTTATGGAAGCATATTTTAGTCCGACGCATTTTAGTGAAACCACTCTAAGCAGCCATCACAAACGAGTGATGCAGCAATGTTCACGTCTGTGTTGCATACTGTACAATTCCATTTCGCACTATCCCTTTTTGAAGTTAAAGAAAATGTCAATGTCTGTCATGATTCATATGAACAAATATTTTTTTACTCTTGCGATGTTTATATTATATTGTGAAGGCAATTCAGTGATGTTAACATTTGCCGACATGTTGAAACTGGTGGAATAAGTGCTTTCATTTTCAGAGTCCAGATATTATGGGATCGTAATTTCGTTCTTATTGGCGAAAAAAATTAAGCATCAAAACTATAAGGTTTAAGTTTAATAAATCTAGCGTACATTATAGAGCATTAATATGTAACGATAACGCAATGTAACCGTAGACTCAAATATTATTGTTACATTCGTAATTAATCGGACCCTTACCCAACCCTGTATTCCGGCAATTAGTCTCCAATGTAACAATAATTTTATTATTATTGTTACATTTCCATGTAACCGTAGCCAGTGCCTTAGTTATATGACTATATATATATCTTTGAATCATGGAAAATAGAAACGCTATATGACGGGAAAACACTATAGAGATAGACGATCAACACATCTGGTATAAACTTCACTCCCATTACAAATGCTTGTAACTAACACTGCATAGTTTAGTTCCCTAGTGGTTCAGGACAACAACGTTCGACGAATGATATTTACTAATCTGGAATGTTTCTTAATTCTTTTATGTGCCGAAATACAATAAAGTAAAAGGGAGCTACCATTTGATATTTATGGGAGGGGGGCTAGGATGTAAAATTTTGTCCTGCATTTTTTTTTAGTTGTAATCTCTGTCCTGCCTTTTTATTTTTCACTCTATTCGGTCCTGCCTTTTTTTTTATTAGTTTATCCTGACTTTTTTTACATAAATTGTCATCCTGCTTTTTTTTGCCGAGTTGCTCATCCTGCCTTTTTTTTGTACTCAAAACCCCTGTCCTGCCTTTTTTTCAAATTTCATCCTAGCCTCTAACTCGAATAATTCAGCGCCCTCTATCCACTACTTTTCTCTTTAATGGAGTGATCGTAGTGATCGTAATATAACGACTGGATTATTCGGGTTACCTAGCCTCTCAAGTCAAATATTTATAAATGAATTATTATTATTTTGAATGTCTAGACATTTCGGCACCCGTTGTAGACAATTCGCCACCAAGTCAAATCGGACCTGGTTAATTCTTCACCCAAAATTAACAGATTTTGCAAGTAAATCATGACTCTTAAAGAAAATAAATTAATTGTTGAAACAACAAACTTGTTATAATATGTAATTGAAACAAGTTCCTCGGTTTTTAATGTGATTACCAATCAAAACATTAAAAGATTAGTGAGAAAACTTCAAACAGAAAAGCCAGCTGATTATTGTTTATTGTAGATTCCACAGGTATGTGTGGACATGCTAACCTTTGGGTGCCCCTGAGTGGGAGTGTCTTGAAGTTGAATTAATTCCCCCTATGTACATGTAGTTAATTATTTATATTTTGATTTTTTTTAATCGTTTATATAAAATATTTTCACTTAGAATATATTTTGATTTTACTGATTGTCAAATATCTCAAATAGACATGAATCGAATTCTTGAACTTTCCCTTCAAAATCATATGTCACAATGCTTATGTTATATTAATTTCTTCACTCTAAAACTAATTGTTTCACTGTTAATGCCAACTGACTTCAGATCAACCCATGTAATTCATTCATGAAAAACAAGTTTAGTTTGGTGGTCTTTGGTGTATTCTGTTCAGGTCTGATAAACAAGTTTTAAAAATATTTTTTTTCATTAATCAGAAGATTTTCAGTATTGTCACATTTGTGTCTGAACAGTTCAGTATCTGGCTAATCTGTTCAGAAAGTTTTTAGAGCTGTTCTGAACAGTTCAGCATCTGGTCTAACTGTTCAGAATGTTTTTTGAGCTGTTTTGAACAGTTCAACACTGTCTGAATAGTTCAACACATTTTCAGATGTCTTTCTAAAATTAAACAAGTATTTATTCTGTTAAGAATGATTTCTGTGTCTGAACAGTTCAGGATCATCCGATCTTGAAAATATGTTCAGAAAGTTTTCAGGGCTGTTCTGAAAAATTCAGCACTGTTCGAAGAGATAAAAAAACTTTCAGCATAGTTTCAGATGTTTGTCTGAGGAGTTCAGCAATCACTGAACAGTTCAGAATATTTTCAGCTTCAGTTCAGCACTGTCTGAATTTTTCAGCACAGTCTGAACTTTTCAGAAAATAAAACAGTACTTTTTCAGCATATCTGAACATTCCAGTAAGTTTTCAGTGTTTGTTCAGAATGTGGAAAAAGTGCTTCAGCAATTATTCAGATCCTAAAATTTGGTTCAGCATGCATTCAGCTAGGGTCCAGAACCTATTCAGCAAAATTCCCCACAAAATTCAGAAATTCAGAAATTCTGTTTCATGAGGGAGGTAATTGAATTGCTGTAGTTCACTTTAGTTCATTTGAATTTTTATGATAATTTCTGTTTAATCCTAAAGTCAACTAAGTGCATTTTCTTAATTGCTAGGAAAGAGATCAAAAGTTACAAAATCGACTATGTAATATGTCGGTACATACGTAAAATCATAGATATAATGGCTATTATATCTATGGTAAAATTAAGTCTGTGTGATAATTCTTTAAGTATGGACCTTTCACCTGCCAAAGCACAATACTATTTAAATTTTACAGGAACATATGACAATAATATAGTTAAATACAATTTACCAGAAGAGAGATAGAAGCTCCTTAGGGAAATTGAAGTTGTTTGGTTGCTTTCTTCTTCCAACAACCAGATACTCTCTATTTTTGTACTCATATATTGATCCAAAATTTTCTTAAAACTCTTAGGTGAAAAAATTCCAATTACCATCTCTCCTTATACATGTACTTACAATAGTCTTCTAATAAGTCATTTAAGTATTTTATTTTTCTCTAGGGTCCAGTGGTTATCAGCATCAAATCATTTCATCAATGATGACATTGGAATGACCTTCCCAATCAATAATCCTTTTTCTCTTTGAATGATTTGAAGATAATTCACTGGATTCTCATGAACAGTCAACCAAAGACTTAAATTGGGATACCGGGTACCTACCCAAATAATTCTATCCCTCCCTGTGATCGACCCCTCATTCATGAGGTCCATGAGGGCCTGAACACTTTATACAATAAAAATGCCTTTCAAATCAAGGACTTTGACTCCAGCTCTCTGAATGAGAGAGCAAATCAGCTGGCAGCGTAATGTTACTGAGATAGGTAAATCCTGAGGTAATTCTGAATGAATAATTAATGATTTTTCATTGACCTGGCCTTCAGGCACTGGGTACTAGTAAATGGGACAGCAACCAAGCAATGCAAGAAAGAAAACCAATAGCTAAGGGCATTTAGATGTTAACATATGGTCTTTCTTCATATATAAAAGAGAGGCGAAAGATACCAAAGGAACATTCAAACTCATGTTGAAAATAAACTGACAACCCCATGGCTATAAAGAAAAAGACCAGCAGACAAAAAATGGTACACAAAACACAACAAAGAAATCTAAGGACTGAGCAACACAAACCCCATCAAAATCTAGGGGTGATCTCAGGTGCTAGGGAAGTGTAAACAAGTGTCTATACAACACATATTAAAATATGTCAAGCTCTAAAAGTTGAGTCTTGAGACTAAATTTAACAGAGCTATCATCAATACCAGATTCTTTAAATGACAGCAAAGCATACAGATCTATAAACATTATAGATGTGCAACAATTTTGTAGATAACAGTTACTAGAACTACAGCTTTTGTTCTAAAGAAGTCTTCATTTCAACAACTGACCTTTTTTTTTGCTTATTATTGTTGATTTGGTAATAAACATTCAACAACCATAGACTTGATCAAGAATTCAGTAGGTGTGATTTGATATTGACAATGTTAATGAAATAACTATCAAATCAACCCTACACAAACAACTCCTTTACAAATACAGATTTAAAATCACCAGACAATTGGACATTTCTATGCCTAAAAAACAAACAATTTATCACAAAAACCAGATAGAACTGATTGAATTTAGTATGATTGTTGATTGATTGCCAACACCACTTTCAACACTCTGAGGCTATATTGTGGCAGCCAGCTTTCAGTGTTGGAGGAGGCCAGAGTGCCATTAGAAAACCATGTCATTTGGAAAGGAAACTGGAAATCCTAGTCAATAAAGATAAGAGTAGAAAAAGCACCTGCCACATGCGTGTTTAAAACTCACAGTGTTGACTTGTGATACTTTTGATAAAATAATTAGACCACTCCGCCATTGAGGCCCCAAATCTAGTATGAAGCTTCATGGAAAATAAGTCTACAAAATATCTCTGTGAAACAGAATGATCACACACAAAACAAATAAAAGAAGTAGTTTATTCATAAACAATGTAGATAACTCAATATACATCATTAACATGATAACACTTTATGTACAGAAATCATAAACTCTTGCCACAATCAGCCACATCTTTTAATAAAAACAAATTACCTGCTGAAAAAAAAGTATTTCAAGTCTAGTGTTCTTACATGCACATAAAATTTATCCTTTTATATAATTGACTACATAATAATATCAAGTTCGTTCAGGGAGTGTCAAAAGGTCAGAGATGGAACTTGGGTCAATTTCACAGCTACAAATTTTTATTCTGTTATGAGTTTATATATATTTTATCTATAATCACCTGCATTCTAGGGGGAGATAATTCACATTAACAAAGTTATCTCCCTTTACAAATATTTCTCTTTACATCCTACAGAATTTATATTTCCTATCTTAAAATTTTGTAAGGTAAATTTTTTTGCTCTTTTATTTTTCTCATCAAAATATTTGAAACTCCCATATCAAGTGTTGCTTAAAACAAAACATATGAGAAAATGTGGTTGTTATGAAAATTTTATCGAAATAATTGATTGTTGGTGTTTTGAAAGCTACTTTCAGCATTATTGGCTATATATCGTGGCAGCCAGTTTTTATTGGTGGAGGAAGCCAGAGTGCTTGAATTGAACTGATCGAAATTTAAACTTATAATTTCATTCATTTCAATAAGTACCTTCTGACATTTCTATTTAAGGTTATAAGACAATTGTTGCATTGGTAATGAACAGATGCTTCTGCTATAGTCGTCAGTTCAATCACATTATGTTAAGCTATACATCAAATTCTACTCTAGATTGAAAGCATATTGAAATAATTCAATATTTATTTTTAAAATGCTCCATCTTGAATAAATCTTTTAACAGTAAATAAATACAAATATCACATCAAATTTATACATCTTACATCTACATCTATGATACATCAAACACTTAAATATTGTACATGTATAAAAGTTCAAGTTTCAATTATCACCCAAAATTTGTCAAGTAAAAAATACGAATAATAAATAACCAAAAGAGTTTAGTGGGAGGAGTTAACGAAGAATATTCTACAAAAAAAACCCAGTTGATCTGTTGAATTATTTCTCATCATATGCTGTAATTGTCATCGTCTATTAAGACTGATTTTCCATATTTATTAAGTTGAAAAGATTCAACTTGTAAAGAATTATTAACAGTAAATTTATAACATTATAATTCAATCATATTATATGACTATAACATTTCTGTTTTGTCAATAACTAAAAGCATAGAGAATCTTATTTTTTTAAACATTATATTCACCGCAGGAAAAATCATGCGTAAAATGCAGATGGAACAGACTATTATAAACACATTTAAATTTTACAGAGTTATCTCCCTTGAAGATCCCAGGATTATAATTGTGTAGGCCAGACGTGTGTGTTGCCTACAAAAGCCTGAATGTTTATATAAAAGGTAAATCAATCAAACTGAAAAATTCATTAAATTAAATTCATTCTCAGCAGTTTTTTCATTGCAAAATCATAATCTGAATTACATGAATAATACTAATTATACCATAATTCATACAAAAATGTGAAAACGTTAAATGAAAACTCTACAAACAGCAGTCATATTACAACAACAAAATGTAAAACAAGCATCTAATATCAAAGTTATTCATTGGATTTTCTCAATCATACATACATGTATGTTTATATATACACTCACAGTTACAAAGCAAACACTACACAATTTAGTCATAATATACTGAGTACAAAAAGTTTAGCAACAAATTTTTTAGTTAAAGTTCAAATCTTTATAATTAAGTTTTTGTGGAGTAAGAATTTCAACTTATGGTTTATTTTCTTTGTTTTAATAATTTATTCAGTGTTATGTTAAGAAGAATAGTTTATTTTTAAAATGTTTTTTAACATTCCAAATGTTTGTTGCTTAACTTTTTTTGCTCAGTATAGTTATATACATTTATTTCCATTGTGAAAGGAGATATGAAGATTTGCTCACCCAAAAAATTGCCTGTCAGATTGGAAAATGTGACTTCTCATCCATAATATCGCAGGAGGTAGTCGTGATGTTTAATGGTGAATATAATACTTAAAGTGGAATGTAAAGTTTTTTCAATGTCATGTGGGATACTCTCAACCAATCAAATATTGAGTTTACTATCAATATTTACATACAGAGAAAAAATATAATTTATTGCCATTGTGTTCAAAAAGTATCTTTGAAAATATTCTATACAAAACTTAGCCTATTTTTAACTCTTGCAAATGATTAAATTTTACAATATGTTAAAAATTTTAACAATTTAATAAAAAAAGATAATTCATAATCTTGATATGTAACTTTCTGAGATATACAAAACATATTTAAATTCTTGTAGTATCCAATGTTTCAAAACCCAATGTTTATACTGTATTATATTATATATCATGATTTGACTTATCGAATAAAATATTGTTTAAACCAAAACCCAATTCACTTTTGTTTCTGAAACAATAACTGTAATTAATTTCCCTTTTGTGCTAATCATGCGCAATAACAAATTGTTGCTTGTTAAAATAAAAATTACTGAGGTACATGTAGTAGAACTGAAAGCCAATGAATTATATTTATGGGCATATTGTTTGCACCTGTCCTAAGTCAGGAATCTGATGTTCAGTGGTTGTCGTTTGTTGATGTGGTTCATAAGTGTTTCTCGTTTCTCATTTTTTAAATAGATTAGACCGTTGGTTTTCCCGTTTGAATGGTTTTACACTAGTAATTTTTGGGGCCCTTTATAGCTTGCTGTTTGGTGTGAGCCAAGGCTCCGTGTTGAAGACCGTACTTTAACCTATAATGGTTTCCTTTTATAAATTTTGACTTGGATGGAGAGTTGTCTCAGCACTCATACCACATCTTCTTATATCTATGTAAATTTCATGGACTACTGGGGATGTATTATTATTCGTGGGATACCAATTTCTCGTGTATTTCGTGGGTAAAGGTCAACCTCAAATTAATATGTTTAACAAACTGCTAACTTTTTATAGGCTTATGTGCAGACTTTGGCAAAAATATGAAAATATAATTTTTCCTTAATTCCCGAAAATTTATATCCACAAAAATAAATGAATCTACAGTTATTATTTGTTAAATAGCTTGCATGTAAAAAAAAATTCTGGATTTGTACAAGGTAGGTCAGTCTTTGCATTAAAACAGCAAATCTTAAACATTACACATGTTAAGGTAAAAATCAATACCAAGTTTTATAAGTAAAAGGAAAGAATTTTAAAATAATGTTTGCATAATCATTCATACACAGTAATGAAATATGAATTCAAAGATTCAAAGATTATATTGTACATTCAGTCACACCATGTGTGCTACTAGACTGAGCAAATACATCATATAACGTTAAACATTAAGATGGTTACAAATAGTAGATATACAAAATTGTCAAAAGAATTTTTGAAAAGATATAAAATACAGCATAATAATTTTTCAATACTGGTTCATTACATAAAGACAATAATTTTTACATTTTGATTAGGTTTGGTATAAATTGTGACCTAAATCTACAATATTACACACATAAAGATAATGAAATTCATCACCAATGCAATTTTTGTTATCCAATGTACAATTATGGTTTCTTTTGGGTGTGTATATCCATCTACAAGTTTCAATTAATATTTTAATATTTGATCAACTTAATTTTCATATTTGAATTCTTTTGAACACTTGCTAACTATTTTTTCTCGCAAAGGTTATGATTTTTAATATATAGTAAAGAATGTCCATCTTGATGGAATTTTTCATATCTAATACCCATTTTCGATAGAACCCTCCCCCTCCCCCCAAAAAAAATTCAGCAATTTAACAAAAAAACATGAAAGACTATACAAAACAAACACAACAAAACAAAACAAAAAAAAAAAAAAAAAAAATCATTAGAATAACCAAGGAAACTAGCTAATGAGTAACAAGACATCATTTCTGTACAAAAAATACGAAAATAAAGTAAATTAAATATAATCAACCAGTTTAACATTTTCATTCAAATGCACTGGGCAGAAAAAACAAAACAAATTTATATATAAACTTTATAAATAATAATCTACCTCCAACCACAACCTTTTCATTTCCTTGCTATATTGAACACACTCATACAGTCATATGCATACAGTATAAATACCGGCATGATAAAATTAATTCCAAAATTCTAATTCAAGTATTAAAGTACCAGCCACAGTTTTTTTCCCTTTTAATGACTAATGTTTATCTTATCTTACATTCTTACACTTGAAAATGCCCATCCATCCAAAGTAAAAAAAATAATAAATAACTGAGGAATTAATTTTAAATGACCGTAAAACAAATTTATATAACATTAAATATCAGCTGCATTTTTATTAGTATCACATTATATGGAATGGTAAAATTCTACTGGTTCTTCACATTAGAGTGAAAGGTCACTTCAGGGGTCAAAACCAATTACCTACAAATATGTACATCAATAAACTTGATTTGGCTTATTCCAAATGAAAGTTTGGGGGTTGGGGAGAGAAGTTTAATCATTGGGCATGGGTCATAATATGTTGGTATTTGAGGGGTGGGGGTGGTAAGTCCCTCAATGCCCTCCTACATCCATTTAAAAACCATACTTACTCGTCAATGTCAGAACAAAAATATGTATAATAAAGACTCTGGTTATATTGCTTTCTATTATCTTTAAGTTTTACATGAAAAACATGTCATTCTTTTAAAGAAAAATTGACTATATACATGCAATCAATACAAATGATCCCTTTTTTATCATATTAACAAGTTTATGAAATCTATGTTGAGCATAAGTGAAAGAACAAAATAAATATTGCACCTGTCATCAATATTAAAACAGCAATTTCTACAGATGATCAATGATATACTTTTTCTAGATTTTGTGCTGCTAGTTTTTAGCCAATTGTTTCAATACATAATCAATGGGGCTCTAGTAGAGTCAAACCCCATTGGTCACCCCGTTTATAAATTGCCATAGGTCACCAGGTCACTTTCAATGACATTTGACAGGTCTATGTTTTACAATAAACCTGTGTAAAAGATCCCAGGTCTCTTTAAATGAGACATTAGGTTACAAGGTCTTCTGCCAACAACTTAAGGTCCCAAGTCTGATTATACCATGTTAGAGTCACATCAATATATTAATTAAAACTAATTAGTAAACTGATTCAAGAAATTTCTAACAAACTGAGGTCTCCAAATTTGATTGACATTTTTCTGGCTAAATTTTAGTTTTGTCAGACACTTTAAAGGTGTCTGATCAAATATCTGATAGAAATTTATCACAAAACTGCTAATTAATATCTGGGCAGATTGTTTTTTAATACTGGCTAACATTAGATGTTTTAAAGTAATTACAAAAATTACGAAGTGTTCAGACCAAAGTTTTTCTGGCTATGTTGATATAAACATGTTTTTGTATATCACTTCTTATTTTGAATTACTAAAGCTACTACCGTGTTATGAGACATAAGGCTAGCTAGTGAGACAGACACAAATAAAACCTTGTCAACACATATGAAATTATAAATAAGTGTTCCCCAACAAAATATAATTCAATAAAAAAAATTAAAAAAAATTTTTTTTCAATACAAATTTTTTGAATGTTTCTCCTCAGAAAAGAGTTCTCATCAGCAGTGTAATATCCAAGGTCTGATTTTTACCAAGCAAGTAATTTCTGTGAAAAAGGTGACACTTTTAATATGGCTTACACAAGTTGTAATATATCTACCATCTTTAGGTCTAGAGGCTATTTTATACAATAGTTAGCACATGGGGCTTGTGTACTGTTCACTACATAGTCCTACTGTTTGTTTTTTTACAATCATCAGTCCTAATGAGTTTCTTTTCTAAGAATAATTTAGAACCAAGAAGAGCATTCAAAAATTTAGTACATGGGTTATTGAGAAAATGAAAGACAAATGTCTAATTGCTTCTATCAACGGTACACATTTTTTATCAGCGCCACCTCTTGTTATCCTAAATGTATAAACTGTGCAGCACAAGATACTGTAAATTCAGAAATTTTTGCTATTTTTATCTTATCAAGGAAAATTGCAACATAACCATGATAACAGGTTTTGCTAAAATAAAAACTCAAATTGTGAAAGCATTATTTGTATATATTATTTCCTGACATCACAAGAATTAATCGCACATTTTTTCAGCTATTCAAAAATCACCATTATAATTACATGCTAAAATTTCTGAATTTACAGTAACTGAAATTATCTAAATTATATTTAAAATGCATTAATTTGTACAATAAAATAAACAGATCAATCAATATGTTGGGGCCATCCACTGTAATTCTGTTCGATATGCGTTTATTTCCATAGGTTTGAGAGACATTGTTTCTCCACTCTTAATGCCTCTTTGATCATAATTCAGCGATAAAGATGTTTCTTTGGTGTTTTTAAATGTTAACTCTCTAAATAAGCGAAGGAATGATATCTGAAAGAGAAAACAAGATAATAAAGTAATTATTTCATTAGCTGAAGGGATAGGGTGTCTGTAGATTAGTGGTTTTGGTTGTTTGTTGATGTCTATCTAGTTATACAAGTTTCATTACATTTGATTGAGGCAAACTTAAGTTTAAGTATGGAAGATACAAATTCAGCAATTTTTCTTTTTATACAGGGATATAACTTGAGAGCAGTGAAAGTGATGCCATTATCATTCAAACTTGATCTGTGTTTGGTGGTAATGAGCATTGTGTTAAAATTTCATTACATTTGGTTGAGGCAAACCTAAGTTAGAAAACGGAAACTAATTTCGGGACTGACAAGACTTAGTGTAAACCTTATTGCCCTCTCAGCTAAGGGGAAGGAGCATACAATTTTTAGAAAGTGGATTCCTCTTTCACACAAAATTCAAAATATAAGTATTTCAGAGTTCAGTGGTCACAATATTTTATTAAAATCACATATAATTTTTCATCTTCAATTCAACTTGATTCATCATTAATTAGGTTGTGCAATGCCTGCCATCCTCTAAAAAAAGTGATTTCTAATCGGAAACATTTAAAGAAATGCTAATTCAATTCTACTTTGTCCTATAAAGTTATTTTGTAAATAAAATCAAACAAACCAGCAACTCCCCTTAAAAAAAAAAAAAAGACAAAAACTCAAATAAATCTTACCTTTCCATCAGAACTGTCACATTTTAACCCTCGATTTGGGAAATTACAATCGAATCCTAAATGATGAAGTAACATTGCGACATCTTTTCTTGGTTTAAATCCATGACTTGTGTCATCTTCACTATAACGTAGTGATCTCAAGTTCAATAGATGAATTTCACACGGCAAGGTTTTCTGCATTGGATTAAAGTTCGGTAAAAGTGGAATGCTGTCAGACTCACTATTTTTAGGAATGACAAAGATTGGTTGGATGAGCTGTAATGAGGTTAGGTGAGCTTGAAGAGATGGAAATCCGGTTATTTTTTCTCTTGCCTGAAAAGATAAAATAAATATATTCAAAGATAATTAATTTTCGGTCCTCAATGCTCTTCAACTTTGTACTTTAATATGCCATTTAAGGATGGTTGCTACTCTTGTTTTTTTTTTACTTCTTGTCAGATATTCGGAATCCTCTAGTTTTATCCATGGTAGTGACATTAAAAATTCTGCCCACTAACCCCTACTTTTCTTTTCATAATCTTTTTACATATAGTTTAAAAAGCCATTTTTGAAAATTTTATTAAATCCTTGATATTTCTTCATAGTTTTTGAAAGAAAAAAGGTGCTAATGTTAAATGTATCAAAAATCTAGAGAGAATCATTTCCCGCCAAATTTTCAATGGCTTATATCTCAAAAACAAGCACATAGACCCTTAATTTTTATCTGCTTTTTTAGTTCCTTTATTTATATACTATCAATTTATAACAGTCTTTTAAAAAGCTTGTTATTTTGAAACAGGGTAGCCAACATCCTTAACTTTTATGATATGAGCATCACTGATGACGCGTTAGTCTTTTGTAGATGAAACATGTACAAAATTATAAGCCTGGTGTCTTTGATATGAGCGCCACTAGTGACGCATTAGTCTTTTGTAGATGAAATGTGTACAAAATTATAAGCCTGGTGTCTTTGATATGAGCGCCACTAGTGACGCATTAGTCTTTTGTAGATGAAATGTGTACAAAATTATAAGCCTGGTGTCTTTGATATGAGCGTCACTGATGATGCATTAGTCTTTTGTAGATGAAACGTGTACAAAATTATAAGTCTCGTATCTTTGATATGAGAGTCACTGAAGACACATTAGTCTTTTGTAGATGAAACGTGTACAAAATTATAAGCATGATGTCTTTGATATGAGCGTCACTGATGACGCACTAGTCTTTTGTAGATTAAACATGTACAAAATTATATAAAGCCTGGTGTCTTTGATATGAGCGTCACTGATGACGCACTAGTCTTTTGTAGATGAAACGTGTACAAAATTATAAGCCTGGTGTCTTTGATATGAGCGTCACTGATGATGCATTAGTCTTATGTAGATGAAACGTGTACAAAATTAAAAGCCTGGTGTCTTTGATATGAGCATCACTGATGATGCAATAGTCTTTTGTAGATGAAACGTGTACAAAATTAGAAGCCTGGTGTCTTTGATATGAATGTCACTGATGACGCACTAGTCTTTTGTAGATGAAACGTGTACAATATTGTAAGCCTGGTGTCTTTGATATGAATGTCACTGATGACGCACTAGTCTTTTGTAGATGAAACGTGTACAATATTATAAGCCTGGTGTCTTTGATGTGAGCGTTACTGATGACGCATGAGTCTTTTGTAGATGAAACGTGTACAATATTATAAGCCTGGTGTCTTTGATGAGTTCTGTTTTTACTTTACTCTGTTAACAATTTATTTTTATACTGAATTTGATTATCTCTTTGGTATCTTCCACCTCTCTTCTGTAATTCACAATGTACATCATTTTTATCTGAACAAGAATGCATGTGTTGTCGTGTTAAACATACCCCAACTCGTAATTCAAACTAAAATAAACCAGAAAATAGGTTTCTCACAGATCTAAACACTTATCAACAAATCACTGTTGAGCTGCGACCAAATAAAGTAATTCTGTTTAGCAGTTCCTGAGAAAAGTGTGACACATTGTTTCAAGTCCTTTGAACATATTGAAAAAATTGAAGTATTGGAAAACAGGATGTTGGTAACTGACATGTTACACCTCATTACTATCAAGCTACTGACCAAATGTGATTTCCTTCTGTTTAATAGTTCCTGAGAAAAGTGTGATGAAAATATTTGTTAAATATACAGATGGATGGACAAATGATGAAGAGTTGGGGTATAATAATTGAATATTCTTATAAATAACAAAAGTATCCCATACTATCAAAAACAAAAAAATCATTCTTACTCAAGATAGTTTTAAAGATTGAAAAACTACATCTACCTTGTGACCCATTTCTTTTGATAAGTGATTTTCAAATAAAGAACAAACATTTATTGGCTCTTATCTTTAGTTTTTGTAACTATTTATATGAATCATAATCTGTTGACACAGAGGTATGTCTTGCCTTTTATCTTGTTTTGATAGTGTAATGTAATTAAATGGGAACACTTGAACATTTTAGCCATGTAAGCTATGCATGCAGAACATTCAAAGTAAATGAACCATGCCTGAAGGTGCCAGGCCAAATTAAAAACATAGAAAAAGTTAATGCCAATACAACTTCATACCAAATACTATCGACTTATTATAAATGGTTCCTTTTAAACTGACCTAATCTGTAAACTAAATCTTTGCAACAGTTACAAAGTCAATAGGCCACAATTTGAGAGCTGAGGTCAAATAATCTCCATGGAAATGAGATGTGCTTATTTATTTATGCTAATACAACTTCATTCCAAATATCCTTGACCTATGACTTGTGGCTCCTGTTTAACTGACCTAATCACAAACTTTGTAAAATTGTTAACACAACCTTTGTCTGAAACAGCATGCATAAGTCACGCCTTTGGGAATCTGTCAAGTAGAGACAAAAACCAATGCATTGTGAGACACAGAACAGGACAGCTGCCTATGTTCCTAGCATCAGTGAATACCTACCCTTGGCTTTAGCCTCTTTTCAAACAAGAGAGCAAACCTGTTAGGTGTATTTTTATTATCATGAACAGGCTGGCCCAGACCTCGGTTGTCATCCTGGTTCAAACGTCGGTCCATCATTATCTCTATCTGACCTGTAAGCATTATAATATATTAATACAGTGAAACCTGGGGAAAACTAAGGGAGACAACAAAAGTCTATTAATACAGGTTCAATCTATATGAAATGCATTATAGAGGGACCTAATAATTAATGGTCTTATAACACAGGGTTTTGCTTAATACAGGTGGTCTCTTAATCAGGTTTGACTTTACTTAAAACTTTAGTTTGAGATTAAATCTATTGCTGGGATGCTGGCTCCTTTCAGTCATATACTTCGATTGGTTTTTATTCGTCGGATACAAACTTCTGTGGAATTCTTTTGTACTGGTAAACATGAATTCAAATGTTCAATGTATAAAAATTCTTCTATAGGCTTGTTTGCCAATATTGGCAAAACCACAAAATCAAATATCCATGAAATTGAAAGTTTTCCTCCATCCACGAAAGTTGGTTCCCAAAAAAATCAATGAATCCACAGTAGAACAATGACATTTGCAATTACTTGTTCCTATATTTTGACACCATGACATCAAACAGATAAAGCAATTTTGAATGCTACCAATATTTATAAAAATAAGAATTTGCATGAATTGTCATGCAAAGTATACCCCATTGGTTATTTAACATGGACAACAATAACATGTTTAGTAGTTATAAATCTCACCAAACAGGAAGAGACTACGGTGGCCTAAGTAGTTCATCTATAGCAATCGCTAACCTATCAAATCAACACTGAGGTTGTGAGTTGGAACCTCACACTTAGCAGGTTTGTTCCAGTCTGATCTTTATTGACAAGGACTGCCAATTGTCCTGCAGAAGGTTGTGGATCTCTCCAGGCACTTAGGCTAACCTATCAACACTGAGGTTGTGAGTTGGAACCTTGCACTTAGCAGGTTCGTTCCAGACTGATCTTTATTGACAAGGATTACCAGTTTTTCTTGCTATGGTGGTAGTTCTCTCAAGGCACTCTGGCTTCCTCTACCAATAAAACTTGCTGCAACAACAGTGGTGAAAGTGGATTTAACACTAACACTTAATCATTACGGTACTTACCAACATCTAAGCTAGCCATGCCTAGTGACTGACCAGACAAAACATTAAATCTATAACTATCATCTTCAATAAAAGCTATGGATGGCATTGGGTAAAAGTTGGCCTGGAGTGGAATTTTGTCTAATGTCTTGTGCTTTATCATCTGAAATTGAATGATTGAAGATATATTTGAAATAAATTTTTCAACACATCAAGTTTTTCTTTAAACTAGAGGCCCTAAAAAGCCTGTGTTGCTCACCTTGGTCTACGTGCATATTCAACAAAGGACACTCTCCAACATTGTAGACAAGAATAGAATTCATGACAAAAATCTGTTTTGTTGATCTTGTATTGCTGATCATTTAACCTGTTTAGTTTCTCTCTATCTTCTTTAGATTTTGCTCAAAAAACAAAAGAGGATTAAAAAAAATCCTCATTTAGGGCAATCACTCCTATAAAGAGTCACAGTCTACTTAATTATATCAGCAAAATTTGACTTGTTAGTAGATCTTGACTTGCTGATCATTTCTGTGATTTAAAGTGAATCTTTATCTATTATAATTTTCTATCATATATGACAAAACACACAAAAAAAAGGTGAAAATCGTCTTTAAAGGGCAATAACTCCAATAAGGAGTTGTCTGACCATTTCCTCCATATTGTCGATTTTGTTTTGCTGATTATTTTTGCCTAGCTAAGTTTCTATCAGTCTATTATAGTTTTAAGATATAAGGCAAAAAACGCAAAAAATTGGTCAAAATCATCATCAAAGGGCAATAACTCTGATCATTTTAAAGTTTCTCTGTATCTATTATAGTTTTCAAGATAGAAGGCAAAAATGAAAAAAAATGGTAAAATTTGTCATTTAAGGGCAAAAAATCCAATAAGAAGTCTTCTGACAGTTTTGACATGAATGGACAATTGGTAGAGCTCAACATCCCGAACATTTTTGTTCATGTCAGATTTTCTCTCTTTATAATGGTTTTCAAAATAATAGACAAAACTTGCATTTTACCCCTATGTTCTATTTTTAGCCATGTTGGCCATCTTGGTTGGCTGGCGGGATCATCAGACATATTTTTTAAAGTTGATACCCCAATGATGATTGTTGCCAAGTGTGATTAAATTTGGCAAAGTAGTTTCAGAGGAGAAGAATTTTGTAAAAGATTACAAAAATTTACGAAAAATTGACTATAAAGGGCAATATCTCCTTAAGGGGTCAATTGACAATTTTGGTCATGTTTGACTTATTTGTAGATCTTACTTTCTGAACATTATTGCTGTTTACAGTTTATCTATATTTATAATAATATTCAAGATAATAACCAAACACTGCAAAATTTCCTTAAAATTACTAATTCAGGGGCAGCAACCCAACAACGGGTTGTCTGATTTGTCTGAAAATTTCAGGGTAGATAGATCTAAACCTGATGAACATTTTTACCCTGTGTTGTATTTGCTCTAAATGCTTTAGTTTCAGAGATATAAGCCAAAAACTGCATTTAACCCCTATGTTCTATTTTTAGCCATGTCGGCCATCTTGGTTGGCCGGCAGGATCATCGGACACATTTCTTAAACTAGATACCTTAATGATGATTGTAGCCAAGTTTGGTTAAATTTGGCCCAGTAGTTTCAGAGTAGGAGATTTTTGTAAAAGTTAACAGACGACGGACGACGGACGCCAAGTGATGAGAAAAGCTCACCTGGCCCAGGTGAGCTAATAAAAGGATATGAAGGGTATACTTTAATGAGAAAGCAACCAAACAACCCACTTTATAAACAAAAAGACATCTATTGGGCAACATACAGTCTTTACCAACAGATATCTATTGGGCAACATACAGTCTTTACCAACAGACATCTATTGGGCAACATACAGTCTGTACCAACAGAGATCTATTGGGCAACATACAGTCTGTACCAAAAGACATCTATTGGGCAACATACAGTCTTTACCAACAGACATCTATTGGGCAACATACAGTCTTTACCCAACAGACATCTATTGGGCAACATACAGTCTTTACCAACAGACATCTATTGGGCAACATATCGTCTTTACAAAAAGACATCTATTGGGCAACATACAGTCTTTACCAACAGACATCTATTGGGCAACATACAGTCTTTACCAACAGACATCTATTGGGCAACATACAGTCTTTACCAACAGACATCTATTGGGCAACATACAGTCTTTACCAAAAGACATCTATTGGGCAACATACAGTCTTTACCAAAAGACATCTATTGGGCAACATACAGTCTTTACCAACAGACATCTATTGGGCAACATACAGTCTTTACCAACAGACATCTATTGGGCAACATACAGTCTTTACCAACAGACATCTATTGGGCAACATACAGTCTTTACCAAAAGACATCTATTGGGCAACATACAGTCTTTACCAAAAGACATCTATTGGGCAACATACAGTCATTACCAAAAGACATCTATTGGGCAACATACAGTCTTTACCAACAGACATCTATTGGGCAACATACAGTAAAATTGAGAATGGAAATGGGGAATATGTCAAAGAGACAAAAACCCGACCAAAGAGCAGACAACAGCTGAAGTCCACCAATGGGTCTTCAACACAGTGAGTGAATGAAAGATTATGTCTTCATCATATGAAAATCAAGTACAATCCCTCCCATTAGGGGTTTAGTATCATACCATCATAAAATATATGAGAAGAACATAACCAGTATCATGCCAACAACTGGTTTTAGAATAAATGTGTTTATTTCCAATGCAAAGACCCTATAAGTAATCAATATTAATACCAAAATGTGCAATCCTTAATGTCTTGACAACAGTATCGTAACTATATCCTTTCCGAATAAGTCTGTTTAAAGGTTTGGTTAGCTTTTGAGGTGAATGCAGACATTTTTGTGCTTTGTAAAGAATATTACCATAAAATATTGGATGTGAAATACCTGAACGTATAAGATGTCTGTATGTTGATTTATATTTACCAATGATCTTTACCAACAGACATGTGTCTATTCTGCTCTTTGGTCAGGTTGTTGTCTCTTTGACACATTCCCCATTTCCATTCTCAATTTTAACTCATAATTCAAAGTATCAGAAAACAAAAAATAGGTGTCTGACATTAAAAAGGGAGCTTACACATTACAACTTATTACCTTTAAGCTGCAGACCTAAATATCGAGTTATTTTGTTCAGCTGTTCCAGAGAAAGGTGTGAATAAAATATTTATTCAACACATTGAGTATTCATAAACAGGAAGTAGGTGTCTGACAGATCCGCAAAACACTCAAGAATTACAACTCATCACTATAAATCTGCTGACCTAATTATGAAGTCATTTTGTTTAATTTGTTTAATAGTTGCAGACAAAAATGTAACAAAATACTTGTTGAACATTTGTCGAGCTCATTTAAGTCTCTGTTATTTGCAAAAAAATATGTATGTTGCCTGCAGTGTCCCAACAACATAATGTTATTCCAGTTACACTGTATACTTTGTAGTGAAATATAAACATTTTATAACCTTGTCAAATAATTACCTGGAAACCATTAAGGTCAACAAAGAATTCTCTGTCTGTGTTCTCTATGTCAGTGTTAATCCTCATGGCTGTCTCAATGTTACCACCAGTACTACTGATGTCTACCAGGTTATATATATCTATAGCACTGCCATCTGTACCTATAAATAAAAATCTACCAGGTTATATATATCTATAGCACTACCATCTGTACCTATAAATAGAAATGGCTACCAGGTTATATATATCTTTAGCACTACCACCTGTACCTATAAATAGAAATGTCTACCAGGTTATATATATCTTTAGCACTACCATCTGTACCTATAAATAGAAATGTCTACCAGGTTATATATATCTATAGCACTGCCATCTGTACCTATAAATAGAAATGTCTACCAGGTTATATATATCTTTAGCACTACCATCTGTACCTATAAATAGAAATCTACCAGGTTATATATATCTATAGCACTGCCATCTGTACCTATAAATAGAAATGTCTACCAGGTTATATATATCTTTAGCACTACCACCTGTACCAATAAATAGAAATCTACCAGGTTAGGATTGTGAGAAAATTTCAATAATTGTAATAAGGGGTATAGAAGTTGCAGATACAAATGTGAAAAATCCTAATTTTTAAATAATTTTGCAATTATTTTTTAAAGATTATTCATTTGTCATTTCAGGGCCTTTTATAGGTTACTATGCCTTATGGGTTTTTCTCATTGTTGAAGGCCATAAAGTTACCTATAGTTGCTACCTTCTAGTCATTTGATCTTGAATGGAGAGTGGTCTCATTGGCAGTCATACCACATCTTCTTATTTTTACATGGTGTGCAGATATGACAAAGTCCATGTCATCCCAAAGTCACCCCAAAAAATTCTTCGGATAAAATAATGAAACAGGTGCGAAAGTAAATCATGTCAGTTAGATTCTGTAAAAGTTCATGAAATTCTGTCAAATGGTTCATGAGCACTTGTGGAAACAAAAAGTAGGACATAATGATGAACAGACTAACTGATGAACATACTCCATCATCACTATAAACTAGCCACTTCAGAGGTATAACAACAACTAATGGTGTAAAATGATGTGTAACATTAACCCTTTTAAATTGCCCTAACAAATTAAAGAACCTTTGTAAGCATGCCCGCATACCACATGCCCCCAAATTGTCACTGGGCAAACACAATCTCACTAGATTCAGACTAAGTTCAAAGACCCATAACTCCTACAAAAATCATTGATAAAAATTTCTTGTGGATATGCACATCTACATTAACTATAAAGTTTCATGGAATTCTGTTCTTTGGTTTCAGAGGAGTTGTGATGACAAAGTGTTGCAGTAGTACATTTAGGCAAAATTCTAGTTCAAAGGGGGCATAACTCCTAGAAAAATATTGAATCATAATTTCCTGTCAATATGCACATCTACATGGTATTTAATTATCATTTACAAGGCTTCATGAAATTTTGTGGAGTTTCAGAGGAGTTGCAATGACAATAACAGGACTGATGGACGGACAGGTCAAAAACATTATACCCTACGCAACTTTGTTGCTTGTGGTATAACAAGAATAATATGTTACAATATCTGGCCTGCTACAATATTGGAATTATTTCAAGGTCAAGGTTTTCCTAAACTTAGAAATTGGTCATCTGAAACCAGTCTGATACATATGTACTACTAATTATAATTCCAATATAAAATGTTATTACTAAACCAGTATGTTTCTATCCCATCACTAATTTAAGGAAGGTGCTACCTGAGGTTAAACGTTTGTTAACAAGTGGATTTGCATGTATTTCACTTGTCAGCCACAATGCCATGATTCTACCAGGACTTACCAGGAGAAGTGAGAATTCTAACATGTGACTTGTCATGTGGTCGTGAGACTTACCAGGAGAAGTGAGAATTCTAACATGTGACTTGTCATGTGGTCGTGAGACTTACCAGGAGAACTGAGGATTCTAACATGTGACTTGTCATGTGGTCTTGAGACTTACCAGAACTGAGAATTCTAACATTTGACTTGTCATGTGGTCGTGAGACTTACCAGGAGAAGTGAGAATTCTAACATGTGACTTGTCATGTAGTCGTGAGACTTACCAGGAGAAGTGAGAATTCTAACATGTGACTTGTCATGTGGTCGTGAGACTTACCAGGAGAACTGAGGATTCTAACATGTGACTTGTCATGTGGTCTTGAGACTTACCAGAACTGAGAATTCTAACATTTGACTTGTCATGTGGTCATGAGACTTACCAGGAGAAGTGAGAATTCTAACATGAGACTTGTCATGTGGTCATGAGACTTACCAGGAGAAGTGAGAATTCTAACATGTGACTTGTCATGTGGTCGTGAGACTTACCAGGAGAACTGAGGATTCTAACATGTGACTTGTCATGTGGTCTTGAGACTTACCAGAACTGAGAATTCTAACATTTGACTTGTCATGTGGTCGTGAGACTTACCAGGAGAAGTGAGAATTCTAACATGTGACTTGTCATGTAGTCGTGAGACTTACCAGGAGAAGTGAGAATTCTAACATGTGACTTGTCATGTGGTCATGAGACTTACCAGGAGAAGTGAGAATTCTAACATGTGACTTGTCATGTGGTCGTGAGACCTACCAGGAGAACTGAGAATTCTAACACGTGACTTGTCATGTGGTCTTGAGACTTACCAGGAGAACTGAGAATTCTAACATGTGACGTGTCATGTGGTCTTGAGACTTACCAGGAGAACTGAGAATTCTAACATGTGACTTGTCATGTGGTCGTGAGACTTACCAGGAGAACTGACAATTCTAACATGTGACTTGTCATGTGACTTGTCATGTGGTCTAGAGACTTACCAGGAGAACTGAGAATTCTAACATGATGTTCTGTATACTGGTGGTACACTACAACCTCTGACACAATGGGGCCTCTTGTTATTCTTATGGTCGGTGACACATAGTTGATAGTCTGCCAAAAAAAAATGAAATAAAGACTATTAAAGAATCATGCTTTTTCATTTTATGTGTTCATTCCTTCCTTTTCCTTCTTTTTTCAGAAATTTATAGCCAAATAAGTATAATATTATCTATAGGCTTTCAATGAGTGAAAGATAGGTACCAATAAATATATTCACTATAATATATATAACTAAGCTTACATATCACAAAAATTGATTCAACTTTTTAAAATGTGCATGTATATGTTTAGTACCTTGCTACAACTTCATGTGTCAGAACAGAATCTCAATGCTTGACAGTGTCCTTTTATGGTATTTTTGTCTATTCATGATTTGGTGTTAATATCTAACTGTCAAGTTCCTCTTGTGAAATCAGTCACAATATGTTTAGCCTAAGGGTAATTTACAGTTTGGTGTATGATTTCAGTCCCTTTTCACTGTTAAATGTAATGTACTGACCTTCAAATGGCTACTTACTTATGGACTGTATGGTTGTTAATTACAACTTCATTTGAGAATCATTAGACTAGACTATGTCAGATTCACTATTTTGTTTACCACATGGATTCATTTATATTTGTGGGTAAAGATTTTTTTATATTGAATTTTCTTTGATTCTTGAATTCATGCTTTTGACAAATCCCCTCCCCCAATCTTTTTTCTTACCTTTGCTGGACCATCAAGTAAGAACAGGAAAGCTCCACTCTTCTCCTTACCATGAGATATACCATACGATACAAATCTGACTATTGCTTACCCCCTCCCATCCCGTTCCCCAATCTTTTTTCTTACCTTTGCTGGACCATCAGGTAAGAACAGATAAGCTCCACTCTTCTCTTTACCATGAGATATACCATAAGATACAAAGCTGACCTCTATCTTGTGTTGTTTCCCATCATCCTTTGTTGTCACAGACTGTAATTAAAATTTAATTTACACAAATATTTACATTTTACTGTCGGGGCTGTTCCAGAATTAAATGGAAGGGCATGAGAAGTACTTTTTTAGACACCAACCACCCAAAGAATAACATTTTCAATTTACTACATATAATTCTTGCAAAATTCTAAGGAAAATGCAAACTACCTACTATAAAAAAAGTTTGAGTGCCTCCTATCCTCACCACAATCAATTTTGTAACAGTACTGATGAAACACAACTTTACATGACCTTTTTACCTTTTTGTACTTTACTTGGTTCTAATCATGAGGAATGTTTTAATTGCAGGTTTTAATTTACATGTTTTGTAAGACATCTGGTATATTATATAAAAAGACTCTTTTGAAAAAGCTAATTTCTATCCTGTTTCACTGGTTATAATACTGTGGATTCATTTTTATTCGTGGTTTACCAATTTTTGTGAGTTTCATGGGTCACAGCTAACCGTGAATTTAAACATTCAACGAAGATTAATACAGAGAAATTTGTATTTAGTCAGATTTTTATTTCCGTATATGTTGTGCAATTCTAGTACTAGCAGAGTGTTGACTTCCATTAAACATGATAACATAACACATGTTTTGGAAATAAAATAGAAAACCATTTTGATTAAATAAATAATAAAATCTTAAGAATATAAGTAAGAATTAACCTTTTAAAATTGACTAAAATTGTTTACAGGAAATAACTGCAAGTTGTTAATTACCATGTCATAATTTTGTTTGTTGGTGATTAAGTACGGGAAATTGACCATGTGTAATGTTGTTACTGACAGAAACATTAAATTTCACACCTTTGACTTTAAAAAATTGACAAACTTTTAATAAGGTAGCTCAGGTAGGACACCAGTTGCTTTTCAAATAAAATTTCTATAAATTGCCATTGAAGCATAAACAAACAAATAATAGTTACCATTGTCCACACTTGTGATCTAAGTTTTAAATGAACACTTTAACCTCTAATGACCAAGCGACGATTTTAACAATTCAATACATTTCAATTACTTTCTATCTTTTGTTTTATAATTATTTAAACAGAGATCTACAAATTAATGTATCTGAAACATTTTTAAAAAAAATTTCAAACAGGGATCAAAGAATTTACATATCCGACGAAATGTCTTTTTTCCTCTAACCTCGAAAAATTGATACCCAAGAAAATACTGTAAATTCAGAAATTATTGCTAGGTTTTTATTATCGCGAATAATGCGACTGGGTGATATTCGCAATAACTAGATATCATTGAGATGGGAGCCATCTCTGTGGGCCCCGCTGTGAATAATGTGTGGTAAAAAATTTGTATCTTTATCATTGGACATGGGGTTGTCAACTGAAACCAAAGTTTTTGACCTTGACCTTTGACCTAGGAAGTTGTACATAAATCATGACACACCCTCTGGTGTTGGTTAATACAATTGTCAAGTCTTCTCTTCTTGAGACATCCCTTTTAGTAATCCCCATCAGTAAAAGAGGATTGAAGGTACTTCTTCATAAAACAAAAAAAGAAATGTCCCCCTCCGCTGTGTAAATGAGGAGTAAAATTGTATAGAGTTGTACAACAGGATCATAGCTTACATTACAAAGTTTATTTTTCAAGTTTTTGTATTTGTTGCTGTTTTTTAATAGGCAGAATATGGTTTTATTCTGCTTTATCAAAGCAATTTATACTCAAAATCATATTTCAACATTGTAAATTTTACCTTCAGAAAGCCTGTACTTCCAGAAAACTCAGCTTTCAGGAAGGAATTTTCTATGGAGAAATCTTTTTCTTGTTCTGTTTTGATTGTAAATGAAGATCTGAAGAACACAAAAATGTACTGTTATTTCATTTATTTGCCAGAATAGAAGAAACTTTTTGTGATTTTTTTTATTTCATGGTCTTTACAAATTTTGCTTACAAGTCTATATCAAATTCTATGAAAACAAGTTCTCCATGAATTAAAATGATTTTTTACTCAAATATCAATTTATAACTAACAAGAATGTGTCCATAGTAAACGGATGCCCCACGAGCACTATCATTTTCTATGTTCAGTGGACCTTGAAATTGGGGTCAAAACTCTAATTTGGCATTAAAATTAGAAAGATCATGTCATAGGGAACACGTGTACTAAGATTCAAGTTGATTGGACTTCAACTTCATCAAAAACTACCTTGACCAAAAACTTTAACCTGAAGAGGAACGGACGGACGGATGAACAGACGAAGGAACAGACGCACAGACCGAAAAACATAATGCCCCTAGGTGGGGCATAAAAACCCAGTCTTTGGCTATTATACAATATCTTCTTATTTTTATAAGTATTACTTATAATACATGTACAAATAAAATGCACAAAAAAATCATATCAAGTTAAACATTTCATCAACACTTGCAGAACCACATAAAAACGCATACTCTCAAGGAAATGGATTTATACATGAAGAACATTTAGGTTACCAGGATGCTGATCATTGAAATTAATCTTTACAACATTGAAATTATTGCTGAATATGCATCAATTTTCAGTTCTATTTCCACTGAAGGAATCTTCCCAAACTTATCATTGTTTGTATTGTGCCTATCTAACTCTTTAATTTCATGAAGAATTTTCTGTAATTTATAAATAACTGATACTTACTGTTCAGGAACATTTTCAGCCTCTGTGTTGTACATTGTTACTCTCCCATAGGATCTGCTTCCCTTACTGATCCTCTTCAGTAAGTAGGTAGTGCTACCTAAGGCTGGAACATCAACAACAAATGACACCTGTAGCAAATTTGATAAAAATTGTTAAAATAAATTATATATATTCACATCATTTGTAAACACTTCAAACAAATAGAAAAACAAAGGATATGGGGTATCCATCTATGATACAAAATCAGTACATGAACACTAAAAAAACACAAAAAGCAAAGGAACAGTGCTTTTATTGCGATTCGTATTCCCTGCAAATTTTTTTCGCACAGACTAGGTAAAATGTTTCACCACCAAATTGTGCCTGGTAAAAAAAGAACATACTGTAAAGTAGTACATAGTTAAAACAAAATAGTTCCTAAGCATAGGTGTAAATATAAAACTAATATTTTTAGTAATTAAGGTATTGAATAAAAGGTCATCCTTGTAGAACACATATTGACTGATGATTTTGAATAATACAAAAATGTATGAATGAATTCTAAAATTGAGGGCATATATTGCCTGTTTCTTTCTCAACATTTTTATTAATTCATTTTTTTATTAAAGCATTTGGATCAATAACTATCAAAATCTCAAAATGTTCACTTTCTAAATTTTTCCTCTCTCAGCTCATTATTGATGACCCTTTATTTTTGCAACACTTGACCCAAACAGGAAGTTGTCTAAGTAACTGTCTTTTCTGGAATGGACTAAATAGCAATAAGGTGTATTCTGTAAACCCCTCTTACCATGGTTACTTTCAACAAATTATGATAATTTCACTGAACTGAACTAATTAAAAATATAATATGACTTGAACAGATTTCCAATGAAAAAATCTCACCAAGAATTCTTCAGGGGCCATTCTATTCTTTATAACCCAGAATGCATCAGTCTGAGATGGAACATCTGCACCATTGCCATCGACAACCAGGACATTTTGTGTATTTACATGAACTGTTACCACCTGTTCTCTGTTGTGAGCCAAGGAATTAAAGAAGATAACTGGACTGCAAAATAAATTTGGAAAATTGGTTATTGATTTACTGAGAATGGATATCCCTTCCCTACATCTGAATATTTACAGCAATGAAAATTGAAGAGTTTTTCCTCATTTTTAATAGATCATGTCTAACTTTTTGTGACATTTTTAGGCTATTTAATATACCATTTCATTTGTAAGTTAATTGTCAGTAAAACTAGATATTCTTAATTTATAAATATATTATAAACATATCTTGATTAAATCAAATGAAAAAAAAACTGTACTTTGAAACAATTCAGGAAGTGAAATACATATAATTATTTATACAACAACAAACTGGCATTTCCTGTAAATCTGCAGAATTTTTCAATTTTTGTCAATTAGTCTAACTGCATTGCTGTACCGGTATTACCAATTAGGGATATTTCAGTAGCCAGTTCTTTCCGATTTTTTATTTTGTTTTGTCTTTTAACATTTAAATAAATTCAGTCATTTGAATCACTAATTTTCTGATTGTTCTTTTTCGTTACACAACAATCATGACAATGTTCTACTAAAAAGTAAAATAACAAAAATACCAAACTCCAAAGAAAATTTAAAACAGAAAATCCCTCATCATCAAAAGCTCAAACTTATCAGGGTGCTCTTTTCACAAAAATCCATAGTTAGTTATACTAATTTGTTCATGATTTGCAATTTTTTACTTTTAAGATTTTTTGTGATAAGAGTAGTGGCCATCTTAGATTTCAGATTTAACAAGTTGAACTTTGAGCTATTGCTGAATAACGATACCCTAGCTATAAGTATTTAATAAAGTGGATAAGCGTTGAATCTGAAAATGCATCACAAAGTAAAGCATGCTCACATGAAGCTCTGGTCCTGAGAAAAACATAACAAAACTTTTATTGGACGGAAGGATGAACAGAATGACTGAAGGATGTACCTACAGAAGTTAATCAGTATACCCCTCATTTCCGAGCGGGTTAATAACTAGAGGCTCTCAAGAGCCTGTGTCGCTCACCTGACTCTACTTTGGTTTTAGAAATCATGTAAAGATAGATAAAAATCATAACAGATACCCAAATAATGATTGAGGCCAAATTTTGATTAATATTGGTCCTGTTATTTAAAAAAATATCCTGGTGGCCATCTTGAACAGTAAATCGGCAACAAAGTAGCAACACTTGGTCAGCACTTCATAAGGAACATTCATGCCATGTTTGGTTTCATTCCATTCAGTGGTACTCTAAAAGAAGACATGTGTATGTATTTCCCATAGGGTCCTATGTTAAACTAAGTTCCCCGATGGCGGCCACTTGGTCAGCACCTCATAAGGAACATTCATGCCATGTTTGGTTTTATTCCATTCAGTGGTTCTCTAAAAGAAGTCATTTGTATGCATTTCCCATAGGGTCCTATGTTAAACTAAGTCCCCCACTTGGTCAGCACCTCATAAGGAACATTCATGCCATGTTTGGTTTTATTCCATTCAGTGGTTCTCTAAAAGAAGTCATTTGTATGCATTTCCCATAGGGTCCTATGTTAAACTAAGTCCCCCGCTGGCGGCCATCTTGGATGATGGATCCGCTACAAAGTAACAACACTTGGTGAGCACCTCATAAGGAACATTCATGCCATGTTTGGTTTCATTCCATTCAGTGGTTCTCTAAAAGAAGTCATTTGTATGCATTTCCCATAGGGTCCTATGTTAAACTAAGTCCCCTGCTGGCGGCCATCTTGGATGATAGATCGACTGCAAAGTAACAACACATGGTCAGCAACTCATAAGGAACATTCATACCATGTTTGGTTCAATTCCATTCAGTGGTTCTCTAAAAGAAGACAATTGTATGTATTTCCCATAGGGTCCTATGTTAAACTAAGTCCCCGCTGTCGGCCATCTTGGATGATGGATCGGCTACAAAGTAACAACACTTGGTCAGCATCTCATAAGGAACATTCATGCCATGTTTGGTTTCATTCCATTCAGTGGTTCGCTAAAAGAAGACATTTGTATGTATTTCCCATAGGTCCTTTGTTAAACTAAGTCCCCTGCTGTCAGCCATCTTGGATGATGGACCGACTGCAAAGTAACAACACTTGGTCAGCACCTCATAAGGAACATTCATGCCATGTTTGGTTTCATTCTATTCAGTGGTTCTCTAAAAGAAGACATTTGTATGTATTTCCCATAGGGTCCTATGTTAAACTAAGTCCCCCGCTGGCGGCCATCTTGGATGATGGATCGGCTACAAAGTAACAACACTTGGTCCCAACCTCATAAGGAACATTCATGCCATGTTTGGTTTCATTCCATTCAGTGGTTCTCTAAGAGAAGACATTTGTATGTATTTCCCATAGGGTCCTATATTAAACTAAGTCCCCTGCTGGCGGCCATCTTGGATGATGGACCGACTGCAAAGTAACAACACTTGGTCAGCATCTCATAAGGAACATTCATGCCATGTTTGGTTCCATTCCATTCAGTGGTTCTCTAAAAGAAGACATTTTTATGTATTTCCCATAGGGTCCTATGTTAAACTAAGTCCCCTGCTGGCGGCCATCTTGGATGATGGATCTGCTACAAAGTAACAACACTTGGTCAGCACCTCATAAGGAACATTCATGCCATGTTTGGTTTCATTCCATTCAGTGGTTCTCTAAATGAAGACATTTGTATGTATTTCCCATAGGGTCCTATGTTAAACTAAGTTCCCCGATGGCGGCCATCTTGGATGATGGATCGGCTACAAAGTAACAACACTTGGTCAGCACCTCATAAGGAACATTCATGCCATGTTTGGTTTCATTCCATTCAGTGGTTCTCTAAAAGAAGTCATTTGTATGCATTTCCCATAGGGTCCTATGTTAAACTAAGTCCCCCGCTGGCGGCCATCTTGGATGATGGATCGGCTACAAAGTAACAACACTTGGTCAGCACCTCATAAGGAACATTCATGCCATGTTTGGTTTCATTCCATTCAGTGGTTCTCTAAAAGAAGTCATTTGTATGCATTTCCCATAGGGTCCTATGTTAAACTAAGTCCCCCGCTGGCGGCCATCTTGGATGATGGATCGGCTACAAAGTAACAACACTTGGTCAGCATCTCATAAGGAACATTCATGCCATGTTTGGTTTCATTCCATTCAGTGGTTCTCTAGAAGAAGTTCAAAATGTAAAAAGTTAACGCCGACGCCGGACGACGGACGCCAAGTGATGAGAAAAGCTCACTTGGCCCTTCGGGCCAGGTGAGCTAATAAAAGCATTAAATGATTATATTTTACCTTCCTTCATCAGTAACATCAATAACTGTTTTTTCTGCCAAAGAATCATGATTTTCTCTGCTTTCATCCTGTAAACAATAACATCATGAATACTGTATACAAGTATATGAAATTGTATACTGTAAACTCAGAAATCATTACAAGATTTTTATTATTGTGAATTATGCCACTGGGTGAGTATCGCAATAATAAGAACTTACATTCTGAAATCTGACACATATATTTGTATGCAGCTTTTCCAGTAATCACAATAATTATACTCAAATTTTTGTCTTTTCTTCCATTGACTGATATATCCACTGTAAACAAACACATGCGAAGTCCCTGTGAAGAATATTTCCTTAAAATATACCATTGTTAATCTTTAACCCTTTAGCTTAGACAAAACTGTTGGGGAATCCCAAAATGAACCAATGAAATTCGGTTTTACAATTGAATAATCTTTCAACTCATACATTCCTGTTCTTTAAAAGGTATATGTGTTTACATTATGATGATTTTTACACGTGTTTGGAATGCAATTAAAACAATGGCCTATATGAATGGGCTTCTTTGTTCAAATTGAACAGCAAAAGTGTAGAATTTGAAGGATTTATGCAATCAGATGTTGATGAAAGTGAAGTTAAAAGAATATACCAGTAAGAACATACCAAGTTAAATATAGGTTTATCATTGCTGTACTTGTAGTCAGACTTAGACTTGGCTGTCAGGTATGTCATGGACTCAACTATAATCCTCTTGGCATTCATTAAGGCTTCTAACATTCTGAAACAGATGACATATCATAAAGCCAGATATCACAAGGATGTGATTAGACTCATCCAACACTTTTTAAAATTTTTTTTTTTACCAATAATGTCATATGACTCTGATTTTAAAAGACATCCTTGTCATAACACATATTTTTGTAATTATTTATCATGCATTTGTGACCTACTATAGTAGTTAATTTCTGTGTCATTTGGTCTCTTGTGGAGAGTTGTCTCATTGGCAATCATACCACATCTTCTTTTTTTTATATTTGTTTTTTCCAAGCTACTCACACATTAAAACATTGCTAGGATACTCTTAATACTTCGTAAAAATTTGTATTTACTACCATTGTTGCATTTTTAAGTTTTTGCAGATTATAAGATATATTTGAAATCAATACTATTTTCTAATAAAAGAATCCAGCATTTTTCATACAAGCCATGAATACTTGATTTTGTGGTTTTTACGAATTCTTCATACAAGCCATGAACACTGGATTTCCTGCTTTCTACAAATACTTCATGCAAGCCATGAATACTTGATTTCGTGCTTTTTACAAATTCTTCATACAAGCCATGAATACTTCATTTCGTGGTTCTTACAAATTCTTCATACACACCATGAATACTTGATTTCATGGTTTTTACAAATTCTTCATACAAGCCATGAATACTTGATTTCATGGTGTTACAAATTCTTCATACAAGTCATGAATTCCTAATTTTTTTTATAACAATAGTACCAGTTTTACAATTCAATTTACCTTTTACCATAATCAATGACAACGAAATCTTTAGCGGTTCCTGTGATACCATCATGATGTTGGAACAGACCTAAGGCTCTCCTAGCTGTCACTAACATCTTCATCAGAGCACTCTCAGGGAAGTTAGAATAAGCATCACTTCTACTGTAAGCTGTTGCCATGGTAAAGGCTATTTCTGCTGATCTAAATGAAAATAATAAATGACAAATAAAGTAACCTTAAATTTTAGAGGATTGTCTTTTCCTCATTTTTCAATTGACCTCCACATAGCAGGGGTTCAAATTAGCGGTGGTCCGAGGTCCGCGACCTTCCACTATTGCAATCGGACTTTGGCTTTGGTGACTAGCTACGCCCGACGGACCTTCAATTTGAAAGAAAATAAAAATTAACTTTGCTGACCTTTTTAACCATCAGTATAGTCATTTCAAAGCCATATTACTATTGACATCGTATACCCCTCCATGGATAATTTTTTCTAGCATTCAACAGGGTCTGGTTTTTGGACCCATTTCCCAATGGCAAATACCCTACATTTTGCAGAATTTTGGGACCAAAATTTCCAAACGATCTCAAAATTTATTTTTTATCTTTATTATTCATGACAGCGATGTTCATTTTGTTCAACTGCTAGCTTTATACCGAAAATCGCCAACTAGTAATGTGTAAATCCGAGTAAAATCGTATCTGAATGACAAAAACAACTTTGAAAAACAATGGATGTCATAAACCGGAAAACAATTACAATACCGGATCAAATTCCGGGGGCGGATAAGGGCAATTCCGGGTTTGCTGATCAAATACAATAGAAAAAATAATAATTCCAGGCAGATGACAAAATACATCTATGATGATGAAATATAAACACTAGAATTGAAAACCAAGATATATGGAAAAGAAAGAAAAAGCAGGAAATATTTTATACAGAAACTCAAAATTACTTTTAGTTCACAAATTTTCATGTCAAAATCCAATAAAATGTGACAGTAATTTTCTTTATCCTATTAATAAATGTTGATATTACATGTAGATACTTATAATAGTGTAAACATATTACTACAATTCCAAGAGGTAATTTCTTCTCAATTTTTAAGGGCCAGTAAAAATCTGGAAGTTTCTTACTTTATTTTCACAGAGGAACTAATATAATAGTGCAACTAGATATGATACACTTAAACAGCTTTGAATTTGAACTGTTACTTTAATTAAAATTGAGAATGGAAATGGGGAATATGTCAAAGAGACAACAACCCGACCAAAGAGCAGACAACAGCCGAAGGCCACCAATGGGTCTTCAATGCAGCAAGAAAATCCCGCACCCGGAGGTGGTCCTCAGCTGGCCCCTAACTAAAATTGTGTGCTAGTTCAGTGAAAATGGACGTCACACTAAACTCCAAAACATATAAATGAACTAAAATTTAAAAAAAACATACTAGACTAACAAAGGCCAGAGGCTCCTGTCAGACTTGGAACAGGTGCAAAAATGCGGCGGGGTTAAACATGTTTTATGAGATCTCAACCCTCCCCCTATACCTCTAGCCAATGTAGAATGTCAGATGTCAGAATAGGTAACAAAAGAAACTAAGTAAAATGACAATGATACATAAATGAACAAAGGACTACTAGCAGTTACTGACATGCGAGCTCCAGACCTTAATTAAACTGATTGAAAGATTATGTCTTCATCATATGAAAATCAAGTACAATCCCTCCTGTTAGGGGTTTAGTATCATACCATCATAAAATATATGAGAAGAACATAACCTGTATCATGCCAACAACTGGTTTTAGAATAAATGTGTTTATTTCCGATGCAAAGACCCTATGAGTGAATCAATATTAATACCAAAATATGCAATCCTTAATGACTTGACAACAGTATCGTAACTATATCCTTTCCGAATTAGTCTGTTTAAAGATTTGGTTAGCTTTTGAGGTGAATGCTGACATTTTTGTGCTTTGTAAAGAATATTACCATAAAATATTGGATGTGAAATACCTGAACATATAAGATGTCTGCATGTTGATTTATATTTACGAATGATGTGCTTGTACCAATGATAAAATTTAGTAAATGTTTTGACTAGTTTGTGATATCGAAAACCCTGGTGTAATAATATTTCAGTAATACAGAGATTTCTTTCGTTGAAATCAAATACTTTGTTACATACACGAGCGAATCGAACAAGTTGAGATATATAAACACTCAGATATAAAAATTGTATACTCGGGTATGAATTGAACAATATAAAAAAAGAGATACATATAGCCCTTTATATTATAGTAAAAACCAAACATTGTAGTGCCTTGAGTGAGCACTTCTCTTCCAAATCTCACCACTTCTCCCTATCAGTTTCAAAAAGAGAAGTCACTTCTCCCTATGATTCAGAAGTAGTGTGAGCCCTGAGATAATGGTATAATTAATAATTAGAGACAACACACCCATCCACAGTGACAACCTCCCCAATACCAAAAAAAAATGATTATTTGAATTCATAATATACAAGACAATTACATTTATTATTAAACATGTTAAACAACACATTAATTTTGTATCTTACTGAGTTATAAAATATTTCAAGTAGGACCTGGAATTTAGGTTGTGGGCCTTTAAGTTTGGAGTGTCAAAGGTCCTGGACCTTCCAGTACCAAATGTTAATTTGAACCCCTGCATAGCATTGCATAGAGCAACCTTCCACGACCTTATGATAACTTTACTTTATATTTTTTTTGTCTTTTCAACTTTTTCATTTGATACATCAGTTATAGTCATTGAGAAACAGACATCACTCATCTGAACCTTACATCTAGAGCATGAACTTGAGGACAAGGCCAAATGAAATATGTCAGACAGACTTTGAAGGCCGTAGAGTTGACTATAATTGCTTACATCCACTTCATTTCAACTTTGGTGATAGTTATCTCATTGGCATTCATACCACATCTCCTTATTTTAATATTCTACTCTCACAACTAGTCCACATACAAACATTGGAGACCTATAGGAACAGACATCATTCTGAACATTAAACCTGACCACTTCAGCATGGTGGGTCGAAGTCATGTGACAATCAGTGTCTGACATGGTTTCATGAGATACCGTCTTACAAATTTTATTATCCTAGGCAAAAGCAAGGATAAAATATTGAAGTTATTTGCAATTAGTTTACGCGGCTGCTGTCACCTCCAGAGGAATATCTTTTAATATTTTACAATATCCCCATTGCCAGCAAAGGAATATCTATGTCTAACCTAACAATACTTTCATTGCAGATGAGACAACAATGACTATCAGAATGTCCTTAACTGTAAACTAACCTTTGATGATATTCAAGTACCCTGTCCAGTCTTTTATAGAATGGTCTTGATGTATAATATCCACTCCAGTAATGTTCGTCCCGGTCAGCATATGTAAAGAAATCTCCACTTAAAACAGGATAGCTGGGTGGCTTCTGTCCATATTCTACATCATTTACTTCATATAACTTCTTAAAATAATCTGTTAGCGTTCCAAACTGCATCTGAAATTATAACAGAAAGTAGCTATGGTAAATCAATTAAAACTATTGCTTCATATTCTTCTAGTGCTATGTTTGTGGTAAAATATATTGTAGTCCACTGTTTCTAACAACTTAAAACTATACTTTAGTAACTCTTCTGTACCAGTTAATACAGAAGATATTGTATACTCTTAACTGAAATTTGACTAATAATAAATAAAGTTCAGTGTCAGCTTACCTGTGTATCCAGGTCAAATTTGCTTACATGGGTATCAAAGTCAAAATTGCTTACCGGTTTATCAAAGTCAAAATTGCTTACCTGTGTATTAAGTTCAGATTTGGAGTTAACATAGTCAAATATCTTCTGATAATTAGTGTACTGTTTTTCCCATTCGTCTCCTCTGTCATAACGGAAGTCATCACCGATTGGTATAAACAGTACATTACTTCTGTACAGCTCAGCTTTTTTCCTATACTGATCAAGTAGTGTAAGAGATCTACAATGATCAAATACTGTAAATTCAGAAATTATTGCGTGCATTTATTATTGCGATTTTTCAAGAATGGACAAAAATGCGAGATCAATTATTGCGATATCAGGAAAATCTGCATACAGGTATATGTAACAGATATCTGAATGCGAGTTCTTATTATTGCGATAGTCACTCAGTCGCATTATTCGCATTAATAAAAACCTCACAATAATTTCTGAATTTACAGTATACTTCTGTTAGTACTATCAAGAGGTTTGAGGGGACTGAAATTTCAAATAGTTTCATTTTCATTTTTTCCTGGTACTTTATTCTGATCTTCCTAATAGAACAAATTTACACAATGGAACTTTTTTGTGATTTATCTCCAATCTCAATATCAGAAAAACTAAAGCTCTTCATGATTTCTTCATGCCACTCTTAACAGATGTCCAGAAACACATATATGTAACAGTCACAGCAAATCCCATGCAGGATTATTCAAAGCAAAAACATATTTGATTACTTTTATGCTCGAAGATACAGAAAATTACATACTTTTAAAGGAATTAGTTATGAGGAAATTCAGAGCAAAGTTACAACGTTATTCGTTTCAAGCTGTATTTATCGTGTTTGAAACAAAAAATTATACATGTTGGGAATTCATTTAACGAAGAAATTCTGTACAAATTTGTTGAACAGTAACCAAATGTGGCTCAACATTTCACTGTCCCTAACGATTGCTACTTTCTTGTAAGGCAAATGACATGCATAAAACTGAAAACTAATTAACAAAAATATTAAAAAACAAGAATGTGTCCATAGTACACGGATGCCCCACTCGCACTATCATTTTCTATGTTCAGTGGACCGTGAAATTGGAGTCAAAACTCTAATTTGGCATTAAAATTAGAAAGATCATATCATAGGGAACATGTGCACTAAGTTTCAAGTTGATTGGACTTCAACTTCATCAAAAACTACATTGACCAAAAACTTTAACCTGAAGCGGGACAGACGGATGAACGGATGGACGAACGAACATACGAACGAACGGACGCACACACTGAAAACATAATGCCCCTCTACTATTGTAGGTGGGGCATAAAAATAATCTGACTAGTTACCTTTCTTGAACATTGCCTTCATGAATATGTACAGGTGGTACTCTCCATGGACAGCTCCACCTACTGGGAGAAAGACGACCGAAGTCAAACTGACAACAAACCTTAGGGTCTGGACCACATGTGTGTGGCACATCATAGGAATAGAAGGGCATCATATGGCACAAAATATCTGTGGATCCATCCTGATCTGTAAAACAGTTACAATATTACTTCCATATACTGTGGTTTTATTTATTTTTGTGGTTACCAATTTTCATGGTTTCTGGAAAAATTGATTTTTCATGGATTTCTTGGTTTTGCTAATCTCTGCATACAAGTCAATAGGAATTTTGTACTTGGTAAAACGATCAAATTTGTGGTTCACCTTTACTCACAAAAATCAGTCTACCACGGATAATAATGGATCCGCAATACATATAAGAAATGAAATCAGTGACTTGATCATTTTTCACAAGCTGTACTGCTCATGAAATGGATGCATTAAATTTACCTTTTTGTTCAGTTTGTCTCATAAATGTAGCCTTCATGACCAGAATCAAAATAAAGAATGTTTAAAGAAATAAAAGACCCCTTCATCCATACCCTCTTATATTAGGACATATCAATAAGAAGTGGTATCATGAATCATTACACTGCAACATTCCTCGTATATCAACTGTTTTTAACCATTTTTGCCATTTTTGCCATTGACAATGTTCCAGTGTTTCCAAAATATCCCTTAATGCTAATGCATTTGCTTCTTAACAGTATTAAAATTGAAAAATACAAAATTGCCGATAAATGGAACTCATGTATCATTTGTAATTACCCCAGTTTTGTCTCCTGTCAGTATATATTTTAAGATACAATAGTAATCAAATTACCCCAGTTTTGTCTCCACATAAATTCAAGTTGTTTTTCTTTAGCTAGGACTTTCTTTACTGCATAATGGACTCTCTGTATTAACATGTTTTTGAAGTTCATTTTCTTCAGTAGGTAAGCCATGGTAGGAGTGTGTCCAAAAGGATCAATGGCCCAGCCAGATTCTGGTCTCACTCCTGTAAAAAAACAAGAGATCAATTATGTAACAGTATTTATATACAGTGAATTAATCATGCTCATATTTAATAATCAAAACATTAGGTAAAAATATTTAGAGATACCATTGTTATATTTAAATTGGTTATATATAAATGTACCTCAAACTGATGAAACTTGCAAAATTTGACTTATTTGATGTCATTTAAAATAAAACAGCAGTTAGTCACTTAACCCTTAGTCTGCTGCATTCATTTCTATTGTACTTTTGTGTATTGCTGAATAAAATTTTAATCACTGATGAAATGAACATGTTTACTTACAATTGCAATATCTTTGTAAATATTGAATACATGTATTCATCAATAAAAGTTATATACAATAGTATTGTTATATTCTGTATTTTTTTTTTATTTATTTCATTTTTGTGTGAGTCTCTGGTCATTTATTACCTGTACAGGTGCAAATAGAGGTAAACAAAGGTAAATTAATTTTTTTCATGTTTTATTAACGCGAATCCATCAATGTAAAAACTTTTCAAAGGTATCCATGACTTCAGAATTGACACCAATATTGTTAAAAATCTCTTTTAAGAACTAGTTCCATTGCGATTATCAAAAGAAAAAAGTTTCTTCTCGGACCAACGTTTTTTTTTATGCAACTATTTTCCGGTATTTTCCTTCCTACTTTCGACTTTTACTTCCATGTACAAATATGTTTTAACAACAAGTTCATTGATATAACTTTCGTCAATAAATAATCTTGACAAACATAATGTTTGAATCTATCGATGTCAGTGATCAATATTGATTCACAGTTGAAAGGCGCAATGATAAACATAGCAAATCCTGTTTCATGTCATCCATTTCGAACATCGTCTGGGGAATCCCCGTGGTTCCCGTTTTAAAAGTCTTCTGTTCACAGTTTTGCTAGAATGTTTCTATTTCCATCTATTATATATTCTGTTCTCGTCCAAATCATTTAAATTGGCCGCCGCTGTTACAGCGTTATCAATGAAATACTTCTGAACGTGTTGGCCTTCACTCCAAATAATTTCCGCCATTTTGTTACTTTTTTCATCTAAATTTTTCACTTTAGGTTTCATCGCTTATACCTGATTTAAAGTCAAGAGAAACTCAAAAGTACGCCGAATTTTAACCAATCAGAATCAATACAAGTCTAAACTGCCGCAATCTCATAAATATTGACTCCGCCCATTCCATGGTAACTGTGTAAACAAATGAGATATGGAAACGACAATAGTTGCGCGTAGCAGTAGCGGACTGCTTTATCGGAGCGATAATAGTGGCGCATAGCAGTCTAAGGGTTAAGTATAAAACTGTCATTTTCTGTAAGTTCCAAGAAAGTTCAACTAATTCTGAACAAAAAACAGCAATATTACTGAAATCAATTCAAAAACTACAAAAAAAATAGTCCATAGGATAATGTTTATAATGTCTTAAAAAAAGTTTTACACAAGAACAAGAATGTACCAACATTGTAAATTGTAGAAGATCATGTGTTGATATGTAGATGTCTTTTACAGGATTTACTGTGGTTGGTATATAGCCTACATTTCCTTTTTAGTCACATGAGAATTTGTTTTTTCTTTTTTGATTTTTTCTTACAAAAACAATACAATAATGCTTTAATATGAAGATGGTAGAACTGCTTTATTCATTTAAATAAGACACTGAAGTAATTTGCATACCTAGTGTTAAGTTCAGCCATTGGTTGCCTTCAATCATCTGATCAATCATAGCAAAGTAATGTGTATTGGCTTCGTCATTCATCACCCAGCCTCCTGTTATTATCTCAAACTGACCTTTCTCTATCAATCTACAAGTTCAATGTATTGTATATAAAGGAGCTAACTTGTCATATTCCTTGTAGTACAATGCAGGGTATTTTATATCAATTTAACCCGTTATCATCTAGAAAAATGCTTGTAGTACTTGCCACTGAACATTATAAACACTTATCAATCAATCAATCACAATTTTCAATTTGTTTAATCACAGAAAATTAGCATAGTCACATGACTATTGAAATTTTAAATTAATTTCAGATCAACAAATGAATTTCAAAAAGCAAAAAATGTCAGTGACTAATTTCCAGATTGAAATGAAAATATATATTTATTATATACTTAGTAGTAAATACAGGTAAATTGTGTGTGTAATACAATTAATGATAATTGTGCTGTATCAGCCATCCATGATGATATCGATATCAGTCACCATTGCAAAGGCTTTATCAAACCCCTAATCTGTATGACGTCATGGTAATAAAAACTTTATCAAACCCCTAATATGTATTACGTCATGTCTCGTGAAAAATACATAAGAGAGATTAGTTGTACTTGAGGTACATGTATATAGTCTCATTGGCACTCATACCACATCTTCTTATATCTATATAATAAAAGTGTATATGATATGGCTTTTTCAATATCACACACCGTATCAACCCTCAACCAATATAATCCCTCGAGCAGAGCTCTTGGAATTATATTGGTTGTGGGTTGATACAGGTGTGATATTGAAAAATCCATATGATATTCTCTATCTATATAGTATTGAAGAAGAATTAACCAAACATACAGATCCATAAAAGACGAACAATGAACCCTAAAAAATGTCTGTATGTACAATATGGATATTTAATGGTTTTAGAGGCATTCTTAACATTCTACATGTTAACAGGGGGTTATCAAAAAATTTCTGTAAAAAAGTTTTAGCAAACTTTAATATATATTTTCTATTTTTATCAATTAATTTTCCATTATAACATCACTACTTAACTTGATACAAAAAGAAACTATAAAAAAAAAATCCATGTTAAGATTATTTGAAAGAGGTTATCAATTTACAATGAAGTAGGAGAAATTGCAAAATACTAACAATAAAAGGAATTACAAATTATTGATTTAAATTAGCACAAGGTAGATGTCTCATGAATTAATAATTGAACTCTATACATGTAACTAAAGGTGTTTTCATGTGCAGTTAATCTTGACAAACATAATCAATAAAATAATTTTATTTTCAGCCAAAAAAACACCCTTATTACATCACTGTGTAACATGTGCATTGAATTAAGTCACATGTTGAGAGCATGTGCACAAAACTTCCTTTTCATAAATATAAACTATTGTTATCATTTATTAAGGTAAATGTGATGAATTAAAACCCTTATCTTTTATCCATTTTCTTATATCCCGGTATACATAAATGAAATAACATGAAATGGAACAATATTTCATAAAAATAATTAAACAAAGGATAAACGCTTAATGCAAGAGTTAAATAACTTAATGAACAATAACTTAACATCATAGTCTCCTCTATGGCCAAGTTTCCCTTAACAACGTTGCCAGAATCTTGACAAGTCCCTTCAGAAGGATGAAAGTGTTAGAGAAAGAACACTTGTATTTCTAATTAATTTTTCTTGAATATATATGACCTTCTTTTTGACCCTGTTCTTTATAAGACCTACTTTTTGACCCTGTTCTTTTTCTTCTGGTCAATCTGGCTCCACCACATAGAGAAGAATGAGACCTCTGCATACATAAACTTCATTTTCGGATAACTTTCTAACTTATCCACCATGTTATCTAATATTCCTTTCACCTGATCATTGAAGTAAGTATCAAGTGTCTTTACCCAACCTGAAAAAACATTATAATCAGAATAACATGAAATGATCAAAATTTAATCCTATAAATTGGACTGGGTAACTAATTTTTAGAGTTTGTTTTTATGTTGTGTTGTTACCTTACTGTCCCAGGTAAGGGGGAGGATTTGATGCCCGCAAACCCTGCCAGATTCTATATGTGCCTCCCCCTAGTCAGGAGCCTGTAATTCGGTGGTTGTTGTAAGATACTGTATATTATATTTCGACCTGTTAGTCAAATGCGTTTTGTTTAAATATACTTTTTCACTTTTTCTGTTTTTTGTGCTGTATTGAGACCCCTCTACCAAGCACACGTATAAAAATTGCGGTTTTTATCCAACGCAATCATAGGTTTGAACGTTGTTTTCAATTTAGACTTATTTATATTTTGTTTTTGTACATAAATCAGGCCTTTGTTTTCTCATTTTGATATAAAAATAAGAAAATGTGGTATAATTGCCAACAAACAACTCTCAAATTGTTTTACATTTTGTTATGTCTGGGCCTTTTATAGCTTGCTATAGGTAATAGTTTTGCTCATTGTTGAAGGTTGTACAGTAATTTATAGTTGCTTAAATTTACAGCATAAGGTCTCTGTTGGATAGTTTTCTCATTGACATACTAAGGTTTTAGTCAGGTCAAAACTAAACAAAAATTTCTGCCTTTCTACTAAACCTATGTCTGACAGCCAACCATAAAATAACTTATTTCCCTGTCATTACGCCACCTTTAACGTCATAACTCTTCATTATTTTTGAGGCAATGACTGACAATAAAGCCTATCAAGTAATTTATAAATAACTTCAGCACATCAGGACTGTGGAGTCATGGGTATAGAAAAACCACAAATTCTATTATTCCACAAAGTTCAAATTCCTGAAGATTTGTGTGCAGAATTTGGTATCTAGTGGATAGTTGCCTCATTGGCAATCATACCATATCTCCTCACTCCTATAAATTTAGAGAACAGACTTTAAACAAAGATTGCCAAGTGATGGTAAAATCTCACAATGGCACTTATGGTAAGGCAAGCCAAAGATAAAAATGATAAAGCATACCATCTATCATAATTTTCACAATAATAGGCAAAAGCAGGAAGATTAGTCTAAAATTTTAATATAAGTTGATAAACTAATGCTTTCAGTCGTGTAACAATTTTGTAGATCTTGTTCTTCTGATCTATTTTGCTGTTTATAGTTTCTACCTATAGCTACATGTATGTATCTATTATAAATTTCCAAATTAATGTGCAATGTCCTTTCACAGTATTTATTTTGGTCATAACTAAATAATATTGTCTGTTTTTTTTGGGCTTATGATTTTTGAATTCTTCTTTTTCTTTTTTTCTCAATAGAAGTTGTCTGATGGAATTTAGTTATGCGATTTCAGAGGAGATTGGTTTTTAAGTTTATGACAATGGATGAGGACAAATGTTAAGTGATGGCAATAGCTCACAGGCGAGCTTAACATTAATTATTATATTTATCACAAAGTGAAAGAACTGTCATTTTAAATTGTGATTCATAACTTATACCACCAGCATAGGTATAGGCCTTGTGTATAACCTGGGTCACAATGTGATTGACATGTATATGCCTTGTGTATTACCTGGGTCACAATGTGAGTGACATGTATATGCCTTGTGTATTACCTGGGTTACAATGTGAGTGACATGTATATGCCTTGTGTATTACCTGGGTCACAATGTGAGTGACATGTATAGGCCTTGTGTATTACCTGGGTCACAATAAGAGTGACATGTATATGCCTTGTGTATTACCTGGGTCACAATGTGAGTGACATGTATATGCCTTGTGTATTACCTGGGTCACAATGTGAGTGACATGTATATGCCTTGTGTATTACCTGGGTCACAATGTGAGTGACATGTATATGCCTTGTGTATTACCTGGGTCACAATGTGAGTGACATGTATATGCCTTGTGTATTACCTGGGTCACAATAAGAGTGACATGTATAGGCCTTGTGTATTACCTGGGTCACAATGTGAGTGACATGTATATGCCTTGTGTATTACCTGGGTCACAATGTGAGTGACATGTATATGCCTTGTGTATTACCTGGGTCACAATGAGAGTGACATGTATATGCCTTGTGTATTACCTGGGTCACAATGAGAGTGACATGTATATGCCTTGTGTATTACCTGGGTCACAATAAGAGTGACATGTATATGCCTTGTGTATTACCTGGGTCACAATAAGAGTGACATGTATAGGCCTTGTGTATCACCTGGGTCACAATGAGAGTGACATGTATATGCCTTGTGTATTACCTGGGTCACAATGTGAGTGACATGTATATGCCTTGTGTATTACCTGGGTCACAATGAGAGTGACATGTATATGCCTTGTGTATTACCTGGGTCACAATGTGAGTGACATGTATATGCCTTGTGTATTACCTGAGTCACAATGTGAGTGACATGTATATGCCTTGTGTATTACCTGGGTCACAATGTGAGTGACATGTATAGGCTTTGTGTATTACCTGGGTCACAATGTGAGTGACATGTATATGCCTTGTGTATTACCTGGGTCACAATGTGAGTGACATGTATATGCCTTGTGTATTACCTGGGTCACAATGTGAGTGACATGTATATGCCTTGTGTATTACCTGGGTCACAATGTGAGTGACATGTATGCCTTGTGTATTACCTGGGTCACAATGTGAGTGACATGTATGCCTTGTGTATTACCTGAGTCACAATGTGAGTGACAAGTATATGCCTTGTGTATTACCTGGGTCACAATGTGAGTGACATGTATAGGCCTTGTGTATTACCTGGGTACAATGTGAGTGACATGTATAGGCCTTGTGTATTACCTGGGTACAATGTGAGTGACATGTATAGGCCTTGTGTATTACCTGGGTCACAATAAGAGTGACATGTATAGGCCTTGTGTATTACCTGGGTCACAATGTGAGTGACATGTATATGCCTTGTGTATTACCTGGGTCACAATGTGAGTGACATGTATATGCCTTGTGTATTACCTGGGTCACAATGTGAGTGACATGTATATGCCTTGTGTATTACCTGGGTCACAATGTGAGTGACATGTATATGCCTTGTGTATTACCTGGGTCACAATAAGAGTGACATGTATAGGCCTTGTGTATTACCTGGGTCACAATGTGAGTGACATGTATATGCCTTGTGTATTACCTGGGTACAATGTGAGTGACATGTATATGCCTTGTGTATTACCTGGGTACAATGTGAGTGACATGTATATGCCTTGTGTATTACCTGGGTACAATGTGAGTGACATGTATATGCCTTGTGTATTACCTGGGTACAATGTGAGTGACATGTATATGCCTTGTGTATTACCTGGGTACAATGTGAGTGACATGTATATGCCTTGTGTATTACCTGGGTACAATGTGAGTGACATGTATATGCCTTGTGTATTACCTGGGTACAATGTGAGTGACATGTATATGCCTTGTGTATTACCTGGGTACAATGTGAGTGACATGTATATGCTTTGTGTATTACCTGGGTACAATGTGAGTGACATGTATATGCTTTGTGTATTACCTGGGTACAATGTGAGTGACATGTATATGTCTTGTGTATTACCTGGGTCACAATGTGAGTGACATGTATAGGTCATGTGTATTACCTGGGTACAATGTGAGTGACATGTATAGGCCTTGTGTATTACCTGGGTACAATGTGAGTGACATGTTTAGGTCTTGTGTATTACCTGGGTCACAATGTGAGTGACATGTATAGGTCTTGTGTATTACCTGGGTCACAATGTGAGTGACATGTATAGGTCTTGTGTATTACCTGGGTCACAATGTGAGTGACATGTTTAGGTCTTGTGTATTACCTGGGTCACAATGTGAGTGAGGTACCACATACACATACAACTTCTTCTTGTCATATTTATTTTTGTCATAGTTCACATTCCATCCTTGTTTCCATACGCCTCCATCTGGATTCTCAAAGGTCATAAGGTCAACTAATTTCAACATCTGAAATATTCACAATAACAACAAGGTAAGATACATTTTAAGTGGACTTTTTTACAATTCTTAATAAAAAAAAATTTTACAATTAAGAATTAATAAAATCAAGAAATTGCCAAGAACATGTGGTTATATGGAGATCTGTAGATCATTATTTTTTTGTCATTGGGTTGCTGTCTCATTAATTTATTACTCACATCTACTTCTGGTCATAGATAGTTTACACACATTTTATTTTCCAAAAAGGATGGATTAGACACAAAGTTTTTCAACTTAGTAATGTCTTCTCATATGCAGATGAAAAAGTAATCAGGAAAATGCATTTTATATCTTGCAATAATGAATATTAGTATTTATTTATCAGTGTTCTCAATTTTTCACTTAGGTAAGGTGGGTGTTTTGAAAAAATCACTTGCAACCGGTTGGGTGTTTTTTTTTGTTTTAACATTTCCAACCGTTTTTTATTACTGTTGGTGGGGGTCACAAAAAGAAGGATTAGTATTGTATTCACATTTAATGAAATTGAACTGTTCTTCTGCTATCACTATGATTACTGCTAGCCTTTCATTTGACAAATTAGTTTTGTTAATCTCGGATAGCAGATTTGGCTTTTGCAGGACTCCCTCCTCCTCACTTGCCTATGCATGGCTTATCAATCAAAGTTTCTGTCCTGTTCCTTGCTTTAATGCTGTATTTTTGGCACACAGAACAATAATATCCTCCTTCTGTGATGATTAGCCATTTAAAGTCCTGTTCATATTTATCAGCTTGGGAACCTCTCAAATGAGGGGTAACCTCAAAATGTAATGACTATCTCTTTTATGAGGGGTACATTTAACGAGATACAAATGAACACATATTTATTTTATTTACAGAAACTTTTCCCAAAGACCTATACATCTATTTGGTATTATATGGTCAAAACATGTTCAAGAATTTTGTAATATTTCAGGACTTATATCTTCTTTATCATTAAAATTAATGGAACCCTCTTTTAGAAACGTTGTTCCAAATATAACGATTTTTTTCCCCTTTTAAGTTCAAAAATCTAAGTTTTTCTCTTTTTTTTCTTCAACAGAACTTAAACTTGACCTCTTGCCAGAGAGACAGTTCCTCATTTAAGGGATATCCCTCGTTTGGGGGATTGTTCCCAACCAGTTTATCTTCGCAATCGATTGCGTGAAATGGCTTGCGTGCCTTTTCTGTTGTTTCGATACTTTTTTTTCAATTTCAACAATTTCAATACAACTATCTGTTTTAGTTGACTTATTTGGCTTAGAATTTTCCTTATCACCATCGTCATCTGCCTTTCTCTCCCAACCGATTTATAAAAGAAAACTTTGAAATTTGACAATCCGCCATTTTTGTCAATGAAAACAATCAGCGAGGCGTGATTAGGGAGCTGCCATTTGATTTTTATGGGGGGCTAGGATGAAAAATTTTGTCCTGCATTTTTTTTTAGTTGTAATCTCTGTCCTGCCTTTTTATTTTTCACTCTATTCGGTCCTGCCTTTTTTTTTTTTAGTTTATCCTGACTTTTTTTTACATAAATTGTCATCCTGCCTTTTTTTTTACTCAAAACTCCTGTCCTGCCTATTTTTTTCAAATTTCATCCTAGCCCCCCCCCCCCCCCCCCCCCCCCCCCCCATAAAAATCAAATGGTAGCTCCCTTAGTATTTAAATTTTTACGGTGCAGAACCGAAAAAAAATCCGGAATTTGAAAAAAAAGCCGACCAGAATGTGCTAGAGTTGTTCCATTTAAACATACATGGTACCCTGGGAAGGCTGTTGAAAATAGGGTAACCATCCCTACAAGCAAATTTATAATTTCTCTTACATTTTCACTGTACAATATAGTACAAAAAAAAACACTCCCATAGATTCCATTTTGAGGTGCCTTCCCCGAGTCCCATGATGTTTTTATGGAACCGTTTCAATGCATCCTTTGAAACACTTTTTACAACTTGAAAACAACTCAGATCACGAAGATATAAATAAAAGTCTAACCTGAACATCCGTTTTGATGTTTGGTGCATCAGCTAAAGTACAGACTTGATTACTTCTGCTAACTGCTACATTGTGTACTTCAACCCTTGCAATTGGTTGTTTGTTGGTTTGGACCTTTAGAGCTGGTTTTTGGAAAAGTTCCTTCACTGCCTCTTTTGCCTGATTAAATTTAGTATCAGCATCATTGAGAATATCGTTTAATTTTTTCAGCGATTCTTTATCGCCGTTAGAAACATACTTCACTGTGTCCTTTATTTCATTTATTAACTTTTCATTTTTAGTTAAATCGTTCTCTAACTTTGACAGTCTTTCTGCAACTAGTACCTATATTAAATATTAAAGCTACAGTTAATAATTATTCAATTGTTCTGAGGAAATCTTATTTTTCTGATATCATTCACTAACAATAAATAAATTGGTGCATTTCAATGAGACAGCAGGTACAAATATACTTGTAGATCTCATATACAGGACTTCAAAAATGGTAATTGATTGGAAATGAAGAATGGCTTATGGTAATTGATTTAAAATGAAAAATGGTAATTGATTGGAAATCAATAATGGTAATTGATTGGAAATGAGAAATGAAACTGTTGTATCCTATGACATTTTTGTGGCATCTGCCTAGTTCTCACTAAAAAATTAAGTATAACCATCATGACCATTGTTATCAGATTTGCAATTTAAAATTTTAATAACATTTTAACCTTTTTCAAATTAACCTACAAAAAGGTGTATGGTCGACATGTGACACAACCAATATGTTCATATTACATGCATTTTATCTTGGCTGTTACATATTTGCATTGATTTTGTTTTCAAATCTGGAGATACTTTTTGCATAGTAAATGGTTACTTTAGTGAGGTATAAATGGTAAATTTAGTGAGGTATAAAGGGTAAATTTAGTGAGGTATAAAGGGTGAATTTAGTGAGGTATAAAGGGTGAATTTAGTGAGGTATAAAGGGTAAATTTAGTGAGGTATAAAGGGTAAATTTAGTGAGGTATAAAGGGTGAATTTAGTGAGGTATAAAGGGTGAATTTAGTGAGGTATAAAAGGTGAATTTAGTGAGGTATAAAGGGTGAATTTAGTGAGGTATAAAAGGTGAATTTAGTGAGGTATAAAGGGTGAATTTAGTGAGGTATAAAGGGTGAATTTAGTGAGGTATAAAAGGTGAATTTAGTGAGGTATAAAAGGTGAATTTAGTGAGGTATAAATGGTTACTTTAGTGAGGTATAAATGGTGAATTTAGTGAGGTATAAATGGTAAATTTAGTGAGGTATAAATGGTGAATTTAGTGAGGTATAAAGGGTGAATTTAGTGAGGTATAAAAGGTGAATTTAGTGAGGTATAAATGGTGAATTTAGTGAGGTATAAATGGTAAATTTAGTGAGGTATAAATGGTGAATTTAGTGAGGTATAAAGGGTGAATTTAGTGAGGTATAAAGGGTGAATTTAGTGAGGTATAAAAGGTGAATTTAGTGAGGTATAAAGGGTGAATTTAGTGAGGTATAACCAGTGAATTTAAGTTTTGTGGACTGATGTTTGACATTTGGTTGATTTTCTTTTGACCATGGTGTTGTCTGATTATTTTTTTTATTCTAATTGAAGTGGCTCTCTTTTATTAAAATATTCATGAAGAATTATCTAAACATATATTTTTTTAAATCAGTGATAATACTTCCTGGTCTGTACCCTAATTTAACATGGGTAAGCAACCGCATCTACCTTTCAAGTCAGACTGCAGCAGTCATAGAGCCTACAGGATACATGTATGTACTAATTTAGGTAGATAAAAATCAATATACATGTACTAGCATGGCTAGTGAATCCAAAATCATTAACTGTCTATTTCGTGTTTTTAGCAGTAATCATTTTCTGGTTTTCACTTTTGTCAGGATTTTTGGTAAAACATCATTCACAAGCATTCTGAGAGTATTGCATGGCAATACATAGTCCCCTACCGCTTAAAAATTCATTGTACTGGAACAAAATGCTAACTTGATCTATAACTTGTCATGGTATAACTAATATCAAGTCAATGTCTTCAAGCATGATGAAAAAAAGTGTGAAAAACTTATTATTTAAGTGAATTTTCTAAGTCAAAGGACCATAACTCTGCACACAATCATCAGACCTGAACAAAATTCGAACTTGATCTGTAACTTGTCATGATAAAACAATACACCAAATATCAAATCAATATCTTCAAGCACAAAGAAAAAAAGTGTGGAAAATTGATTTGCCAGACTGAGGGATGGACAGACAGACAGACAGAGTGCAAACCTAAAGTCCCCTGCGACTTCATCGGTAGGAGACTAATAAGGAGAATTTTATTTCCCAAAAACTTGTTAATCTGTTTACTTACATGACTTAAAGGATGATGATGATGATGGATGGTTGCTTAACGTCCAGTGGCAAATTAATATGCATATTCAGGAAGATAATTGATTAATGTAATATGAACATTTACCCTGCTTTGTACTAGACCGACATGCTGAGCTGGATTTTTAACGTGCTAGTTCACAAGGTAACAGTCTGCAGGAAGACATGTCACCTTACCCGGACACATTATTCTGACTACGAGCGAACCAGTCTTTGCTCTCATTCCTTAATGCTGCCTGTTTAGAGTAGAAGCAGCAAATACCAATTCTAAAGTCTTTGGTTTGACCCGGGCCAGGTTCGAACCCACAACCTCCCGCACTAGTAACACGCTACCACGAGACCGCTGATGCGGTACGTTTACTTAAAGGAAACTGGCAATAAAACAATAAAATAGTAACTTATCACTTTTATCATCTTTCAAAGGTAGAAACTTCTGGCTTTTTATTACTTATGATTGGTTGTTGCTTACTTTGCATACATGTAGAGTGTAAAATATTTCATGCATATTCAGCAAGAGAGCACATTAACAATTACTATATAAAAGGTACATGTAGGCCATCAATTGTAGGCTGACCCTGATGAAGGCAGTAACACGATTTCCTGAGAACTCCCAAAAACTGAATAGATAAAATTATCTACCTTTTGAATAATTACGTCTATCATATTGTTATGCAAGGAACTTGTATACAAGACGCACAATTCATATTCATGAAGTGAAATTGTACTTTTATTGAGTAAAGATGACTTATATCTCAAAATTATATACTTTAAACTTCTATAATAGCAGTACATGTATATCACCATATAAAATAAAGTTTTTAGTAACATCTATCATGTCTATCGGTTCTGGGGTCAATATTCAGTTTTTAGTTCTCTGGAAATCATGGAACCCTGATGAAGGGCTATTAATTAGAATTGCTACTGGAAATGATAGGATAGGGTCAAATATTTTTCCTTGCAACAAGCTTACTATGCCCAGTCTATGGACCTGGTTCTTTTTATGAAATGTTACTTCAATGTGCAACGTTTTGCACTCGTCCTACAAAATGTAGCAGATCTAGGGTCTCATTCCAAACTAACACAACTACAATTTATGCACATGTTGGAATACATACTTTAAAAATATATGTAAATATTGGATCAAATTTTTTGTGGTACTAGGGTCGTGTACTAAAAAAAACAAAGTATAAATATGAATATTTCTTGTCGCTTGAGCTCATTAACTAACAAATAAACTTGTACTTCTTACGTCGTCAGAATTTACTCTTCCCATGTTGTTTGATACTGTTTCCATCATTAGATACAGCGACATGATGACTACGATGAAAAACATGGAACCCCATACTACCATGTATTTCTTCATTTTCCGCTGTAAATGGTAGAAAAGTGCATCAGAAAAACACACAGTCAATAGAACATGTAGTTTGTCTTTAAGAAATTATGCGGAATGCGAATAATTAAAAAAATAGTGCTTTAAAGTTGCAGAAAAGGCATGATATACTGCTGTAGCTGTAAAAATTGACAGCACACCAGTGTGTACTACGTCATCCAATCTGTGTAAATATTTAAAAAAGTCGCATGTCGCCTAACTACGATACAGTTCCGTTATTATCGAAATATTTTTCCGCAGAATTATTAAAGCACTCGACGGAAAACCAAATAGATTTTACTATCGATTTTGAATTAGGATGCAATGGCTTAAATCACAGAAACAAATATGCGCTGCATATTACGACATCCACATTGACATCCCGGGTGCTGATGACAAGATACACTGATATGTACCAGCTGAGAAGTTACTAGCACACTCTCAGGTACCAATTAGGTGTCAAATTTGCAGTCTACTTTAACTTGAAACACAACATCTGTGCTGCTGTTTGTTACCTTCTTCCATATTACTTTTGTAATGCGGATTTGTTCCATTAAAATCTTATACTTAAAATTCCAAGGTGTTTTATATCCGTGTTTTCGTCACAGTCTATCTACGTGGATATTGTATTTTGAATTTAAAGGTAAATTATTTAAAACTAATAAAATGAAAATTGTAAAATCGATTTAAAGCCTATAAATACACCTGTTACCTTGTTTGGAGTAACATTGTACCAATGTGTCATAATCATTGGAATAAAAGGAGATGCATGTTCGGTATATATACTGAGACCGCAACCCAACGACGCATAAAAGCTATATGAGGTCGTAGGACGTCTGGAGGTTTACACACGCCACGTTGTTCAATATTATACAACAATCTATCCAGGTTATCTCATAAAGCCAGGAAATGACCGTACAGATAAAATATTCTTTCTTTTATTTAGACAAGTGAAAAAATATATTTACTACATTAATTTTTTTTAGAATATACAGAGGCCTAAGTAATTGTTATAGAAGACCTAAATTGAGCAGAAGAAACGGCCTAAAGAAGGATTGAGTTTTTAAATACAGAACCCTACTGAAATGATTGATGCAAACTTTCCTCTAATTACCATGACTTTTGTTTTCTTTAAATATAGAAAAATAGCATCTACTTGTCTACAAAATTAAGTTTATAAAGTAATGCTGGTTGAATTCTGACCTAACCGGACTAGGTTTTGGTCATGTACAGAGGATCGTAAAAGAAGGGGGGGGGGGTTGGGGGGGCGGGGCTTTGTGCACGAACAAATAGTGGGAAATAGAATCGCCGTTTCACGATGAATGTCACGAACAAATAAAAAACATAGTTTTCACGTTGTTTTTTGCTCCAATTAGTAGGATCTGTTCAACATCAAGGTTGTCTTCCTCGTGTTTTGTACAAATTCTACCGCAGACAGCCGCAGTCAATAGTTTTAATCCCTAAAGAAACTACAAAAAGAGGAAACGATTCCTTCAATGCTGCTTTGCATATCAATAGAACAGAGAATGGAAACGAGGAATGTGTCAAAGAGACAACAACCAGAGCAAAAAACTGAATAGTCCCACGCCACCAAGTTCCATTAACGCTTTAACGCCACCGGCTTCAGCGACATATTAGCTATTTTCAATATATATCATGGCGACAAGTCTTTATTCATGTTATTGGTGAAGGAAACCAGAGAAAAACCGACCTTCTGCAGGAAAACCTGAAATCCTTGTCCATTAAAATCATTGCAAAAGGGGTAGGGGTCAAGTTCACTTAATTAACACTTTTTTTGATATCTCAGTATGGTAGCGCCTAAATATTGCCTTAATCTGAACACAAAGAAAATGCCTTTGTAGATCAAATGAGTTGTGGACATAGGTCTTAATAGACTTTTGCGGACTGGCCACGATGTAACGTAAATTATCTTGATAAAAATACTTCATTATAGGTTTATAAGTTTGTAAGAAGGAGCAGAACTCTTAACTTGAACGCCGGACAGAGGTATTATTCGGAAAGAAGGGGAATATGCATTTTTTTTATTATCGGTGTAAAAAACCAAACTGAAAACAATGCGAAAAATGATTTTTGTTTGTTTTAGTCGAAAACTTTGTATTTTAAAAAAAAAGAAATACATTTTTTTTTAAATTGGTCAATTGTTTTGGCGTTCTTATAACATGTATAAATATGTATAAAAGTGTATTATAGACAATTCGATGTAAGTATTATTGTGAACACAAATTTACGACAAAGAATTTTTTTTTGTAAAGATTAAAATCTCCCGAGGAGACATCTAAAATACATATGTTTAAGTAAATCGCTTACTCGCGGCCGGCAATACATCGAAAAAAGAATCTAAACACAGATGTTACCGCCAATACCTTTGATTACCGATACACGCATGGGCAGTTGTTACTTATCTGGAGTTGTTGTCAATTAAACATTCGTAAAACTGGTGAATTCATAACATGATAATGTGTAGTTTTATAAATACTTATTAAAAAAGCATCGAATACTCGGTCGATCATTGATACCTGTACGTTCAAATCAGGGGTTAAAAATCCACTAGACCGACGCCTGGGACTAGAGCATTTATGCCTCGGGCAATCAAAATTGTTAACCCAATATGCCCGACGGACTAGTAACAAAAAATTCTTGGAGTTTCCAAAATAGAAAGTGGAAAATCCCTTCATCACTATTCTATCTTAGCCGATCAGATTCAATTACGTCATCCGGGTATTGTACATTTCTTATGCCGAGATTTTTAATTTACGGTACTGGGGGTATGATGTATTGATCGGTATTGACCTGTCTTGTCGGACAGCTGTTGAGCACGAAACCAATCCATGCAACCAAATATTTCTAAATATTTTAGTACGGGCACCCAAGGAATTTCGTCAGTTTTAAAATGAAAAACTGTAGATGAAGGGGGTAATGAGACTGACAATTCATCCACCAAAAATGCCAAATACGAACTGGAAAAGCGGAAAGGAAAATTTATAGTGTCCTGGAAAGAAAGATTCCCCTGGGCAAGGTCGGCCGTGTTGCTGATGAAAAAAACAGAGAACATTGCCGTTATTTTCCCGAGGACGCCACTAAAAAGTCTGCTTTGTATGTGGGAACAACTAAGTTAGGATAAGCACCACTGTTTGTTTACCAACAGAATAAAAAGCAGGTCAACAAAAATTATTAAATACAGTGTATAACATGTATAATGCCGCCTTCAAAACAAGGGACACCCACTTTGAAATTATGCAGCAAACTCTGATTTGTAAGGCATTCTCAGGCTAGCAGGTCAGTTTTGATGGGCTACTAGTTCTTCCAACAGGGCTATTAAAATCTTGCTGCAAATAAGTCCTGGGCTAGTTACCTGTAAAGAAAATTTTTAACCCCTGCAAATGACTGAAAGTTTAAACCAAACACAGTGTCAGTATGATAAATCAGAAGAGATTTTGATAAATTGAAACACTGTGCACTCATTTTTTGTAACTATAGTGGAGTTTTTACATAGTTCTGTAGATATAGGTCTTGGCTCGATCAGATGAAATTAAATTATGGATTTGCTATGCAACCTTATGACCATAGACGGTTAAGACATTTTCAGCTATAAAATGTATACATGTAACAGTCCCGTTTACTAACTGCCCTGCGTTGGTCGGTCTTTGGTAATAACACAACTGACGTGGTTATTGGTCATTAGTAGTAACAACTGCCCATGCGTGTATCGGTCTCAGGTGTTAACAGCAGTCTACATGTTAAAGAACCATTGCAACATATTTGTAAGCGACCCTTAGTTAATCTGTTGCAAGGCAAAATTAACTCTCCTGTGAAATGTCTCCCCTTTTCCTTGGCATTCATAATGACCCACAATTTTCTCATCCTGAATATGATCGAATATGCACGAAACATTTGCTACAGATAAAAAAAATCAGTCAATTAGGTTTAATAACGTTTGAATGTGAATATTGATTCATGCAACAGATTTATTAGGACAATACTAACAGCAAATACAAAAAGAAAAGAAAAGAAGATACCTATAGCTGGCAATAAAAATAAAAAAATCATAAACGGGCCGACAGCAGCATCATTATACGAAAACATTGACCAAGATTAAAACCATATACTAAAACAAAAATAAGTAGTGTTTTGTTACACAAATCCCAAATACATAAAGATAAAAATCAATTGTCTATATAAAAAATTAAAGGATAAAAAAATAAAGAACACACCACCCCCTCCACCCAATTACAGACCCTGATAACTGGCTTCTGTGATACAGGTACTGTGGCGGAGTTCAAACATTCCGCTAACATTTCACCATGTTGGCAACGAAATGCAACATACTACACTATAAAACGAAATAAATGAAATCAGTGAATTTTCTTGTTGAACAAAATTGTATGACTATGACACTGTTTAGAAATGGTTTATAGGTGTTTATGAGCAAATTGACAAAAGTTTATATTTCAAGGCTTAAATTATTTAACTATTTTTGCAATTCCAGGAGAAAATTATTGGCTCTTATCAACTTCCTCCTTTACAAACATTATTTAGAATAGTTATTTAAACAGGTCGTTGTTATTATTTTCCCTTTAAGAGACAAAGAGTAGAGAGCCATTCGATCTTTCTTTAGTGTTTTCCACGTAATGTTTGCGACTTCATGGTACGTTATACAGGAGGGGGAACAGGGGTAGTCTTTTTCCTTTTCCTCCCTTTTCCCACCCCTATTCTCCTTTTTCCCAATCCCTGTCCCTTTTTTCTCCCACCAGAAAAATATATCTCCCTATCAAAACTTAAAAATAAAGTTAGTTAATTTTTGATTCAAGTACAGTGAATGGGAGAGCTTCTCACTCCCCTGTTTCTGAGACATTACTTGAAAAACCTAAAGCCTCATTTATGTTGCTACTAGAACCAACGTGTGGTATAACAATATAAAGAACAGACGAGACGGACATAGGAGTATCAGTACTTCTTCTGAAAACCTAAGAAATTCAAAAGTTTGATATACTAGCTATGTAAAAAAAATCATACCACTGGAAACCGTTCAAAAACAAAAAGAACAATCATAAACAGTCTAAAGATTCCTGTAACATTTTGAAAATTAATTAGAAATTAATAAAAGGGTTACTAATATGCTCATTTCTAGAATAAGAACTCAACTCAACTCAATTCACTACACTTCCGGAAGTGTAATGAGATGATTAAAGCTGTAAATTTTCTCTTTGACAACTAAGTACGATTTGGCTATACAGTTTGTAGACAGATTGTATTTATTCGTATGGGCACCAACTGAACCCATTTGGTGGCAGACTTGTTCCTGTATTGTTATGAATCACATTTTCTGGCCAAACTTGGTAAAGATTTGTCTAAATTTATTTAATTAATAAATTCTACAACGCCTATAGTTACAATGATGATGTTTTTCCTTAAATAATCAAGAGTTCTCTAAATATACTGCACACTTCCATGGGTGACTGGGGAATAGAATTATTGCCGCTTCTGGTCTTCTTTCGATCGGCGTTAAAACTCTTGCCAAAGTGGGGCGTCCGTTAGGCTGTGCGGGCTGTATAAATACGTAGCCACGTCCGGTCATAATTGGGACGTTAAATTCGATGTCTCGCGTAGAGGGAGTGCCACGCTCTCTGCACATTTGAAACTCTGCAATAACTCTTTGAGGGGTCCGTAGGTGGCCTGTTGCAAGGCAAACTTACTGTTCCTATCCAATATACCCTTATTTTTAAATGGCAGTCCAAACTTCCTCGACCTTCATCCCGGATGGCCACTATAACTGGACCAAAATATTATTTATATTGTTAATTTGTTCACTGAACATGCATGAAACGTTTGGCACTAGACGTTAAGCAACCAACAATCGATCAATCAACCTAAATTTACTGCGTTATTTACACAAGGGAACTTACTTTAAATAAGTCTAATATAAACAGCAATAACTGCTCTTTCTTAGATTTAGATATTTCAGTTTCACACACGAAACTCTATGCTCAAAATTACGACATAAACGACATTTTTTTCGTTTCCTGTTGTTAATTTTCCTTTTCTGGAATGTCACAATTATGTGGTGTTCCTTTGGACCAATCGTATGGTGTTTATAAATATATATATATATATATATCAATTCCATCTTCATGCCTAATATATCATGTACTGTGTTACAACTCTAGATTCTTCTGAAAAGGAAAGGTAACACTAGGCCACCGAAAGCTGAATTTTTAGTTCAGTTTAGGTGGCCGAGTGGTCTAGAGCGCTGGACACAGTGCAGGTGGTGTTGTCTCGATATCCCAAATAGCATGAGTTCAAATCCCGGCAAGGGAAGAACAAAGATTTGCTTCCACAAATTTGCAGATTTAACATTGTTGTGCTGATATTTAGAGTAATTATGAATATAATATGTGTTTTGTTTTCAGCCGTGTATCAACTTCACTGGTGATCCTATAGATGGATCTGTCTTAGAGTGGTGTCAAAATTGACGTTTTAGATTTCAATGAACGTAATCTATGTATCACTGATAAAGTATAAAATCAGGCATTTCTTTACCACAAATCAATTTAAACCTTTACTAAAAATTTTTTATGGATACAAAAATTTGATTTGGAAGTGCGGCTGTACCTGTTGAAAACTTATTACAAACGGGATAGCACATCCTAAATTTAGTGAAAGACAGAGGGGCTCTGTTAGCAAACTATATGATCAACTTTGTTTTGGCAGTAAAATAAAAGAACAGAATTCCAATGTCTCCCGCTTTACACTTATTTTCAAAAATGTCCAAGACATTGCTGATATAAACCTATGATATCAATTTCAAAAAATTCTGGCATTAATTAATTGTACACAGAGCGCTAACGATACAATTTTCCATATAATTAAAATCTCGTAGGGGCATAACTCTTTATAAAATAATTGATCGGCACAGATTTTCCAACTCGTCCAAGACATCACTGATATAAACATACAATATAAGTTTTATAAAAATCTGGCAAGAATTGTACACATGAGAGCACTAACGATACAATTTTCAATAAAATAAATGTTTCCAAGGGGCATAATTTTTTCCAAAAATAATTGATCTGATCCGGACTGATTTTCGAACTCGTCATAGACATTGCTGATATAAACCTATGATATAAGTTTCATAAAAATCTGGCAAGAATTATACACATGAGAGCGCTAACGATGCAATTTTCCATATACTAGTAGTTAATGTTTCCAAGAGACACAATTTACTCTTTTAAAAATAATTGATCGGCACTGGTTTTCGAACTCGTTCTAGACATTGCTGATACAAACCTATGATATAAGTTTTTAAAAAATCTGCCAAAAATTGTACATGTGAGAGCGCTAACAAGACCGGACGGCCGGTATGTCTATGCCCCCCCCCCCCGGCAACGCGTTGCGCAGGGGGGGGGGGGGGATAAACGATATGCGTTTTGAAATAACAGATTTAAAAACCAGTATTATAACAACAATTTTGTATGTTGTGCTATTTTATATGATTATATATGAAATATATTATAAGGTAATCTAATTCACTTTATGTGAAATTTAGTTTAATTTCCATATATATGTTTATATGTTTATGTGTTATGAATGATTGGAAATACAGAACTCTGAGCTATCTATCCAGACGTTATATATATATATCTGTCAAAAACTTCAGTCTGTTATGACGTCATTGCAGTCTTTGTATTCCTCTTTCGTCTCACTTGTTTCTGAATCTATCTCATCCAAAGCATCAACAAACCGACTTTCAATTTTGAAAAATGTATTCACACTGGGCAAGCATCGGCTACCATAAACCCTTCTACATGCGTCAACAATCATAAAGTTAGCTTGTGAATCTTTTGGTGAAAACACATACAGTTCTTCTTCAGGAAAGTCTTTGCTTTCAAATGATATTATTTCCCATAAACCATAGTCGTCAGGGGTACCAGTCCATCCCCGAGCCCACCAAGACGCCAATCCCATCGATGCATAATATTCAACCCATTTTACAGAAAATATTTGGTAATATATCTTTCCATCTATTTTATGTTGGATAAACTTAAATCTTGATTGTTCATTTTCTTCATCAGACCATCTCAACCAAGTGCAACCTATGTCAGCCATATAAAGAAAAGCACCTGCTTGTATTATTGGTTTTATGACAAATTCTCCGTCGCACAGGTAATTCAAAGGATTTTGAGTTTTCTGGTTTGGAAAGAAATAGTTCGTAAGCATGATATCAACTGCAGGCCAATTATTTGAATTATACATGATATTAAATGTCAATGTGTTTTTAGTAGGCTCAACCAAAAACTGCAGTAGTATTTTGTCTCTAGATTTGTGATGTTTCATCAATACCTCCATTCCTTTGAGAATATTCTGTGATGAACGAATTTCTAATATCCTACAAAAGAGAACCGATGTAAGGTCCCGCATAAAACTTAGGTACATATAGGCCTGAATGTAATTCATAAGTTTTGTAAAGTTCCTTCTCTTGACGGACAGATTCTTTAAATTATCGATTTTTTTCCATAGTTTTCCCATGAAAAGTACTCCATGGAATGGTTTTATATGATCACAAACGAATTTGAACTCGCTATCTCCAAGACTCTTTATACTAATGCCGCTGAGAAATATGATTGAACTTACAAAATACTGTATTGTTCCCTCACATTCACAAAATATTTCTTCATCAATTATGTCTTCGATAAATCTATCTAGTTCATCTTCAACTGGTGTTTCGCCGAATATTGCGAAGAGTGCTTCAACAGTAGTTACAACCGCGGAAATCTTTGAATCCAGAAATTTGACAGACGATAAAAGTTTAATTGCTGTTTTCAAACCGGTTTGAAATCTAATTTTGGTTGAGCATTGTGGACTTTCGAAACTATCGCTTAAATTATTAGCCGATGGTATATCCTCGTGTAGTCTCAGTATTTCACCGATTGTGGATTGTCTTTTACTATCAAAAGCTATGTCTGCTAAATTATCCAGTTTCTCTGCAAGTAAATGCAATAAATTTTAATCAGTTTTGATATATTTTTAATGTGATTTGAAAAAACAACATAAAGAGTTTATCAGAACTGAATTAAGTCATAATGTTAATTCCTCAATTAAATCAAATAAAGGAATCCGTTGTTATACAAATATCAGGTATACAATTTAATTGTTGTGACCTGTGTCAGTGTAACTCTTAAGAGCCTGTGTCGCTCACCTGTATCTATTTTGGTTTTGGAAATCACGTAAAATCAGGTTAAAATCATACTAAATGTATTAGATAGCCTAATAATGATTGATGCCAAGTTTGGTGTAATTTGACCCAGTAGTTAAATTAAAAGCAGAAGATTTTTCGGGGTCAATTTTGGTCAAATTGACTTCTGGTAGATCTTACGTTGACGCACATCATTGCTGTTTACAGTTAATCTCTATCTATAATAATATTCAAGAAAATAACCATAAACTGCAAAATATCCTTAAAATTACCAATTCAGGTGCAACAACCCAACAAATTTCAGGGCAGATAGATGGTACCCTGATGAACATTTCAACCCCATATCAAATTTGCTCTAAATGCTTTAGTTTCAGAGACATAAGCCAAAAACTGCATTTTACCCCTATGTTCTATTTCTAGCCATGTCAGCCATGTTTGTTGGCAGTCAGGGTCATCGGACACATCTTTTAAAGTTGAAACCATAATGATGATTGTGGCCAAGTTTGGTTAAATTTGTTTCAGTAGTTTTAGAGAAGATTTTTGTAAAAGTAACAGTTAATGGACAACGACGGACGCTAAGTGATGAGAAAAGCTCACTTGGCCCCTTCGTGGCAGGTGGGCTTAAAAGGAAAAAAAATAGGCAAAGCTTTCAATAGAAGGGCAATAATTCCTTTACAGAGTCGATCGTTTGACTTATTTGTTAATGTTATTTTGTCTTTCCTTTTTAGTACTCTCAATGGACTGTAGAGTTTACAACGACAAAAAATAATTAGATTGAAAAACCAACGGAAAAATGACTAAAATTGTCAACGATGGGCAATAACTCCTCTTAAGAACCAGACAGACAATTTAAATAACTTTAATGTCTAACTTATCATTTTTGCTGTGTAACGGTTTCTTTCTTTCTATATTAAAGTTTACAGGATTTTAGTCATAATTGCTAAAAATAGGCAAACTATTCACATGCCCCTGTTAACAGACGAGCAACCGTGTCGAATAATTTGTGGAATTAAAACCTGTCCTGCTGAAACAGATGTATCTAGTTCTATCTAGTTGTATCCATTGCTTAAAACGGTTCAGGTTATTATTTTTGTTTATGTTATTGAAATTATGTCAATCGTTTTTAATTCATATAGTGTCTTTACATACTTTCTATTTGGTTAAATCTTTCGTTTGTGATATCCTCCACAATTGATTTCATTATATCAGGAAGATCTGTAATGACCTACAAAAGAATAAACGATACATTTGAATTACCAGCAGTGGTTCTGTCAGGATATTCAATTGGGGTTTTGATGCAGGAAAGTTTGCATAACGTGGAAGGGGAAAGGGTTTCTTTTGGTTCGAGCGTTCTTGGATACTTGTTTTTTGTTTTGGGATTGTTCTGTTCTGTAATGTGTTGGGATCTAGTTTGACCCGACTGCATGTTCATGTGCATTTTTAATTTAAAAAAGAAACCCCGAGAGTGAAATTTTTTCTAAATTGCCGATTGTTAGATATCTTATTATTTCTTTTTGTTTTACACCGAGACGGGTCTAAATCACTCACCTGCTGATACGGCACCTGCTGATTTTGCACCATTAACCTGCCAATTTTGCCCCTATGTAGAACAACTAAAGTTGCTTCCCTTTGTACATTAACCGATTTTAGATTGAGAATTACTGTCATGTTACTTTATTAATTAAGTTAAGATAAATAACAGCTAGAAATTAATTATGTAAAATCGCAGGAAAGTATAATTTAAATGGTTTATACAACAGTGTATTTTGAATACACTGTTGAACATTTTGCCTTTTTTTATAGTTCACAATAAGAATACATCAACGATTTGTATAGTCGTACTATACAAATCCTTGAATACATATATTAATTTGGAAAACAATAATTTATTAATCTTTCAAAGTTAAAAAAAAAAAATAGTGAAATGAAATTATTTAAACTTATATATGTAGCAGGAAAATAACTTATATGACTGTTAGGTTATTTTTTTTCTTAAAATATTAATGTTTGGACACCACTTACAGAAGTTAACCATACAATTAATATAATTTCACAATGATTTTATGATTAATGCAAAACGATATATTTCAGTAATTTACCAGGGGTAAAAAGGGGGAGGTAGTCATTCTGAAATTTGACTACGTTTATGATGATCATGATTATCATGATAAATGTAGGATATCCTTATACTTTCAATGTAAACATGGTGTAAATGTATATTATAATTTGTATAAATACATACAATTTTATTACTTATTTTAATCACATATGTTTTGATAGAGGTACCTACGGAAGCGTATATCGGTCAAGCGTTATTAGTAATTTCGATGTAAACTTGTGTTATTTTACGATAATTAATGCCTTAAAAGATGAAAATATAGGAATATTATAAAACAAATATGTCGTTATTAATTATAGTGTTGCTTTACTTTTCTTTTGATGCCAGTTACTTTATAATATTAAACAAATTTAATTAAACTGTTGATATTATTATAATTGTAAACTTGTGTTGTTTTATGATAATTAATGCTTTATAAGATGATAATATTGGACTATTATAAAACGATTATGCCATTATTAATTATAATGTTGCTTTAGTTTTCATTGGGTATTACTTATAATATTAAAAACAATTTAATCGGGGGCGTAGCTACCTTGTTATAGAAGTGGAATCACAAACTGAAGAGCGAGGGATATGGGGGCTGCCTGAGGCCCACAGTTGGTCCAGGGCCGTTGAAAGTCCTGGTAGGGGGCAGGGGACGAAGTTTCAAAACAATCACAACCGTATTAAAATTTGTAGTTTTGTTGTGTTTTGGTCAGTTATTTGTTTAACTTCGACATATACGAGTCGAATGAAGACTAAAATTGTTATGTTCGTTTTTTGTTCGACGTGAGAGCTTTTAAAATCACGGAGAATTGTTCCATATAAGGCCTAATAGAAAGTGTTTCTTTTGACCCTTTCTTTACTTATAACATTACCTGCTCATATGACCCTTCCTATAGGCACAATAGAAAGTGTCTCAATTGACCCTTTCTTTACTTATAACATCACCTGCTGATATGACCCCTTCCTATAGGCACCATAGAAAATGACTCCATTGACCCTTTCTTTACTTATTACATCACCTGCCGATATGACTACTTCCTATAGGCACCATAAAAAGGGCCTTCTGAGCCTTTTTTTACTTGTAACATCACCTGCTGATATGACCCCTTTCTATAGGGACAGTAGAAAGTGTCTCTATTGACCTTTTCTTTACTTATAACATCACCTGCTGATATGACCCCTTCCTATAGTCACCATAGAAAGTGTCTCTTTTGACCCTTTTTTTACTGATAACATCACCTGCTGATATGACCCCTTCCTATAGGCACCATAGAAAGTGTCTCTATTGATCCTTTCTTTACTTATAACATCACCTGCTGATATGATCCCTTCCTATAGACACAATAGAAAGTGTCTCTATTGACCCTTTCTTTACTTATAACATCACCTGCTGATATGACCCCTTCCTATAGGCACCATAGAAAGTGTCTCTATTGACCCTTTCTTTACTTATAACATCACCTGCTGATGTGACCCCTTCCTATAGGCACAATTGAAAGTGTCTCTACTGACCTTTTCTTTACCTTTAACATCACCTGCTGATATGACCCCTTCCTATAGGCACAATAGAAAGTGTCTCTTATGACCCTTTCTTTACTTATTACATCACATGCCGATATGACCCCTTCCTATAGTCACCATAGAAAGTGTCTCTTTTGACCCTTTTTTTACTGATAACATCACCTGCTGATATGACCCCTTCCTATAGGCACCATAGAAAGTGTCTCTATTGATCCTTTCTTTACTTATAACATCACCTGCTGATATGATCCCTTCCTATAGGCACAATAGAAAGTGTCTCTATTGACCCCTTCTTTACTTATAACATCACCTGCTGATATGACCCCTTCCTATAGGCACAATAGAAAGTGTCTCTATTGACCCATTCTTTACTTAAAATATCACCTGCTGATATGACCTCTTCCTATAGGCACCATAGAAAGTGTCTCTATTGACCCTTTCTTTACTTATAACATCATCTGCTGATATGACCCCTTCTTATATGCACAGTAGAAAGTGTCTCTATTGACCATTTCTTTACTTATAACATCACCTGCTGATATGACCCCTTCTTATAGGCATAATAGAAAGTGTCTTAATTGACCGTTTCTTTACTTAAAACATCACCTGCTGATATGACCCCTTCCTATAGGCACCATAGAAAGTGTTTCTATTGACCCTTTCTTTACTCAAACATCACCGGCTGATATGACCCCTTCCTATAGGCACAATAGAAATTGTTTCTTTTGACCCTTTCTTTACTTATAACATCACCTGCTGATATGACCCCTCCCTATAGGCATCATATAAAGTGTCTCTATTGACCCTTTCTTTACTTATAACATCACCTGCTGATATGACCCCTTCCTATAGGCACAGTAGAAAGTGTCTCTATTGACCATTTCTTTACTTATAACATCACCTAATGATATGACCCTTTCCTATAGGCACCATAGAAAGTGTCTCTATTGAGCCTTTTTTTACTTATAACATCACCTGCTGATATGACCCCTTTCTATAGGGACAATAGAAAGTGTCTCTATTGACCCTTTCTTTACTTATAACATCACCTGCTGATATGACCCCTTCCTATAGGCACAATAGAAAGTGTACTTGTTGACCCTTTCTTTACTTATAACATCACCTGCTGATATGACCCCTTCCTATAGGCACAATTAAAAGTGTCTCTACTGACCTTTTCTTTACCTTAAGCATCACCTGCTGATATAACCCCTTCCTATAGGCACCATAGAAAGTGTCTCTATTGAGCCTATTTTTACTTATAACATTTCCTGATGATAAGACCCCTTCCTATAGGAACAATAGAAAGTGTCTCTATTGACTATTTCTTTACTTAAAACATCACCTGCTGATATGACCCCTTCCTATAGGCACCATAGAAAGTGTCTCTATTGACCCTTTCTTTACTCAAACATCACCTGCTGATATGACCCCTTCCTATAGGCACCATAGAAATTGTTTCTTTTGACCCTTTCTTTACTTATAACATTACCTGCTGATATGACCCCTTCCTATAGGAACCATAGATATTGTTTCTTTTGACCCTTTTTTTACTTATAACATCACCTGCTGATATGACCCCTTCCTATAGGCATCATAGAAAGTGTCTCTATTGACCCTTTCTTTACTTATAACATCACCTGCTGATATGACCCCTTCCTATAGGCACCATAGAAAATGTCTCGATTGACCCTTTCTTTAGTTATAACATCATCTGCCGATATGACCCCTTCCTAAAGGCACCATAAAAAGTGTCTCTTTTGACCCTTTCTTTACTTATAACATCACCTGCTGATATGACACCTTGCTATATGCACAGTAGAAGGTGTCTCTATTGACCCTTTCTTTACTTATAACATCACCTGCTGATATAACCCCTTCCTATAGGCACCATAGAAAGTGTCTCTATTGAGCCTATTTTTACTTATAACATTTCCTGATGATAAGACCCCTTCCTATAGGAACAATAGAAAGTGTCTCTATTGACTATTTCTTTACTTAAAACATCACCTGCTGATATGACCCCTTCCTATAGGCACCATAGAAAATGTCTCCATTGACCCTTTCTTTACGTATTACATCACCTGCCGATATGACCCCTTCCTATAGGCACCATAGAAAGTGTCTTTTTTGACACTTTCTTTACTTATAACATCACCTTCTGATATGACCCCTTCCTATAGACACAATAGAAAGTGTCTCTCTTGACCCTTTCATTACTTATTACATCACCTGCTGATATGTCCCTTCCCATAGGCAGAATAGAAAGAGTCTCTATTGCCCCTTTCTTTACTTATAGCATCACCTGCTGATATGACCCCTTCATATAGGCACCATAGAAAGTGTATCTATTGACCCTTTCTTTACTTATAACATCAACTGCACTTTGACTTCAAATGAGGTTTATCGACATCTTTTACAATATCGCAATATATAGGAATTATTCCTAATCCATTTAAACAGCTATATGTGTTGCTTTTGGTGGCTACTAAGAATATATTTACAAATGCGTTTCATAGACGCACAACAAATCTTCTTTTGTTTAAATTGGTACCAATACCTGAGGTTCGTAATCGGGGTACCTTCATGGCGTATAACGGTAAAAGTTTAATCACAAAAATGCTGAACACCGAGGTAAATTTCAAAACGGACAGTCCCTAATCAAATGGCAAAAGCAAAAGCTGAAACACATCAAACGAATGTACAACTACTGTCATATCACTGACTTTGTATGTGTCTCGTCTGAATGTAATCTTATCTTTCATTTTTGCTAATATACTTTTTCTGTATGCCTTTTTATGTTTCTTTGTAACATGAGACGTGGCTCTGTACTAATACATCCCGTCATTGTGTTATTGTGCCATGGTAAATGTTTGTTTACATATTTGTTTGTTTTTGTAGTGATTAGGATAATACAGAGCCACGTCATATGTAACAAAGAAACTTCAAGAGAAATAAAATAAAGGTTCTTGCCAAATGACGTTAACGGTAATTTTGATGCATGACGATAAAATGTACAATTTCTTTTAGACAATAAAAAAAAAAATCCCCAAAATAACGGTAACAAGTTTTCGATATCACAAACTAGTCAAAACATTTACTAAATTTTATCATCGGTACAATATAATTCAACATGCAGACATCTTATACGTTCAGGTATTTCACATCCAATTTTTATGGTAATATTCTTTACAAAGCACACAAATGTCGGCATTCACCTCAAAAGCTAACAAAACCTTTAAAAAGACACGAAGTTTTATCGAGCACCTATTTTATAGTTTTATTGTTGATATTCACCCTACATGTACCAAGTTTTAGAATAGTTTTATTGATATACAATAAATTTCTTGGTATTCCTAAACGGAAGATTATAGACAGAAGAAGAAGTATACTTAACAACAACAATATTTTCATTTACCTGTGTATAATATGACGTAATTGTTTTCAAAGTTGATGTTTTTCTGAAATTGTTTAGCATTTCACAGCGGTATTATACTTTAACTTTAATTATTCATCCCTTATTTGTATTAACTTTGTATTTACATTGTATCATAGATCAAATTTATTCGTTCAGTTTATGTTCATTTGTGTGACTACGTTTTTTGATTGAGTTAAGCCATTCCAATTGATATTTTATAGTGTGTCTTTCTATGTTGTGAAGTTACACTATTGTTTCAAATAAGGGAGAAAGTTTGGTACCATCAACACGTTTAATCCCGCTGCAATTGTTTGCACCTGTCCTAAGTCAGGAATCTGATTTCAGTAGTTGTCGTTTGTTGATGTGGTTCATAAGTGTTTCTCGTTTCTCGTTTTTTATATAGGTTAGACCGTTGGTTTTCCCGTTTGAATGGTTTTACACTAGTAATTTTTTTTGGCCCTTTATAGCATGCTGTTCGATGTGAGCCAAGGCTCCGTGTTGAAGACCGTACCTTGACCTATAATGGTTTACTTTTATAAATTGTGACTTGGATGGAGAGTTGTCTCATTGGCACTCATACCACATCTTCCTATATCTATTTGTTATTAAGGGATATAGTTACGATACTGTTGATAGGTCATTAAAGATTGCATATTTTGGCTTTAATATTGATTCACATATAGGGTCTTTGCATCGGAAATAAACACATTTATTCTGAAACCAGTTGTTGGCATGATACGGGTTATGTTCTTCTCATATATTTTATGACGGTATAATACTAAACCCCTAACGGGAGGGATTGTGCTTGATTTTCATATGATGAAGACATAATCTTTCAATCAGTTTAGTTGAGGTCTGGAGCTGGCATGTCAGTATCTGCTAGTAGTCCTATGTTAATTAATGTATCATTTTCATTCGTTTAGTTTCTTTTGTTACCTATTCTGACATCGGACTCGGACTTCTTTTGAACTGAGTTTTACTGTGCGTATTGTTGTGTGTTTGTTTTTTCTACATTAGCTAGAGGTATAGGGGGAGGGTTGAGATCTCAAAAAACATGTTTAACCGCGCCGCATTTTTGCGCCTGTCCCAAGTCAAGAGCCTCTGGCCTTTGTTAGTCTTGTTTGATTTTTAATTTTAGTTTCTTGTGTATATTTCGGAGTTTAGTATGTCGTCCATTTTCACAGAACTAGTATACATTTTTGTTTAGGGGCAAGCTGAAGAACGCTTCCGGGTGCGGGAGTTTCTCGCTGCATTGAAGACCCATTGGTGGCATTCGGCTGTTGTCTGCTCTTTGGTCGGATTGTTGTCTCTTTGACACATTCCCCATTTCCATTCTAAATCTTAATAATTATTTGAGACCTCTGAGGAATCATTATATTTTGATGATTCACGGTAAAAATTTGACCAATTTGACGCTAACGGTAGCCGAAAATGACGACTGACGGTAAAGGGCATTCCTACCGTCTTACTTTAGATTGTATAACGAGTTATGACAAACAACGTATATGAATACTATTTTGACGAAATTCACCAAATATCACACACAGTCGAACGTGTTACTCATTTGATCAATAATTTGTGCTAGGTCTCTACAACTGGGACAACATTTAACACAGCTCATCGCGCTACGTACCTATTAGGGGATACCAGGATATAAATTGATAACCAAGAGAAAGTTTATTAAAGCAAATATCAGATGCAAGGATTATAGAACAAACATACACGTATATGTACATTTACCTCTTCTAATTTCCTGTCTCTATTTATCTGTTCCAGTAATGTGTTTCTGTACTGTTCACATAGCTGTACATCAAGTGATATGTTCTCCAAGTCACTCAGTTTTTGTCTGGTTTGTCTTTTTTGTCCGGATAGCGTTGCTAATATCATGATTGAATTAAAAATATCATTTTTAACCCTAGCATACTCTGCCACGGGTACAGATGTTGTGTCCGGATGGCCATAAATATTTCTGTAATTTACCAATACATCTAAAGCCTTTCTTGATGAACAATATTGTTTGTGGAGAGCGCGAGTGCATGCATCGTCAAGATTTGTCAGTCCTACAGTAGCGGACAAGGAACAAATGCACTGCATTCCAGACGTTCCGCATGCGTTACCAGATGGTTTGTTAAATAGCAAATGCCAGTAATAAGTGTTAATCGTCTGCTGTGTAACGTATGAACAACTCGTAGAAGAACACATACAACAGTTATTGTTGCCATTGGTTAAATGGAAAATACTATGTTTATTACAGTCAAGAAATGACGTAATATTCTGTCCTTGTGTTAAACAACAGTCCCAAAAGAGATCATGACAAAAATTTATTAGCAGACAATTTGCCAATGTTACATCCAAAACATCAGTTTGAATTCCGGGTTTACCTCGGCAACAACAATAATCTCCTGTGCTACTAGGTTTGTGATACGATAAACGAGTGGACGTGTTATCCAACAATTTGTCTAACTGGACTGGGTTGAGGATACGCTTAGGCACGTACGGTGTTCTATAACTGGTATTACACCCAGGTCTGCAGCATGTTCTTGTGTTATAGCAAAGATGATAAATGTCATGCTGATTCAAATTGATGAAATCCTCGAAATTTAAACTTTTGTTTGTCAAATGCAATTTGAAAAAGTCAATAATGGCCTCTTTAGTATATCCTACTAAGAGCATGTAAAGTTTTAGTAGATTTTCTTTTTCTATTCCGCTCATTATTATGTCAAGGACTGTTCTCACATCTAATTAATCTGCAATATATATATAAGATTAAAACGTGATGTATCAGAGGCATTCAGTTTAGATGTAACCGCTAACATAAACGTGTCTGTTTTTGGGGTAAGCAGCTAAGTTTTAGATAAGCCAGCTTTGGCATGTTTGTATGCTATAAACCCACGAAGATTAAACAGTGTTGTCTACCAAGTCAGTGTGTAAAGATTAGAAGGTTAACACATTATAAATTTGGTTCTCCCAAAAACTGATGTTGATTAAAACTGTAAATATATATATATATATTCCTTTAAGTCTTTTAAATTCGGTCTTGGTAAAGTATGAGTATTTATTTTGTTTTAGCTCACATTATTCATTACTTGACTCAAACTAGCGAACAATTGTAGCGAACAATTAGCCAGCGATCAATTAGGATGTATAACTAAAAACCACAATTTCACATAAGACAATCACGTTTTTTTCGAACAATTACAGAGACCTAGCCGACAATTATGAGAATATTCAAAATATTAAACAAAAACAAATAAAAAAAATTAAAACAAAAGGGATACCATAAAGATTTTGACCAATTTATAGAGATTGTGACAGGTAACGACTGTAAAGGTAACATAGAGGAGACATTATCGTATCTACTAAGACAAACTCCAGAATGGTTTATGTTTAAAAATCTGAAGTTAAGTTTAAAAAACGAAAATTGTAAAAACGAAAAGGGAGGAGGGGGCATACTTTATGTTGATTTTTGACCCATTTATAGCGATTGTGACGGTACACGACTGCATAGGTGATGCAGCTGAGACAATAGCGGAACTATTAAGACAAACTCCTGGATGGTTTATGTTAAAAAATCTGAAGTTAGGTTGAAAAAATTGTAATTAAAAACGAAAAGGGGGGATACCTTAAGTTGATTGTTGACCTATTTATAGAGATTGTGACGGGCAATGACTGCCTAAAGGTGATGTAGAGGAGACATTGGCGCAACGTTTAGGAAAATCTCCAGAGTGGTTTATGTTCGAAAATCTGAATTTACGGTTAAAAAACTGAAATTGTGAAATTGACAAAATGAGATTAGGGAGGAAGGGCACTAAAATAAAATTTTGGACCAATTTGAAGAAATTGTAACGGGCAACGACTATATAGGTGTTATAGAAGGGACATTGGTGCATCGTGTTAGAAAATCTCCAGAGTGGTTATGTTCGAAAATCTGAAGTTACGGTTAAAAAACTGAAATTGTGAAATTGACAAAATGAGATTAAGGGGGTAGGCCAATTTCAGTTAATTTTGGACCAATTTCAAGAGATTGTGACGGGCAACGACTATAAAGGTTCTGTAGAGGAGACAATGGCGCATCGTGTAAGAAAATCTCCAGAGTGGTTTATGTTCGAAAATCTGAAGTTACGGTTAAAAAACTGAAATTGTGAAATTGAAAAAATAAGATTAGGGGGCTAGGCCAATTTAAGTTATTTTTGGACCAAGTTCAAGAGATTTTGACGGGCAACGACTATATAGGTGTTGTAGAGGAGACATTGGCGCATTGTTTAAGAAAATCTCTAGAGTGGTTTATGTTCGAAAATCTGAAGTTACGGTTAAAAAACTGAAAATTTTATTGTGAAGTTGACAAAATGAGATTAGGGGGGTAGGGCACTAAAAGAAAAATTTGAACCATTTTAAAGAGATTGTGACGAGCAACGACTATATAGGTGTTGTAGAGGAGACATTGGCGCATCGTTTGAGAAATCTCCAGATTGTTTTATGTTCGAAAATCTGAAGTTACGGTTAAAAAACTGAAATTGTGAAATTGACAAAATGAGATTAGTGGGGTAGGCCAATTTAAGTTATTTTTGGACCAAGTTCAAGAGATTGTGACGGGCAACGACTATATAGGTGTTGTAGAGGAGACATTGGCGCATTGTTTAAGAAAATCTCCAGAGTGGTTTATGTTCGAAAATCTGAAGTTACGGTTAAAAAACTGAAAATTTTATTGTGAAATTGACAAATTGAGATTAGGGGGTAGGGCACTAAAAGAAAAAAATGGACCATTTTAAAGAGATTATGACGGGCAACGACTATATAGGTGTTGTATAAAAGACATTGGCGCATCGTTTAAGAAAATCTCCAGAGTGGTTTATGTTCGAAAATCTGAAGTTACGATTAAAAAACTGAAATTGTGAAATTGACAAAATGAGATAAGGGGGGTAGGCCAATTAAAATTAATTTTGGACCAATTTCAAAGATTGTGACGGGTAACGACTATAAAGGTGTTGTAGAGGAGACAATGGCGCATCGTTTAAGAAAATCTTCAGAGTGGTTTATGTTCGAAAATCACAATCTCTTTAAAAAACTGAAGTTGTGAAATTGACAAAATGAGATTGCGGGGTAGGCCAATTTAAGTTAATTTTGGACCAATTTCAAGAGATTGTTACGGGCAACGACTATATAGGTATTATAGAGGAGACATTGGCGCAACGTTTGAGAAATTCTCCAGAGTAGTTTATGTTCGAAAATCTAGAGTTACGGTTAAAAAACTGAAATTGTGAAATTGACAAAATGAGATTAGGGGGGTAGGCCAATTTAAGTTAATTTTGGACCAATTTCAAGAGATTGTGACGGGCAACGACTATATAGGTGTTCTAGAGGGGACATTGGCGCATCGTGTATGAAAATCTCTAGAGTGGTTTATGTTCGAAAATCTGAAGTTACGGTTAAAAAACTGAAATTGTGAAATTGAGAAAATGAGATTAGGGGGTAAGGCACTAGAAGTAAAGTTTGGACCATTTTAAAGAGATTGTGACGGACAACTACTATATAGCTGTTGTAGCGGAGACATTGGCGCATCTTTTAGGAAAATCTCCAGAGTGTTTTATGTTCGAAAATCCGAAGGTACGGTTAAAAACTGAAATTGTGAAATGGAATAAATGAGATTAAGGGGGTAGGCCAATTTCAGTTAGTTTCGGACCAATTTCAAGAAATTGTGACGGGCAAAGACTATATAGGTATTGTAGAAGAGACAATGGCGCATTGTTTAATAAAATCTTCAGAGTGGTTTATGTTCGAAAATCTGAAGTTACGTTTAAAAACTGAAATTGTGAAGTTGACAAAATGAGATTAGGGGATAGGCCAATTTCAGTTAATTTTGGACCAACTTCAAGAGATTGTGACGGGCAACGACTATATAGGTGTTGTAGAAGGGACAATGGCGCATCGTTTAAGAAAATCTCAAGAGTGGTTTATATTCGAAAATCTGAAGAAATGGTTAAAAAACTGAAATTGTGAATTGACAAAATGAGATTTGGGGGTAGGCCAATTTAAGTTAATTTCGGACCAATTTCAAGAGATTGTGACGGGCAACGACTATATGGGTATTGTAGAAGAGACATTGGCGCATCGTTTAAGAAAATCTCCAAAGTGGTTTATGTTCGAAAATCTGAAGTAACGGTTAAAAAACTGAAAATTTTATTGTGAAATTGACAAAATGAGATTAGGGGGTAGGGCACTAAAAGAAAAATTTGGACCATTTTAAAGAGATTCTGACGGGCAACGACTATAAAGGTGTTGTAGAGGAGACATTGGCGCACCGTTTAAGAAAACCTCCAGAGTGGTTTATGTTCAAAAATCTGAAGTTACGGTTAAAAAACTGAAATTGTGAAATTGACAAAATGAGATTAGGGGGGTAGGCCAATTTAAGTTAATTTTGGACCAATTTCAAGAGATTGTGACGGGCAACGACTATATGGGTATTGTAAAAGAGACAATGTTTATGTTCGAAAATCTGAAGTTACGGTTAAAAAACTGAAAATTTTATTGTGAAATTGACAAAATGAGATTAGGGGGGTAGAGCACTAAAAGAAAATTTTGATCCAATTTTAAGAGATTGTTACGGGCAACGACTATATAGGTATTATAGAGGAGACATTGGCGCATCGTTTGAGAAATTCTCCAGAGTAGTTTATGTTCGAAAATCTGAAGTAACGGTTAAAAAACTGAAATTGTGAAATTGACAAAATGAGATTGCGGGGTAGGCCAATTTAAGTTAATTTTGGACCAATTTCAAGAGATTGTTACGGGCAACGACTATATAGGTATTATAGAGGAGACATTGGCGCATCGTTTGAGAAATTCTCCAGAGTAGTTTATGTTCGAAAATCTAGAGTTACGGTTAAAAAACTGAAATTGTGAAATTGACAAAATGAGATTAGGGGGGTAGGCCAATTTAAGTTAATTTTGGACCAATTTCAAGAGATTGTGACGGGCAACGACTATATAGGTGTTGTAGAGGGGACATTGGCGCATCGTGTATGAAAATCTCTAGAGTGGTTTATGTTCGAAAATCTGAAGTTACGGTTAAAAAACTGAAATTGTGAAATTGAGAAAATGAGATTAGGGGGTAAGGCACTAGAAGTAAAGTTTGGACCATTTTAAAGAGATTGTGACGGACAACTACTATATAGCTGTTGTAGCGGAGACATTGGCGCATCTTTTAGGAAAATCTCCAGAGTATTTTATGTTCGAAAATCCGAAGGTACGGTTAAAAACTGAAATTGTGAAATGGACAAAATGAGATAAAGGGGGTAGGCCAATTTCAGTTAGTTTCGGACCAATTTCAAGAAATTGTGACGGGCAAAGACTATATTGGTATTGTAGAGGAGACAATGGCGCATGGTTTAATAAAATCTTCAGAGTGGTTTATGTTCGAAAATCTGAAGTTACGTTTAAAAAACTGAAATTGTGAAGTTGACAAAATGAGATTAGGGGATAGGCCAATTTCAGTTAATTTTGGACCAACTTCAAGAGATTGTGACGGGCAACGACTATATAGGTGTTGTAGAAGGGACAATGGCGCATCGTTTAAGAAAATCTCCAGAGTGGTTTATATTCGAAAATCTGAAGTAACGGTTAATAAACTGAAATTGTGAATTGACAAAATGAGATTGGGGGGTAGGCCAATTTAAGTTAATTTCGGACCAATTTCAAGAGATTGTGACGGGCAACGACTATATGGGTATTGTAGAGGAGACATTGGCGCATCGTTTAAGAAAATCTCCAAAGTGGTTTATGTTCGAAAATCTGAAGTAACGGTTAAAAAACTGAAAATTTTATTGTGAAATTGACAAAATGAGATTAGGGGGTAGGGCACTAAAAGAAAAATTTGGACCATTTTAAAGAGATTCTGACGGGCAACGACTATAAAGGTGTTGTAGAGGAGACATTTGCGCACCGTTTAAGAAAACCTCCAGAGTGGTTTATGTTCAAAAATCTGAAGTTACGGTTAAAAAACTGAAATTGTGAAATTGACAAAATGAGATTAGGGGGGTAGGCCAATTTAAGTTAATTTTGGACCAATTTCAAGAGATTGTGACGGGCAACGACTATATGGGTATTGTAAAAGAGACAATGTTTATGTTCGAAAATCTGAAGTAACGGTTAAAAAACTGAAAATTTTATTGTGAAATTGACAAAATGTCATTAGGGGGGTAGAGCACTAAAAGAAAATTTTGATCCAATTTTAAGAGATTGTGACGGGCAACGACTATATAGGTGTTGTAGAGGAGACATCGGCGCACCGTTTAATAAAATCTCCAGAGTGGTTTATGTTCGAAAATCTGAAGTTACGGTTAAAAAACTGAAATTGTAAAATTGACAAAATGAGATTAGGGGATAGGCGAATTTAAGTTAATTTTGGACCAATTTCAAGAGATTGTGACGGGCAACGACTATATAGGTGTTATAGAGGAGACATTGACGCATCGTTTAAGAAAATCTCCAGAGTGGTATATGTTCGAAAATCTGAAGTTACGGTAAAAAACTGAAATTGTGAAAACGAGGGATGGCGTACCTTAAGATGATTGAAGACCAATTTATAGAGATTGTGACGGGCAACGACTGTATATGTAACGTAGAGGAGACATTAGAGAAGACATTGTCGTATCTATTTAGAAGAACTCCAGAATCGTTTATGTTTGGAAATCTGAAGTTAGGTGAAAACAAAAATAGGGGGGGGGGGTACCTTGTATAATGGAATGATGTTACTTTTTATACTTGTATACTATAAGTAGTTTTGTAGATAAATTGACTTGTGATTACAATGTAGATTTAAATCATTCCAATAAAGAGTTGAACCAAGTGATACCGGAGCGGACTGTTGGTTGCAGGCTGCAATCGGCAAGTCAGTTGAATATGAAGGAGGAAAGAAAATATAAGTGTTTCACCAAAACATTATATATACGGGTATATAAGGTTCAATTTGTGAATATTTGAAAAATGTGTAAGAATGTTTCTTATTTTTATTCCTTTATTAAACTGAACGAAGGTTTGAAATTTATTTGAAATTGATTCTTGATGTTATAAAACTTATATGTATGATTGCCATTATATGAATTTAACAATTATGAGACAAATAACAAATGATTTACCAGCGGTAAAATTTTAGCTGGAGAAGTTAACTTGCTACGGATAAATAGCAGAAAATGTAGAAATTTCCAGAAATCACTCATAGCGATGTGTACGAAACAGAACCTTTTCAGGAAGAAATACACGACTTTATCAAAATTCCACTGAAAGAATTGTTATGAAAAATAATGATCATAACGCCCGAGTATTTTTTGTTGATTTACAAAGTTATTTAAAAGTGTGCAAAGTTTGCTACAATTCCATTACGACCTTTCTTAAACTTAAATGTTTTGTTATTTTGTTATGTTATATTAAACATGTAATATCACTTTTCATTCAATGTGTGTGCCCTCCCCCACCCACCACCACCCCTGTTTCTTTAATAAAACATGAATTTAATTGAAATCTAGAGACACATGATAGATTATCATGATAATGATTATAGAAAGCCATTTAAAACAACTTACCAAATCTCTAAGGTTAGAAATTTTAAGGTGGATTAATTGGTTTCAGGGACAGATTTCCTCTTACAATATTTTATAACAAGTTTAATTGTTTCAAATGAAGGATTTATGCCCATCTGTCCAAACTCATTAAAACAAAAGTAAATGAGATGTAATAGTTATGTGCAATTCAGTATCCCTATGCATTTTCATCCTTAAATTAAATGAAGTAATTAAGAACTTGTATCTGTCAAGACCTATTGTTATTGTTATTGTAAAATGAATGAGTATTCATTTGGTATAAATAAAACTAAATGAAGTGCAATGTCAATCATTAAGCAACCCAACAAAAAGTAACTAAATAATAAGAACATACATTTCAAATATTAACAGAAGTGTACATAATTAAATGTTTAGAAAAACCTCTTTTAATTCCATTCCCATTGTTAATTCTAAACGTAGAATGAGAGGAAAATATTTATTTGTTTGCATGTATATGTTCACGAATACGTAGTAATCTACAGAAAAGAGAAAACTTAAGCATTTCATAATTGTGACTTTCAAATTATGTCTATTTTTGTTATTGTAATAAATAAACCATTTTCGGCCACTTGCCCTCTTCTGTTTCCGTATGTTTTTTCTTTATTATTTTGTGATATTTATTTATTAAAGATATGTTTATTTAGACAAATTACGAATTTTGAATGACTACTACAAAAAGTGAGATATCGAAAAAAGAAAGCACTATCAAGCCCATTCAAATACTTAATCAAATGATCACTTTAAAATTACTGCCAATACTACTTCAAGTGATCTGAAATATATTGTACATGTCAATAAATGTCTGAAGGTATATAAATTGTCACTTTGATTAACTGGGAAATAATTAATTTTAAACATTAAGGATGAGTGTTGGTCTATTTTTCAAGATTTTAAATATGCATGAGTCAACTTCCACATACAGTGGAGACCGTTGTGTGGTAATAACCATTGTGTCTAAGTTTCATAACTTTTGTTAGAGGCAAACTGAAGTTAGAGAACGGAAACGAAAATTTCATTAATTTTTCCGTTTTTGTCAATTTCACAATTTCAGTTTTTTAACCGTAACTTCAGATTTTCGAACATAAACCACTCTGGAGATTTTCTTAAACGATGCGCCAATGTCTCCTCTACAACACATATATATATTCGTTGCCCGTCACAATCTCTTTAATATGGTCCAATTTTGTTTTTAGTGCCCTACCCTCCTAATCTCATTTTGTCAATTTCACAATCTCTATTAATCGGACCAAACAACGTAAAGTGCACCCCCATTCCCTAAAAATGCATTGTGTCAATGTGTTGACTTATGGTCATTGTAATCCAGCTGTCTATTGAATGCCTTATGTGGATTTATTTAGTTAGGAAAGAAAAGCTTTGTATTCTTTATATATGAAGTATGGTTTCCCTTTTGTTTTAAGTTAGATTTTTCGTATTTGTTTAAAATTGTATGTATTCTCATAATTGTTCGCTAGCTCGAAAAAACGTGATAACCTTATGTGATATTGTGGTTTTTAGTTATACCTCGTAATTGTTCGCTAGCTAATTGTTCGCTACAATTGTTCGCTAGCTTGAGTCAGGTATATTCATGTTTGTTTTTGACATTGACCTTCATATATGAACAGCGTCTATTGACCGATTACTCAATTAACATTTCTTACCTGAAGCAGCCATTATATATTCTAAAATAAAAAAGTAATTCAAAATCCTTTTCAAATCCAAAGTCAGAGATTTGTGTAACATATTCTAGATGCTAATTATAGTTGTAACACGCAGGCTTAGATGAACTTCCTGTCTGACATCAATAATGATAAGCTATGGAGCGCTATTTGAATCATTTGATTATACCTGTATCTGATTAAAATTATTGCGAGGTTTTTATTAATGCGAAAAATGCGAGTGGATGAAGATCGCAATAATAAGAACTCGCATTTTGGTATTTGATACTGATATCTGTATGCAGGTTTTCCTGAAATCGCAATAATTGACCTCGCATTTTAGCCCATTCTTCAAAAATCGCAATGATAAATGCACGCAATAATTTCTGAATTTACAGTATAGAGATTCACTGTAATGAATAATTATGGCCCGCTTAGGGGCATTATGTTTTTCGGTCAGTGCGTCCGTTCATCTTTTCGTCTTCCGTTCGTATGTCCGTCCGTCTTTCTGTCCCGCTTCAGGTTAAGTCATGATTCCCAAACAGAAAAATAAATGAACAAATTACTTTCAGATCGTATTAAAATCACTTTCAAATCGTTATTCTTGAATTTGTTAGTACCATTTGCTTGCAATTCATTAAAGAAATTATACACAAATCAGAAATCGCCCAATTGCCCAAAACTGATTTCTTTGCGATTTCTTTCAATTGTTAGCAAATTGTGTCTGTTTTGTGTGTGATGTCTTTATGATTTGTTTACTTAGAATATCGTATGAAATGATTTCAAAAAGATTTATTAACTTTGTTAGCTAAAATTGTGTTTTCTTTATGATTTGTTTACTTGGAATATCATAGGAAATGATTTGAAAATGATTTGTTAACTTTGTTTATGTTGTTTGCTATCATGGTGTGATTCATTGATGATCTGCTACAATGAAAACAATGTTATTGCATTCAGATTGTCTGGGTTTGTCTTTATCTCTGACTTCCAGTTGAGGTCAAATTCAAATTTCAAATTGTTGTTCTACATAATTGAACATAGAAGCTAGGTTGCAATATGAAGAGTAAGATATACTATCAATGATGACAGTGGTAAGTATCTTAGTCATTAACTTATTGTTTCACGAATTCAATTGATATTATTCAGACATGTCAAAGGTGTTAACCTTTTATATTCGGAAACTGTGCATTTCAGTATCTCGTTATAATTGTATACTGTCTGGATAAATGTTCAAAATAAGAATGTGTAAAAGATATGTTAACAGATCGAGGCATCGAGAAGCTTCCCGAGTCAGCAGATAATATGCACTGGCAAGTTTTATATTTTAATTTTTCATGATATTGACTGGCCAGGTCTAGGACTGTAGCAGATGTGGACCCAGACTAAGACCCATCGCCTACTAGTATTCGACATCCTTCTAGTAAACGTGGTTGCCCATGTGGTTGTCAAATCTCGTTAGATTCAACATGACATCCCTCATGACAATCCAAAATAACAATCCCTTAATAATCAGAGGAGTAGCTAAGATGAAATGAAGACAAGTGCACTTCAAAGATTGGGGGTCTCACAGGTTTTTGATCAAGATGTAAATGATTTAATCTGTGAATCGATGATGATGTCAATTAATTGACGATTTACTTAAGATTTGCTTAATGTAGGATTATGATTTACTTCTGATTTGTTAAAGATTTGATAACAATTTGTTTATAATTTGAAAACAATTTGTTTGTGATTTGATTGAGGTAGGAATATAATTTCATCCTGATTTGTTAAAGATTTGATATCAATTTGATTATAATTTCTTTACAATTTGAAACAAATTTGTTTGTGAAATGCTTGAAGTAGGAAAGCAATCATCTCTGATTGGTTAATTATTTCAAAACAGTTTCTTGACAATTTGTTTATGATTTGCTTATGAATTGGAAGCAATTTGTTTGCGATTTGTTAGCTCATTTGTATGTGAAATTTTATCACTTTCAAATCATAAAGAAATCATATGATTTGGTTATCATTTGTTACCATGATTTGTTCCTACATTTTTTTTGTTTGGTTTAGTAGTTTTTGATGAAGTTCAAGTCCAACCAATTGCAACTTGAAACTTAGTACACATGTTTCCTATGATATGATCTTTCTGCCAATTAAGTTAAAGTTTTGACCCCAATTTCACTGCCCACTGAACATAGAAAATGATAGTGCGATTGGAGCACCCGTGTAATATGGAGACATTCTTGTTAATAATATATTATTGCAGATTAAAGATTAACTTACTAGGATACTCACGTCTTGTATGATCTTACTTCACCATTAAACTAAAGAACCAATATTCATGCTTGTAATTTAAATCTGAACTGGGAATTGTCACATTGGATGGTATTTACAGTTTCCAAGGAGGAATAGGAACGTCTCGCAAAGTAGATGCGTTCACTTTCACTTTTTGGTTTGGTTCGTGTTGCTCATATTTTGTTTACTGTTAAGGTTTTTGTGAAATGTTATTTGACTTTTTTCCCATGATGTTGTCTGCACATTCTATTCTTAAAAAAACAAATATGACAAAGATCGTAGCACAAATGTGAATGAAAGGGATATTGAACACACAGTAATTGAGACAAAAACACAATGCACTGTAACACGACTTCTTATGGTCAACATAGTCTTCCACTAAACAGAAGTGTTTAACTGTATGCCTAGCACAAACGAAACTATCAAGAATCTGCAATCAACAAAAATTTAACAGAAGTGACAAAAGAAATTAAGAGAAATGGCTTAAACATCAACTAGAAGAGAGAGTAAAATCATACAAAAGTAGCATATACAAAGAATATGCACAACTAATGAAGCAAACTTCCAAACAAGGACCGAAGTTCTTAAACTCGGCAATCAATGCGTGTTGAAAGCAGAACTTTGGGAAAGTTCGGAAAGCCAGAAACCTTACTTCAAAAGATCCTTCTGTTTAATTGAGGTCTGGAGCTGACATGTCAGTAACTGCTAGTAGTCCTGTGTTAATTAATGTATCATTGTCATTTTACTTATAGTTATTTTGTTAACTATTCTGACATCGAACTCGGACTTCTATATTGTGCGAATTTCTGTGTGTTTGTTTTTTCTAGATTGGCAAGAGGTATAGGGGAGGGTTGAGATCTCACAAAACATGTTTAACCCGCCGCATTTTTGCGCCTATCCCAGTTTAGGAGCCTCTGGCCTTTGTTAGTCTTGTACGTTCTTTTCTTAATTTTAGTTTATTTAATTATATGTCTTGGAGTTTTAGTATGACGTCCATTTTCACTGAACTAGTACATATTTTTGTTTAGGGGCCAGCTGAAGTCCGCCTCCGGGTGTGGGAGTTTGTTGCTGTGTTGAAGACCCATTGGTGGCCTTCAACTGTTTTTTACTCTTTGGTTAGGTTTTTGTCTCTTTGACACATACCCCATTTCCATTCAATTTTATTCTGAAATGAGCTTTTTACAGTAACGTCATGAACAGAAAAAAATAAAGAAAACATTACGAATATATATAAAGATTAAGATAGACTGAGGTACTATAACTTTGGATAGTCACATAAACATGTAGCTGGGTTAAAATAGTTTATGCTTGAACAACCACTTTAAATCTCAAACAGTGGAATAATAAAAAAAAATCATTTTCAGAATGATACTCGATTTTCGAAAGTTCTTTTCATTTGCTAGGTGTTTTTGGTTTTTTTTGAGTTTATGACAGTCGTTGTCCAAAGAAATTCCGTTATTAGAAAGCTGTAGGGTAAACAGTAGTATTCTACAATTCTTGTTTGAACATCCTTGTCTATTGAGTTTTTAATTAAAGCACTCTCTAAACTACGATTCCGTTTATATATAATCGTGTCTGGACCCTTTTTGGAAAAAAACGAAGTAACGATAGACTATATTCAAGCTGATTGCTCAATTAATGCATGAACTGCTATTAATGTTGACAACATCCACATAAAATGCCAGGTTGTCGATTCCGAAATAATGAATTATATTAGAATTTATTAACAGTGTAAGTAGAGAATTTTTTTGGCTTTATTCTAAGACCGGCTGAATATTCTTCCCTAAAACAAGTATGGTATATTCACATGTAAGAATGCAAGTACTGACTTATATATCCAATGAAAGAGACTTTGAATTAGGGAAGTTTACGGACGATAGAAGCCAAAGAATGAAAATAACTTACAAGGCCCAATATACCAGGAGGAGAGCTGAATAATGTCGATTGAAGTCAAGGCAATATATATTTCCACAATTCGATTTTTTCCCACTGAAACCTTCCCCTTATCATTTTCATATCAGTTTGTGTATGTTCGTATTAATGATTTATAACAGCAGTAAAACATTTTGTGTCATGATTTGTATAACCCAAAAAAGTGCGCACTGTGAAACTGTTATATCTTCATCTAGTATTTAGTAATGGATATTTTTCAGTTTGACAGGTAAATTTAAATTGTCTAAAAGGATGCAATAACATTATTATAATGGGATTTTTTTTTTAAATTTCACGTCCATTGGCCTTTTTTGAAAAACGACGGATTTTTTTTCACCAATTATGATCATCTAACATCTATAATAACGTGTTGCCAATTGGTAAGACACTATTCAAGTTAGATTTATATATTTGTTATACACTGTTATTCTTCATATGGTCAACAGTTTTGTTGTTTATAAAGTCTACACTTATTTAAGTTGTAATGGTATATTCTTGATTTTGCAACTTTTGATTTGCATCATAATCACCCTAAAGAGTTTCGTATTGGTTGTGTATGGTGTATATAAGCAGTCAAGTCGGATCAGAGATGGAACGTGAAATCCAATGCCTGATGTGCAATCATTTAAAACAAATGACATGCCATTACAACAATAACGCTCCTACTACATGCCATTATAGTATTACTTAACACTTACTCTTCTACATGACATTATGGCAACTGCGTAAATAATACTGAATACCCTCAATGACATCATAGACACTACGTCACATTCATTCACCCATCATGACATTATAGCCGCTACGTAACACTTTATATCCTAGAAAACATCTCAGCCACTACGCAACACTTACTCACCGTAAATAATCATTGACCCTACGTAGTACTTACGCCACCTACATGATATTATAGTCACTACGTAACAAATACTCCGGCTAAATGGCATTATAGCCACTAAGTAACACTGACTTTATCCCCTACAAAAAAAAATATAGCCACTACATAACACCTAATCACCCTACCCTACATGGCATTATAGCCTCAACGTAACACTTATTCGCCCTACAAGATATCATTACCACTACGTAATAATTACACCACCTACGTGACCTTATAGGCACTACGTAAAAGTTACTCCACGCGAATGACATTATAGGCACTACGTAACACTAACTCCCCCTTCATAACATTAAAGCCACTACATAACACGTATTCCCCTAAATGACATTTTAGCCACTACATACCACTTACTCGCCCTTCATGAGAGTTATATCCACTTCGTACTCTGTACTCCACCTACATAACATTAAAACCACTACGTGACACTAACTCCTCTTTCATGACATTATAGCCACTACGTAGCACACAATCCCCTACATAACATAAAAGCTACTATGTGACACATAATCCCCCCATTAGACATAGCCACCAAGTGCAAATCGCACTTACTCCACCTAAATAACATTAATGCTATTACGTAACACTTACGCTCTCTCAATAACATATACTGTATAGCGGGTTATTTTCGTTTATTTTGGCGGGTAAGGGGAAATCGCGAAATTAAATTCCGCGAAAATTTATGCATACTTCGCTTCTTTCTTATAGCTAAAGCGTTTTGAAAACTATCTATTTATCCCGTTCGTCGGATCAATAATGGTTTATGTTAATTTAACTAACATAAATGCGAAAGGCCACTGTTCTCTGGCTGTCAGGTGTTAATTGGTTAATTGGTTACATAATAAAATAATTAATAATATAAGAGTGTAAGGCACTCTGTCATGTATTTTGTCCTTATTAATTAGTGTCAAATTATATAAAAGTTGCAAGTCACTCATGATAATTTCATGATCTAATTAGTATATCAAAGGTCCGGTCAATTTCGTATCTAATCAACCGTAACATTTACCAGAGGTTTGTTCACCTGTTACCAATTTCTAAGTACCTGTATTCTATTGATTAACTGTATCAAAATATAATCAATAAATTAGACGTCAAGCAGGTAAAACAATCATTTAACCATAACAGTGTCAATTTTTACAACTTTTTGACTGCAACCATTTCAGTATCCGCCAAAGTATTTAATTGGGATTAAAGAATCCGCCAAAATAAAAACCGCCAAAATTTTTCGTATACTTTGTTGCCCCCAAATCGCGAAATTTTACAACCGCGAAAATAACCCGCTATACGGTAAATCCTATAATGAATTTCCATATTCATTGTTCTACAACTTCATGAATGATTTAGATCGGGTTTATTATAAGTGAGAAAAAACACCGTTCTACTTGCTTGTTAGTGTATAAAACCAAAACAATAGGAGTGTTACTCAATCACAACAACAAGCAATAAATAATGTTTAATTGTTACATTGATAAGCCTTTTTTTAATCAAGTTTGATTTTCTCAATTGCATGATTCGTTTTATTTTTAAATGACCGACGATCAAAGAGTTGCACACTATAAACAAGTTCAATGACTCTTGCAACGACTCTATGTGCACTCCTTGAATACACTTGTTGCAAGGCAGAATTTTACAGATATTAACCTCTTTTCCTGTTGCAGTTACAATGTTCTTCATTCAACCCGGTTTTCCCACCTTGCACAGCAAATTCCTTGATTCATTTTTATTTGTTTACGTCACGAATATGCATTTCAAAATTGTCAATGGACAATCAAAGAATCAAACCTTGTTTAAAATCATCTATTCAATTATGTCCTGTAAAGTCTACCATATATTATCTATCATCAACATACACAAAGAACCGTCAAGTATCGTGTGATGTTGAATGTAAGTTAATTGTCCGCAATATAGGTTAAACATGTTAAAACGTTATATTTAAACATGAATAAACACTTAATTGTTAAAAGCTATAAATTAACAATAATCATATAATCATGTTGTATTGATATATTTAATTGGATAAAGCACTACACAATACGTTACAAATTATCTTCTGTGACATATTTATATGACTATTTATAAATCATTTATATACACAATATTATGTGTTTTAGTTAATTGATGCAAATGCTGACATTTATTAAGTTTTGTAAATTTTGTTTAAGTGCAGAACTAAGTGATGCCGTTCGTGTTAAAATAGCGATGTTTACATCTAGATACTTATTGAAAGCAACTTTGATAAACTATAATCATATACCAAACACAGGTAGTTTATCTCTCTCTATATTTTTATAATTTTTATAATACCATGCTCCATCTAGCATGGTTCTATTTAAAAGCAAAATTGTAAGGAAAGCAATTTATGTTATTTTCATGTGCGTCTGATATCTTACGTAACTGTCGTTACAGAAGAAACACTGTTTTTGGATAGCCCGGTTTTGATATTAAGTATAAGTTTTGGTACAGACTGACAAAAAGTTGGGAAGATATATCACCATATGGTGGACGACATGAGATGGGTATAGTATATAATTTACAAATACATTTTAGGTGTTAAATCCTCATTATAAACACAAGGAATTTAAATCTCACCGCACAACCGACATTGGACATTTTTTCCTATCGTCAATATAAAATACAGTTGTTTCAGTGTACTTAAAATTATCGTAATAACTCGACATAATTAATCATGAACTACAACAAATGTATTTCCCCGATATTTATATACTGATATTTGCCATCATATAAACCGAATTTGTATTTTTATTTTTCTTTGCAAATAGTAAATGACTGTAGAATATGACATTTCTGACCAAAAAAATAAAATAAAATATAAGCCTGGTATCTTTGATGACTTTTAGAAAAATATAAGATTACTAACACATTAAAGAAGAAAAATATTCTAAAAGACTGAAATTTATGCAGCTAATTTTGGTGGGGTTTGTGTTGCTAAGTCTTTAGTTTTCTATATTGTAATTGTTATAAAATACATCAAATACCATTATTTAAAATCTAATCTTGAACTATATCAAATTTTTAGAAATTTACCTATAACGTCACTTTTGAGGAGTCGATCAAGTCGTGTGACAGACAATGCGTGGTTCTGTTGTGCTGTTTTTATGTGCTGTCCTAGGTTGATTTTACGTGATCGTTTTTATTCTGTGGTTATTCAGCACTTCGGTGTTGACATGAATATCAATTATATTGTAAGTTTTATAATTTTACTGTTTGCAAAAGTAGGAATTATTCTAAATACTAAGGATTTTCGTATCCCAGGCATAGATAACATTAGCTGTATTTGGCACAACTTTTCGGAATTTTGGGTCATCACTGCTCTTCAATTTTATACATGTTTGGCTTTCTGATTTTTTTGATGTGAGCGTCACTGATGAGTCTTATGTAGATGAAACGAGCGTCTGGCGTATTAAATTTTAAGCCTGGTACCTTTGATAACTATTAGCATGTCGAAATGTACTATTGTATTGTTTATTTGTGTATTTCTCTGTCCTGAATGTTCTTGAATTTATTTATACTGTAGTCCTGTTATGTAATGTGGTCATAGTAGTGTTATATTTAACATTGCCATAAAAGCGCGAGGTTTGGCTAGCCACAAATCCAGGTTCAACCCACCATTTTTTCTTAAAATTTCCTGTACCAAGTCAGGAAAATGGCAGTTGTTATCTTATAGTTCGTTTCTGTGTGTGTTACATTGTCGTTTGGTTTTTTGTTGCACTTTAGTGTTTCTGTTGTTTCGTTGTTTTCTTCTTTTAGTTGATGTGTTTCCCTCGGTTTTAGTTAGTTAACCGGATTTGTTTTTTCTCAGCGATATACTTCTGTTGCTTTTATTTGTGTCTTGTATAGTATTATTTGTCTATTTGTCTTTTTTCTTATTTTTGCCATGGCGTTGTCAGTTTGTTTTCAATCTATGATTTTGAATGTCCCTCTGGTATCTTTCGCCACCCTTTATTGAAAAATGATACACCTATAGTCGTTCGGGATTACAACGGAAAACGATATATCCTAAGATTACATTTGAAACAAATCAACAACAGACAGGGAATTACAATGCATTTGGTCAAATGAATTAAAACGCTCATTGTTCGAATTTTTTTTAAATTGCATCTTATTACTGGTGGCTGACAAATAGGATGTAAAAAAAATAACATTTAAATGCTTTTGGTTTTTTTTTTACATTTGTTATAAATAGTTACAACAAAAATCCGGTCAATTCAATATTTTATTATGATGAAATGAAGTCATATATACATGTACAACATAACTTGGTCTTCAAGTTAGCATGATCGTGTGCGTTATATTTTGAAAAAAATGTTACATGTCGGCTGTATGGTATAAAAATAGAAATGTATCCTAAAATTTTACTTATTTTAGTGAATTGGTTTCTATTTATTTATTGTTCGTCGTGTACAGAAATTGAACATATTTCATTTTACAAAAATGCAATTAAGCCTACTTTTTGCTTATTTGAAAATAACATTCCCGTCATATTATATATTATTAAGTTGCATGATACATTAATTAGTAAAATAAATATAAAATCGTGAATCCACGTATCGTCTGTTCCAAGAACCATTTGTTTTTTAATTATTTACCATAAAAGCGAAACCATCCTTGATTCTTGAAACATAAACCTTCTTTTTTCAATAGTTACCTTTTAAAATAATCGTAATTTATGTGATAAAATTGGCAATTATTCAATTCTTTATGTACACTAAGACACAAACTATGTGTTAAATGAGGACAAATTACAAATCAAATTCAATAAATGACAGAATAGACAGGAATCTAATAACACAAGTGTACTTTCTAAAGATCATAAAACTTGTAAGAAACATACATCTTACTAATTGAGAGTAGATAGTTTCTTGATAAATATAGATAAATTATGCACTAACTGACACTGACACAATGACAGCATCTTTTGCATTTTTAGTACATATGAATGTGTTGTATAATAGATCGGTATATATTTCTTCCGAAGTTTAGTAATACCCGGTAGAAGTAATTAATGCTGACAATTTCGTTCTTATCAACTGAAATCAAACAGATTATATGCAATTATCATGACATAAATCTAAAATATAAGTTATGTCATTGCTTCGCATCAAGGTGCGGAGCTATTAGTTCCAGTCGACATACACGCCATCTTGAAATAATAACTTATCACATATGGATTCTGATTGGTTGCTTTACGATGCGGCTGAGATACTGCAACAGCTATTGGCTTAAATGAGATAAAGAATTACAGACTTTTTTCGTCTCAGGATAAGACATCGAATGCCGGAAAATTAACTATGTGTATTTCAGTTCCGATCGTCTGTTATTAATTCATATTTGTTTTATTGTGCATATATTGCACACTAAAATTCAATATTGAAATATCAATTATTAATACGTCTTTATTTGCTTTATTACTTTGCAATATGCACGATTTGTTTTACTAAACAATGTTCCTATACAATGTTTACAAAAAAGTATTATCTATATTTTATAACTTCTGCCAATCTAGGCACACCTCCAGAGCGGCTCAACTTCCATAGTCGTGTCTATTTGTAAATGTTTCAATTTTCAACAGGTAAAGAGAACAAAATTTTAAAAGCATGGGAAATGTGGCATTATGCACACTCTTCAAGTAAATCAATTTTTAAAAATACCACATTTCCAATACTAAATCAACAACCACATGCACACAAATTACATTAAATTATGTTAGAGCGAAGCAGTCCATAGCTTTTTAGAAAGCTCAAACTTGTTTGCTATTAGTGTTTCATGATATGCTCCATTTAAAAGTATCATAAGGGATGTAATGGAAATAGGACTACATTAACTACTCTAATAATCTTCCCAGTGAAGAGCTCCATACACAAGTGTACATAATTATAATGGACATATCTAAAATAATTCCCTCGAGGATTAGCAATTAATCATAAAACTCAACATTTCAGACGCATCTGAAGAAGAAAATCAACACGGAGAAAGTCAAACATACATCTTTGACAAGGAATATAATTGTGGACTAGATGCAAGTGAGGAAAATGACGATGATATAAACAAAACATCTGATTGGGTTTCACCAAAAACCAACCATCAAATCTCATGTTGTTCTTGCATTAAAAAACGAAGATGGAACTTTTTGATCATTTTCCTTGCAATTTCATTAAGTTCATTTCTAGTATCTATAGGATTGGTGATATACCTTATGCTTCAATTCCAGGATTTGAGTTTAGAGCTTGCAGGTTTGTTCATTTGCAGATTATTATACTAATATGAGTTTTTTGGATTTTTTTTATTAGCAAACAATATAAACTTCAAAAGTAAAAATACATGTTACAAAAATATCGAACTCCAAAGAACACTCATAACGGAAAGTCCCTTAAGGAGTAGCAAAATCACAAGCTCAGACACATCAAACGAATGTAAAAGTACTGTCATATTCCTAATTTGGTACAGGCGTTTCCTTATTTAGAAAGTTATGGATTAAACCAGTTTTTAAAGCTAACTATAAACCTCTGAACACAGTCCCATGAATTTTATTATATTGACAAGAATGTGAGAGCAGAATAAACAGAAAGAATATTATAGGTAAACATGTCAAAAATTGTGGTACAGCCGTCACCATTATAATACGGATCATTATAAAAACAAACAACTATGTCAGCAAAGAAAAACAATGGCTTCTAAACACTCTATAGACAAAGCACGTAAGCAGCCATTTAAGATATGAATACAAACAAGACCCAAGCACAAAAACACAAAGGCGGGATGTACAAGTACCGAACCACGCCAAAGATTATACGAAAAATGGACCACACAGTGAAGGTAAAAAATATACAACGACAAATAAAGGGAACAATATAATACCTAATCAAAATGAAAAACAACACTAGTACCTAGAATTTATACTTCTAGACCATCGTGTATTATTTGTGAAGTTGATATTGAATATTAATCAACAAGGTCTTGGTATCTTCCGATGAACTTTAAATAAATCAATTGCGGCTTTTATAAGTTTTAAAGTGTAATAATAAAATCAGAAAGCAAATTTGTAGAAAAGCAAGTACTTTTCTAATCAACCATATTTTGTTTTATTGAAAAAGCTTTACTTTTACATTCGTTCTACCAATTTACAGTATTGAGGAACAATTCCTTGCACAACAGATTTCAGATAAAAAAATCTGAAGAAGAAGTAGAAAGGTTATTTGTTGGACATGAAAAACATAGTGAACACATCAACAACATGGGCATCAGTAAGTTTTACATGTTTGTGATCGGAGGTCACAATTTCTCTTTAAAGGGGCGGAGGGGTGATCATTTTTTGATATAAACATGTTATTTCCTGATAATTGCAAATGTAACATCAATATAAGTAACGTAAAAATGTCTTACGTTTAAATTTGAAGGCCTTATTTTACACCTTTTGTTTAAGCGTTAATCACTTGATATATTGTGGTCAAACCCTTTGCACTCAAATATATTTTTTTGTGAAAGATTCGGGTAGTTTATTGCACAAAACTGAAGACTTTGAAACTTGGTATTTTTTTCTTCTTTGCAAAGTGTGTTCATTTATGTATAAAAGAGCCCAAAGGTAGAAAAAAGTGTGACCCGACCGTCCGAACGGCTATCTAACAAAATAGTCAATTACAAATCCGATTTAGCTTGTCAGTCTAGTTATACACAGAAGGATTCAAATTCATACACCATCAAAAAGTTTTAGCTTTAAATATATAGAAGAAACTTGTCAAGCTAGACGTTATAAACAACTGATGTAGCTTGATAATTTTGCGCATTCAATTTTATATGCTGAATCAGGCTAAGGATGTTTGCTACTCTGTTTCAAAATAACAAGCTATTTAAACGACTGTTATTAAATGATAGTATATCAATAAAGAAAATAAAAAAGCAGATAAAAATAAAGGGTCCATGTGCTTGTTTGAGATAAAAACCAATAAAAAATTGGCGGGAAATAATACTCTCTAGATTTTTTATACATTTCACACTGGCTCCTTTATTCTTTGAAAAACGATGATAGAATAACATGGATTTTACAAGATTTTCTACTATATTTTAAAATTTATGTAATCAAATTATAGAAAGAAAAGTAGGTTAGTGGGCAAGTTTTTGTATGGCACTATATGGATAAAATCCGAGGACTCGAAATATTTGGCAAACATTAAAAAACAACTTCTTCGTGTCTGGTTTAACAGTTACAGTGCCTTCCTGAAACAAAAGTTGTCTGTATTTCTTCTGTAACCTTTGTTATAACTAACAACCGTTTTGTCAGTCCTTAGTCAGGAACATGATCTTGTCTTCTTTATTTAACATTTTTGTTTCTTTCGCTTTACTTTATTTCGTTTACTTGATGAGCTTACATTTTTTCAAATTTTAAAGTAATTTGGTGTAAGTTTCAGATGTTTGGTAATCTCTGTGGAATGGATAAGCATTTGATTTATAATATTTTAAATCACACTAAAAGTACGTCCTACAATGACAGTGATTATTAAGTAATTTCATTAAAATTTCAAAAAAAAAAATATAAAACATTTTCCGCTTGTGCAGTTTGCAACAAACATACGCGTACAAAGTAAAACATTAAATAGCTAACGTCCAAATTGATTTATTTCTATCTATAGTGTTAAAGAATTATACAGTTATGTTCAATCAAAATATTGGAAAACTTAAAGTGGATGTCAATGACTTAACAAAACTGTATGACAATCAGGTCAAAATACAGAGAGATATACAGACACTGATAGAGACTAATAATAGAAATACCTGGATGAAGATAGGGAAAATTGACACAAAAGATATCCTGATCCAAAAACAAATTGATGAAATAGTACGGACACAAAACTCTTTTCAACAGAAGCTGTCAGACATTTTAATGGCAGGTATGAAGAGATTCTTAGGATACTTTATTTCTATTCTTAAAATTTCTTCCTTTACATTTTAGATTGATAACGACTGTTGTTATGTCGAAATATATTTTTTTTCTATTTTCAAGTTTATACAGTAAAGATTAGTTGCCAACGATCACATATTGAACTTTCATAATTTTCAGGAACTTGTTATCTTAATTGTATAAATGTATGAGAAAAAAGTAGGTTGCAACTGGTTCCTCCGTGTCTTTTATGTCCAATGTTAAAATAGGTATCAGAAGAAACTAAGCAAAATGACAATGATCAACATAAATTAACAAAGGACAAATAGCGGTAACTGACATGCCAGCTCCAGACCTCAATGAAACTGACCGAAAGACCACGTCTTCATCATATGAAAATCAAGCACAATCCCTCCCGTAAGGGGTTTACAATCATGCCATCATAAATTATACGAGAAGAACATTTATTCCAGCATACCTGTAAATTTTCACACTTGTTTGTACTCGACTTTCTTATCGTTTTTCTGGTTAAAGTAAAAAGAAACAGAAAATACCAAAGGATACCAGTCATAAGTCGAAGAAAACTAGCAACACCATTCAAAAGAACGAAGTATGATGATATTTTGACATTTCAGAATACACATTGTAAATACATGTACATGTATGCATCAATCAAAAAAATAAATTGCATTTATAAAACATTGTCCTATTAATAAATGAAAAACACATTGTTTTTCAACTGAGAAATAAAACTGCACAAAAAGTCATATTTTATAAATTATTCATCTATTTCAGGATCCAATGAAGAGATAAGTAAACAGAAAACAAACCACAGTCAATGGATCTGTTCCACGTCAGGAATACACACATTGTTATTTTCTATATTTCTTTTTATTATCCTTTGCATGTAGGCGGTACTTTGATATATATATATATTTATCTTCATTAATAAAATTACTGCAATAAAAAGTGCAATGTTAAGCTGTGACCAATTATCACCAACAACTTCTTAAACAAATCAATTTCTTAGAATATTGTGGATAAATTGTAATTGTATATCCTTTCATTTTTAGACTAAACATATGAGTCGAGTTTTGATAGAAATAAGTATTTTGATACACAAAGTGAAGACATAAATTCATCCTTTAAATAGAAAAAAACAACATATGCTTCTCTGTGACCTTAATTTTAAGACAGTTTTGCATGAACAAGTGAGGGGTTTTGACTAGACGTATCACAATTCTGTTGTGTTCCGACTCCTAATGGCCAAATAATTGTTCTTGTTGTAAAGTTTTATTCAAATAGCTTGTTGTCCTGTTATACCTCGTAGTATCAATGGTAAAACTTGCAGTTGTTTTAATTATATTGATCTTGCCTTGAAATTTTTAATCAATTTGCTCAAATGAGTAAACTTATACATTTTTATTTATTGTATGAAATTTAATTACATTTCAATAGCCCGGAACAACTTCAAATCAAGTTTTACTGGTCCGCAAACATATGTAGTAGACTCGTGCTTCAGATAGGTTGATTAAGGCGAACACTGTACTAATGGTTTATATTGTAATTGGGTTTTAGAGACTAATCTGTTGATCTCTGACGTCATGCAAACTATTTACATTTTGCGAAAAATAACATAATATCAAAGAGTACAATTGCAAGTTAAAAAACGTAAAGACAAAAGATCAGAAAAACACACAGAAATAAATATTGAACAGAATTTGAATGGTAGAGTACTTTTTCCACCGTAAAGCCTTTAGTTTTTCTATGTTGTGTTTGAGTACTATTGTTTGTCTGTTTGTCTTTTTCTTTTTTAGCCATGGCGTTGTCAGTTTATTTTCGACTTATAAATTTGAAAGTCCCTTTTGTATCTTTCGCCCCTCTTTTTGTCGCCTCTCTCCCTTAATTTTGCTTTACCATGAAATAAGAATAAATTACTGAATAAAACATTATTGAAAGCTATCAATTTGCTTTAATTCTAATATCACGTTGTATTAAAATGAAAATAATTCAATCGGGGTGACGCCCTGGTGCTCGTTGGTGTATTCAACTTGAAATATTAAATTGGACAAATAATACACAATGATCGTGATATTGATTTCAAGTGTCAAATATAATGTAACTTTCACCCAAGTTACGAATTATCTACTGTGACATATTTATATAAATATTATTTATGGTCATCAATGCTCTTCAACTTTGCACTTGTTTGGCTTTATAACGATGTTGATCTGAGCGTCACTGATGAGTCTTATGTAGAAGAAACGCGCGTCTGGCGTATCAAATTATAAGCCTGGTACCTTTGATAACTAATTATAATAATCATGTATCAATATTGTGTTTGTAAGTCATTGCAAAATCAGACACTAAGCTTTGTAAACTTGGTTCAAATAAGTAAAGAATTGTTTTGAGTGATTTAACTATCATCATTTAAGAAATCCATGATTTGAAAGTAGTTGTAATACTTCCCTATTTATATAAATAATATCATGCTCCATCTATGTCGTTCTATTTAATGTAAGGAAGGAAATTTATGTTATTTTCATATTTCTTCAATATTTTATATTTGGAAAGCCTCTTTCTGAAATGAAGTATAATTTAAGTACAGACTGAAAAATTAATCGGAAAGATATCACCAGCTATGGGTATAGTATTTGATTTACACATACATTTTAGGTGATAAATCTTTATCATAAACATACGAAATTTAAATCACACCACACAACCGACACTGAACATTTTGTTTGAAACCCTACGGCATGGTTGTGGTTATATAAGACAAGACAGAATTTTTTTCTTTTTGAAAGTTATGAAAATGATACATCTTTGATTGGTACGATATTCCCGGGCTCCTATTTCCTATCATGATTTCCTTGATAGAGGGTTGCTGCTCACAAGGAGCTATTAAACAAAGAGTTCCAAATGGTGAAGTTAAAATCATCCCGTAAATTTTACGGACGCCATCACGAGTTGGTTGACCGTTATGGAATATCCGTTTCACAGATGATATCGGATATGTTCCTTATGTCGTTCCTTCAATGCCTTTTCACGAATGTGACCAATCGAATTAGACTATTTACCGAGGTTTTAATAACATGAGCAACACGACGGGTGCCATACGTGGAGCAGGATCTGCTAACCCTTAAGGAACACCTGAGATCGCCCCCAGCTTTTGGTGGGGTTCGTGTTGCTTAGTCTTAATGTTCTATGTTGTGTACTATTATTTGTCTGTTTGTCTTTTTCTTTTTTAGCCATGTCGTTGTCAGTTTATTTTCGATCTTTGAGTTTGAATGTCCCTCTGTTATCTATCGTCCCTCTTCTATGATCGTTCGGGAATACGACGGAATAGGATGTATCCTATGTCTACGTACCATTTGAAATAAATCAACAACAGATAGGAAATAACAATGAATTTGGGCAGGTGAATAGCAACGCGTATTGATCGAATATTTCGTAACTACCATCTTACCTGTAACTGGTTGGTGAAAAATAGGATGAGAAGAAATAAATATAACATGGAAGTTCTACTTTATTTTACAAAATTTTGTAATAAAAATTTATAACTTAAATACGGTCAATTCAATGATATCAAATTTGGTTTACTTATATTTAAGATTGATGTCATGATAATTCATATTATATTTCAGTACTAAAAAACGAAATTGTGTACATTATCTAACTTAGTACTTAACACTCTAACTATTGAAAACCTTTTTTTTTCAGGAATTTTAAGGATGTTCGCTACTCTGTTTCAAAATGACAAGCCTTTTAAAAGACGGTATTAAATTGATAGTTTATACATAAAGGAACTTAAAAAGTAGAAAAAAAAATTAAGGGTTATTGTGCTTGTTTTCGAGATATAAGCCAACGAACATTTGACGGGAAATGATTCTCGCTAGATTTTTCATACGTTTAACATTGGCACCTTTTTTCTTTCAAAAAATCTATGAAAAAAAACAAGGATTTTATAAACTTTTGAAATATGACTTCTTAAACTATATATAATAATATTATGAAAAGAAAAGAAGGGGTTAATAGGCAAAACTTTGTAATAGCACTATATGGATAAAACCAGAGGATTTCGAATATCTGGCTAAAATTCAAAAACAAGAGAAGCGAACATCTTATATATTAAATATTGAATTTGGTTAAAATAAAATAAAGTCATTCTTAGTACTTCATTACATGATCGTGTGCGTTAAGGTTTTGAAAAGAAATGATACATGTCGGTTGTATGGTGTAAAAATAGAACTCTGTCCCCAAATTTTCCTTAGTACAGTGAATGCTGTTTCTATTTCTTTTTTTCCGTTTACTGACATTGTACACATTTAATGATAGTTCAACCCATTTTCTGCTCAATTCTATTTTATGCGACTGTCATACAAGTGAGATGTTAAGCTTGCTATAAAACCAGAAATGTTTTCTTAAAATCAGGAATATGGCAGTTGTAATCAAATAGTCCATTTCTATGTATGTTTGTTTTTGAAGCAGTTCAGTGTGTCTGTTGTTCCGTTGTTTTCCTCTTATAGTTGATGTGTTCCCTCGGTTTTGGTTTGTGACTTGGATTTGTTTTCGCTCAATCGATTTATGACTATTGAACAGCGGTATACTACCGTTGCCTTATTTAGCATTCCGTCATAGTATCAACAAATTGGATGATTGATTAGTAATATTTATAGAAAATCGTGAATTCACGTATCGTCTGGTCCAAGAACAGTTGTCTTTTATTTTAACAAAACTATTTTTTATCATTTATCATAAATCATAACTATTATTGGTTTTTAGAAAATTAGTATATAATTCCTGAAAGTACTAAGTTAGCAGCTAGCATTCAAACCGTAATTCATTTGATAAAAGTGGCAAGAAATGTACACAATCACGTTCTTTTCAACTTAACCAAAAATAAAAAATGGATTATCATGAAATAAATCTAAAATATAAGTTAAGTTATTTACAATTAATGTGCCATGATATACTTCCATTTAAAAGTATATAAGGATTGTCAAGGAAAAAAGGCAACCTGAAATACTCCAATAGTCTTCCAAGTGAAGAGCTCCATATATAGGAGTACATAATTATAATTGGCATGTCTAAAATTAAACCCTCGGTGAATAACATAACAAATAATTTAAAACTCAACATTTCAGAAGTGGATTCAATTGACGATGATATAGGCAAAACATCTGATTGGGTCTCACCAAAAACCAAACAGCAAAACTCATGTTCTTGTATTAGTAAAATAAGATGGAAGTTAGTTATTGTTTTCCTTGCCATATTAGCAAGTTCATTTCTAGTATCCATAGGCTTGGTCATATACCTTATGCTACAATTTGAAGATTTGAGTGTAGATCTAGAGCATGCAGGTATGTTTAATTAATGAATTAATAATTTCATTTTGGATGTAACACGTCTTTGTTTTATTTAAAACGGTTATACTTTTACTTTCTTTTTACCATTTTACCGTTGTAAGGAACAATTCCTTGCACAACAGATTTCAAATAAAAAAATCTGAAAAGGAAGTAGAAGGGCTTTTTGCTGGACATGAAATTCATAGTGAAAACATCAACAACATGTGCATCAGTACGTTTAGCACGTTTTTGATGGGAGGTTAAAATTAAAAAAAAAAAAGGGTTGTAGTGTTGGTGGGGGTTATGCTTGTGGTACGAACGTGTGATTTCATGATAGTTGCATATGTAACATAGATATAACTAACGTAAAAGTTTCTTTTGTTTAATTTTGAAGGGGTTTATTTTACATCTTTTATTCAAATGTAAATCACTTGACATAATGTGGTCAAAGGCTCTGCACCTAAATATTTTTTTCTAAACAGTGAACGATTCGGGTAGTTAATTCGACAAATCTAGAGACTTATTTTATTACTATATCTGTGTCAAGTGTAAAAAGAAAAAGTTCAAAGGTCCAAATAGTGTGACTGGTCAGTAACTTGTGTTTTTCGAACGGTTTACAGAGCAAAGAGTTGTCGGCTCGGATTCAGAAAAAAAGTGCACAGCAGGGGTAGTTAATAATAACATAAACGGTACCATTTTTTCTGCACCAGATGCGCATTTCGACAATCAAAGTCTCTTCAGTGATGCTCGAGGCCAAAATATTTGAAAATCCAAAGCTTATTAGAAAGATGAAGAGCTATCAACAAAAAAGAACAAAAAAGCCGGGCAAATATCCACATTGCAATAACATGCTCCTCATTTCATCCTCGTGTCTGTTTGTTTTGGTTTGCTCCAATTTGTTGTTGTTACTTGTTTTGTTTTTTTTTGGGGGGGGGGGGGGGGGGTCGCATATGATCGGGCTATACTCTGTCCCCCTGTCATATTTTAGAACGTTACTACATAGTCGAAAGTATACAACTCAGACAAACTTAAACTGTTTGATACAGTATGATAAATGTACTGACATTATTTACATTAATGAGGCAACAATCCAACTACTTAAACTCATTGCAATGTGTTACTAATTTGTGACTGGTCTTTAATACATTAAGGTAAATTGCCATTCTGGTACAAATGTTGTTTGCAGTTCTTCTTTAAACTTTTGGTATTCCACAGATCAAAAAGTTAAATCACAAAAATACTGAACTCCGAGGAAAATTCAAAACGGAAAGTCCCTAATCAAATGGCAAAATCAAAAGCACAAACACATCAAACGAATGGACAACAACTGTCATATTCCTGATTTGGTATAATATAGAAAGAGAAGACTGTTGATATCTTAAAAAATGACTAAAAGTACTTATAAAACCACCATTCTACCAGTTCTTAGTCATGAACATGTGTTTTGCTTGTGCTTGCCTTCTTTAATTCTGAAACGAATTTAATGATGATAGCAGATCTTTGATAATCTCTATGGAACGAATAAGCGTTTGATATATATTATGGTAAATCACTTGTTTTGTACGGCGCTAGTTGACACATTTTATAATGTGTGTATACGGTCATAAAACTTTACTCAGTACTCGGAGTACAAAATGTGTGCTCGAAACACTAAATCCAGTAATTTGATTGGTTGATTTCTGAGTTTGAGTACGATAATTGTGCTCGAAACTTTTATGTCCGCCAAGCCGGAACTGATTACACAGTAAATGTAGGTACATGTTGGACCAACATACGCGTAAAAAGTAGAAAATAAAATGAAACTTGTTACATTGAACAATACGTTATTACTATTTTATTTCTATTTATAGTGTTAAAGAATTATACAGTTATGTTCAATCAAAATATTGGAAAACTTAAAGAGGATGTCAATAACTTAACAAAAATGTATAAAAATCAGGTCAAAATACAGAGAGATATACAGACACTGATAGAGACTAATAATAGAAATAACAGGATGAAGATGGGGAAACTTGACACAAAAGATATCGTGATCCAAAAACAAATTGATGAAATAGTACGGACACAAAACACTTTTCAAAAGAAGCTGTCAGACATTTTAAAGACAGGTATGAAGAGAACCATGGGATACTTTATTTCTATTCTTAAAATTTCTTCCTTTACATTTTAAAATGATTGAAAATTGATTTCGACTGAGGTTATGTCGGAAATGTTTTTTTGCTATTTTTCAAGTTAAAAAGTAGAGATTAGTTGCCAACAATCACATATATAACTTTCATAGTTTTCAGGAACTGGTGATCTAAACTGTATAAATGTTTGAGAAGAAAGTAGGCTGCGACTGATTCCTCCGTGTCTTTTTACGTTATTTTAACAGTTCAAGATTAAAGATGTTTAAATACACAATATCTGCTGCGTTGTGTCTTAAGTGTCGTTGCCTTATTGATATAGAATTGAGAATGGAAACGAGGATTGTGTAAAAGAGACAACAACCCGACAAAAAGGCTAAAGAGGCTGAGGCCAACAATCGGTCTTCAACGCAACGAGAAATCCTGCATCCAAAGGCGGGCTTCTGCTGGCCCCTGAACAATAATGTGTAAAGTTTTATCGAAATGGACTCCACACAACTCCAAAACATATAATTTAACTAAAATTAAAAAAAGACTAACAAAGGCTAGAGGTCCCTGACATGGGACAGGCGCATAAATACATGTTTTGTGAGTTATCAACCCTCCCCTATACCTCTTGCCAATGCGGAATAAATAAATACATAGCAATATGCACAGTAAAACTCCGTTTCAAAGAAGTCCCAGTCCGATGTTAGAATAGATAACAGAATAAACTAAGCAAAATGACAATGATCAACATAAATTAACAAAGGACTACTAGCAGTTACTGACATGCCAGCTCCAGACCTCAATTAAACTGATCAAAAGATCATGTCTTCATCATATGAGAATCAAGCACAATTCCTCCCGTTAGGGGTTAAGTATCATGCCATCATAAATTATAAGAGAAAAACATTTACTCCAGCATACCTGTAAATTTTCACACTTGTTTGTACTCGACTTTCTTATATATATATTTTATTTTAAACCCCTTTTGGTAACGCAACTTCCCGTGATTTGCATTCAAATATAACGGCGTGTTTCGGGTTAAAGTAAAAAGAGACAGAATATACCAAAGGGTACCAGTCATAAGTCGAAGAAAACTAACACCACCATTCAAAAGAACGAAATACGACGATATTTTGCTATTTCAGTATACACATTGTAAATATGCATAAATCGAATAAATAAATTGGATTGGATTTAGAAGACATTGTCCTAATTATAAAAAAATAGCACTTAGTATGTTAAATAAATACTGCACACATTGTATATATTATTTATCTATTCCAGGATCCAATGCAGAGACCCATAATCAGAAAACAAACAACAGTCAACGGATCTGTCATACGTCAGGAATACATACATTGTTATTTTTTATATTTCTTTTTATTATCCATTGTGAGCGAGTTATTTGATATATATTTTAATACTTTATAAATAATATTATTGCAATAAAAGGTATTGCAATGTTGAACTATGATAAAATACCACCAACAACAACTTCTAAAAAAAGTCAATTTCTTGAGGAGCATTTTGGAGAAGTTGTAATAGATTTGAGTCGAGTGTTAATAGAAATAGGAATTCTTATAACACAAAGGCAAGACACAAATTCCTTCTTCAGAAAGACTTATGCTTCTCTGTGACCTTAATTTTTAGACTGTTTTGCATGAACAAATGCGGGATTTTGACTTGACGTATCACAGTTCTGTCGAATTCCGACTCCTAAAGGCTAAATAATTGTACCTGTTGTTAAGTTTGATTTAAATAGTCATTTGTTCTTTTATACCTCAAAGTTTCTATGATAAAACTTGCTGTTGTTCCTCGTGATTTTATTAGTCTTGAACTTTTCAATCAATTTGCTCCAATGTGTAAACTAATGCATTTTTATTTATTGTATGAAATTTAATTTCATTTCAATAGCCAGGAACAACTTCAAATCAAAGTTTTACTGGTCCGCAAAATTATTTTGTAGACTCGTGCTTCAGGTAAGTTGATTAAGATCATTAAGACGAACACTGTTCTAATTGTTTTAATGGTCTCTAAATAAAAATGATAATGAAGATGATGATCACAATCAGCTTAATGAAAATGTTAATAACTTATATAATCAGGTTATTAGATGACAATAAAGCCTTTTTAAATAACAAAAAACTGGAATTTTAAAATCAGAGACAAATTTAAAAAGTGTGGTATTTAGAGCGTTACAATATACATGATGAAAACATACAATTTTGCGAAATAAAAGACATCATCTGTCATTCTGTTTTAAATGAACATATTTCCAAATGGCATGAAGATTGAAACAGAATTAACGCTGTGAGGGGAAACGGACAAAATAATCTACGAATTACAGACAGTTTAAAAACACATTTGAGACTGAGTAATTCCTTAAGGTTAGCATGCCAACATCATACAGAAATGCTTACGCCAAGTTTAGATGTGGAGTAGCCCCAATCCGTATCGAGACCGGAAGATATAGGAAATTAATATTACAAGAACGAACTTGTTTTTTTCTGTCCGAATTCCATTGAGAACGAAGAACATGTACTTTTGTTTTGCCCGCTGTATGTTGATATTAGAGACAGTTGTTTTAATAATTTAAATGTTGATGGTTTTAATAATTTTTCTAGATAAGCTATCTGTGATTCTAGGTGGAGAAAGCAATATCCGTTTGTGTCCCAAAACCTGCAGAGAGACATTTTAGATAGACGTCGTAGATTTTTATATACATGTAGATAATTTTTTTTTTATGGTTTTAAGTTTTGAGTAATTTGTTTCTAATGTGTAAATAATCGTCTCTCGTTATTCTATATAAAAGGCTTTTACATATTTGTAATTTGTTTTAATCAATGTGTTATGTATTGGTTTGTAAAAGGTGAGACGTTAATAAAATATTGTATTGTATTGTATTGGTTATTATTGATATATTAGCTAGACTATGAGATAACTGGTGAAGAAAAATGTAAAGCTATACAAAGTTTATATAATGATAAAGAAACAGGTGATGATGAAATATTTTTTAAAAAGTACTGTTGACAAATTATTGCCTATGTATGTAAAAAAATATTCAATACTGTATTAGATACTTGGATAATTCCTGATGCATGGTTTAATAACTGGTATTATACGCAGCGATGTTAAGGCAATTTCGATAAGATTTTGTCAGGGGCAGATAACCCCGTAAGGACCTCATTATGTATTCATATATTCATTAATGGCAAAAAATCCGTAAGCAGCGTCTATCGATGAAACTGTATGAAATCAAATTACATACATGCCTGTCAACTAAAAACAGGTATTCATATGATGTAATTTGTGTATCGAAACACGAATATTGTATGTTTGTGCTATAATTATTATGGCAAACAGTTGCAATAGCTGTTTTTCTTGACGAGATTGTCGGCTTTTGGACCCCGCCTCGTTTTGCAGATTAACCAATCAGTGAACGATCGCCGTCAAAAAGATGTTTGTAGTTTGCAGAATGGAAAGAACCTTGCAGCGAAAATTATTTTCACTTCTACGTGAAAATCTAACCAGAAAAGTAAGTGTAAGCCACCAAATATGTATTATTTAGGAAACATACGTTGCTTGTTTTGTTAATCATTCGCTTCAGAAAGCGAAAAACTGCATACTATTAGATAAAAGCGAGTTCAGTGTTGGCAAGTATGATATACAGTGTATATCCACGTGTATAATACACGTGGTCAAAACGAAACTAGACTGCAACAAATATATGAAATTTGAATAATTTATCGATTCCCGTCAATAAATGAACAGAATATCGAATGAAACAAGTTTCCTGCATTATACCAAGAGCCAATTCTCAACATTTACCCTTAAATTCGTTTCAAACTTTCGTTTCGAAGCCGAAGGTATCCTGCCATTCCTGGTTGGGTACATTTGCTCCACCGTTCACTTCTCTCCGGAACCCACGTTGCTGGACTAGAGCCATGATCTCTACCTTGAAAGCATCGAGGTCTTAAAGGAGCCCTAAACACGTAATCTGGAGCTCGACCACATATGGTGTACCCCCCCCCCCCCCCCCAACCAACCTCTACTCTCACCATAAAATCAGAAAAAAGTCCCGCTTGTAATAAAGTTGCTTATTCTGTGACAACAGACCAGAGTGCGGAGGCACGAAAGTACGCAAATCACATTATCAATTTATAAATGGAGAAGGCCACAGCTCTTAAGGAACCAATAGATTAAGGGGGGTCTCATACTTATTGCTCTGAATGTTAGTCTACTACAAGCCGCTGAGACAAAAAAAATTACAACACATACAAGTCATGCAAGTGTTATGGACCAACAAGCGTAACAGTTAAAACAAACCAGACACCATGAACACAAATTAAACAAAAATAATCATAAATGAAATATCAGTTATCACACATACTTGAAAGAAGCATATTTTTATTTGGAGCTCCGCCTAAGAATCATTGCTGGTGAATCATTCAGACAATATCTCTAAACAGCTTTCACCAATCTTCATGAAACTTTGGTGAATTGTTTGAATTTATTGACAAAAGTTTTTTTTCCATTTCTATTAGGTATTTTTGATATCTGGTTTTTGAGTATTCATAATTATTTATTCATAATAAAGGGTCGAAATTATGGCGTTTTTCGGACAATGACTCAAAAACGCTTAAACAAATTTTCATGAAACTTTGCTTAAATGTAACGTAAGCTCCCTTAAGTTTTTTTTATATATTTTAGATTTTACTTATTCCAGTTATGGGATTTTGTTCATAAAAATTTTCATGAATTGTGCCACTGTGCGCAAGTTTTTATTTTTATCTTGTATACCCCCACTTTTAGTCTTTAAAAAAGTGGGGGTACAAATGTACTGTTTTACTTCTGTCTTTACATCCTAAAGTCAGTCGGTCCGTCCGTCCCATGAATATTTTGTGTCGCATCTTTCTCAGGAACATTACAGGGATTTCTGAAATTTCAGGTTTTAGAGTTTATATGAGTCAGCTATACCGTGTCATGCTTTTTCAGATTCATCACTCAACAACTTCCTGTTTACCTTATACTTTAAGGGTATGGGGGTATAATAAGTGAGCAGTAAATCAAAGATTCACTTGTTTTTTATACGCCCGTTTACGGGACGTATTATGGTATACCTTTGTCCGTCAGTCTGTCCGTCCGTTTGTCCTTCGTCAACATATCGGACATTAACTCAAAAACGCTTAAACCAATTTGCATAAAACTTTGATGAATTGTTTATACCTATTGACGTGAGCTCTCATTCGTTTTTTTTAATTTTAGATTTAACGTTTCCGAGTTATTGGGTTATATTCGTTAAAAAAAGGGGGATTTTCCAGTTTTCGGACAATAACTCAAGAATGCTTTCACCAACTGGCAAGAAGTTGTGGTGAATTGTTTATATCTATTGACATGAGCTCCCTTTTGATTATTATAAATTTTAGATTTTATGTTTCTGAGTTACAGGTTTTTATTCATATAAAAATGGTGGATTTTCCAGTTTTCGGACAAAAACTCAAAAATGCTTTCAGCAGTTCTTATGAAACTTTGGTGAATTGTTTATATCTATTGATGTAAGCTCCCTTTAGAGTTGTATAAATTTTACATTTTACATTTCTGAGTAATGGTGTTTTATTCATTAAAAAAGGGGGGATTTCCCAGTTTTCGGAGAATAACTCAAAGATGAGGGGGGGGGGGGGGGGGGGGGGGGGGGGCTGGCTGGCTATTTTGAGCAGTGAGTGCTCTCAGCATTTCTAGTTAATCATCATGATCATAAAAATTAATTTAAGACATAAAGACGAGCTAAAATGACAACACGCGTATCATGTGTTCATGGCACAGCTCTTTATTTGCATAGGATGAAGCAATTCCAGAAATCTGAGAAAAAATAGGCATTATATCTACATGTGTATGAATAAAATTCTGATATCAAATAAGGGTTGTGTGGCAGACGTAATTTCTTTATTCAAGAAATTATATGAATCATTATACAAGTTTATGCTCCTTATTTTAAAAAAAGTATCTATTTGTAATTAAATAACTACTTTCTCTTTTTTTTTTTTTAGCTCACCTGTCAATTACAAGATACAGTATGCCATTCCAGCTTTGATAAATATAAAGTAATGGTTTGAATTTGGAGAGCTTTATTATTATAGACAGGTAAATTGTTTTATCCTGCAATTAGCACACTATTGTACAATGAGGCAACTCTCCTCAAGAGTCCAAATGATGCAGAAATTAACAACTTTAGGTCACCTTATGGCCTTCAACAATGAGCAAAGCCCATAGTCCATTATATAACAGGCCCTGAGGTGACATATGTAAAACATTTCAAAGGAGAAAACTAACGGCCTAATTAATGTAAAAAAAAATGAATGAAAAAACAAATATGTAACACAGCAACATATGACAACCGCTGAATTACAGACACATACATACAGAATGTGGCGGGGTTAAACATGTTAGAGAGCCTGGCTTTCTTCCTGTTTTATAATTTGTGCAAATAAATTTCTGTTTTCTTGCATTGTAAGAATATTGTATGATGTAAATTCAGAAATTATTGCCATATTTTTATAAGGCAACTTTGAATATCGCAATTATAAGAATTCATATTCTGAAATCTATACATATAAGTAAATGTACAAGTATGTAGATTTTTCTGAAATCACAATTATTAATCTCACTTTTTTGTCCATTTTTCAAAATTTGCATTAATAAATGTACCCAAAATCATGATAATTTTTATTCGACTGCAGTCGTATATTGGTATGACATTGGCGTCGTTGTCGTCCGAAGACACATTTGTTTTCGCACTCATACTTAAGTTGTGTGTTAATGTATGGATCTCTATGAAATTTTACCATAAGGTTCAATACCACAAAAGGAAGGTTGGGATTGATTTTGGGGGTTATGGTACCAACAGTTAAGGAATTAGGGGCCAAAAACAAGCATTTTTGTAACTTCCAGACATAACTTGTGTGTTAGTGTATGGATCTCTCTGACATTGTACCACAAGGTTCCATATCACAAAGGGAATGCTGGGATTGATTTTGGGGGTTATGGTACCAACAGTTAAGGAATTAGGGGCCAAAAATAAGCATTTTTCTAGTTTCCTGACAATAACTTGTGTTCAAGTGTATGAATCTCTCTGAAATTGTACTGCAAGGCACCATACCACAAAGGGAAGGCTTGGATTGATTTTGGGGGTAATTGCCTCAAAATGTTAGGAATTAGGGGCCAAAAAAAGGGGCAAAAAACAAGCATTTTTCTAGTTTCATGACAATAACTTGTGTGTACGTGTATGGATCTTTCTGAAATTGTACTACAAGGTTCCATATCACAAAGGGAAAGCTGGAATTGAGTTTGGGGGTAATTGCCCAAAACGTTTAGGAATAAGGGGACAAAAATAAGCATTTTTCTAGTTTCCAGACAATAACTTGTGTTCAAGTGTATGGATCTCTCTGAAATTGTACTGCATTGTACCATACCACAAAGGGAAGGCTGGGATTGATTTTGGGGGTAATTGCCTTAAAATTTTAGGAATTAGGGGCAAAAAAGGGGCAAAAAACAAGCATTTTTCTAGTTTCAGGACATAACTTGTGTGTAAGTGTATGGATCTTTCTGAAATTGTACTTCAAGGTTCCATATCACAAAGGAAAAGCTGGAATTGAGTTTAGGGGTAATTGCCCTAAATGTTTAGGAATTTGGGGCCAAAATACAAGCATTTTTCTAGTTTCCAGACAATAAATTGTGTTCAAGTGTATGGATCTCTCTGAAATTGTACTGCATTGTACCATACCACAAAGGGAAGGCTGGGATTGAGTTTAGGGGTGATAAAACATAAGGGGGTTCAAAAAATTGGGGGGGGGGGGGGTTTCCTTTTTTTCTTTAAAATTTTCCATTTTGAATTGGTTATTTCTGATTTATATATAAAAGCAAATAATAATGATATGGTTTGAATAGGTAAATTAAAAAAATTTAAGTTCTTAGACCACATTCATTCTGTGTCAGAAACCTATGCTGTGTCAAATATTTAATCACAATCCAAATTCAGTGCTGTATCAAGCTTGAATGTTGTGTCCATACTTGCCCCAACTGTTCAGGGATTCGACCTCTGCGGTCATACCAAGCTGCGCCCACATAGCATTTTATTTAATTTAATGAAGTATCTGTACCAACAATAAAATTCATTTACACAGACATGACAGATATTAATACAATAATATACTGAACTTGCTAGCTAAAATTTCTTAGCTGTGGATTACTGATATTGATATTGAAGTATTCCTGTCATCATGGTCATAGTTTACATTTGGAAAAGGAGATACAAAACAATATCGTTAAACATAATACATAAGTTTAAATATTTATTACATTATACATCTTATAGGCACATCTGGGTTTTTCATTTAATTTTAAAGTTTTATAAAAGTAGTGCACCTTATTAAAATGTGTGTGGAAAATTAAATTCTTGTTCAAATGTTGAATGAAGACATTATAAAATAAGGACATGGGAATTATTAATTTATTTTGTAAGCATTTTAACAGTAAATTCTTGAAGAAGTATGTTTGCACTAACTTTTGATTACTTTTCACATGTTGAAAATTTCATTTAATATATATCATATTTGCATTTTCATATTTCAGGGATGATGACCTGCAGTGAGACAGCAGTAGAAAGTTACTTATAACTCATCATGGCCATTATGGAAGATCTGATTAAAATTTGTTTAGAAAGCCACCAAATATGTCCATGAAAAGTAGAAAAAAGACAGCAAATCTACATAATGTACTAAGCAGAAGCATTGACTGTTTCAAGACCAAATGAATTGGAATTTAGTGTTTTGATGCTGAGAGACAGAGGAATATTAACTGGACAATTTAGCTTCTTTTTCATCATCATTGAAGTTGATGTTTACCATCTTAAAGAGCTTTAAGCTCAGTTAAAATGAATTCTAAATATAGGCAGTTTGGAGATTTGTGAATGTTCTTACAATTGGAGTTTCAAAAAAGGATTTCATTTAAAAAAAATGTATTTCACTGATGTAATTTGTTGTCTCTTTCATGAAATATTTGAAAAATCTGCAATATCTAACCAAGTGAGAGATCTACAGATCATTTGCAGATAGACATATATATGATATTCAGTTGAACTGTAAAGAAGGAAATATTCATTTATAAGACTTATATGAGTGTTTTGTTATTTTTATGGCAAGTACAGGGAAAAGATAAAGTAATTTGATTTAAACATTAATCCTACCTACAGATATACACGAGATATACATGTAGGCATACAATTCACTGATGCACGACAAATGGAGTTACATGTAATTTTAGAACTAAGAATATGACATACATGTATGATTGCCAATGAAACAACTCTCCATCAGAGAACAAATAGTCAAATATTGTCCACCAGAGAACAAGAAAATCATATTTTATCATGATTTATATTTCAATTTCATTTCATAACACAGACTACAGGTTTACAAAAAGTTCAAAAGTATAATAAAAGTGTTTTAATTGCAGTTGTTGGTCATATTGATGTTGGCCTTCAATACTGAGCAAGACCTCTGTACACATGTAGCAGCCACAGAATGTTTGAACCAAAAAATTATGGGTATTTTTCTTTGCTTGCATTTATATCATGTAGCTGCTATTTTGTACATATGTACATTTTCATACATGTTCACGAATCACGTGTATCTAGTTTGTCTACCGGTATACTTGGAAATCTGGAAATTTTGCATGTTTTCATATTAGTCAAGTTAAAATTGGTTAAACCATTGTATTATTTTGGTTAAAAAATATAAATTGATTTAAATGAGACTGCAATAGTTAATCTCACATTTTTCGTCCTTTGTTCAATAATTATAATAATCTAGGGAATAAATTTTACTAAAAAATATCTGTGTATTTTTAAAAGATATATAAACTTGGAAACTTGTGATGGAATATTTCCACAGTATAAGAGATTCTTATATCTAGCAGGTTTAGCAAAAGATGTTGGGTATACCATGTATACATGTATGGCAATGAGACAGCATTCCCAACACAGACAGATATTACTTTCTTCTTATTTTAAATTTAAAATTGAGAATGGAACAGCAGAAGGTCACCAATAGGTCTTCAATGCAGCGAGAAATTCTCGCACCTGGAGGCGTCCTTCAGCTGGACCCTAAACAAATATATATACTAGTTCAGTGATAATGAACTCCATACTAAACTCCAAATTATACACAAGAAATTAAAATTAAAAATGATACAAGACTTACAGAGGCCAGAGGCTCCTGACTTGGGAAAGGCGCAAAAATGCGGCGGGGTTGAACATGTTTATGAGATATCATATTTATGTAGTACAGCTAGAATTTGATATAAAAATAAGATGATGTGGTATAATTGTCAATGAAGTTTTGATTAAAAATTAAGTTGTGTTACTTTTTGTGATTGGGTCAGGTAAAGATTAACCCATGATTTTTGGTAGGTAGCAGTTTTATAAGCATTTACATGTACATATCATTTTTACTTTCCATGCTGACTATTTTGTCCTGTCCCCTATATCATGATTCATTCATCTGAAACTTTTGGATTGTGTTTACATGTATGTAAAAATAGTTAGTAAGTTATTTCTGTATTTTTATACATACTGGTACATAGAATTTCTTTTATTCGGACAGAAAAGAAATACCATTTCAGTTGGCTCCAATCTCAGCAGTTGATAGGAAATAAGTTTTCTGATTTTAACATCTTTAAGATGAACCTTAATTAAAATATTATGGCACTTCATAACGAAAACACAATTGATTGATTGTGCTGAATGTCACGTAAGCACTTACGGCTTTTTCTTTGTTGTCCATTTGTATTGGTGGACACTTTGTACAGTAGGCAGGAATTTAATATGAAATAAGCGGCAGAAAAAAATAGGTCACTTAGTATTTCCAACTTCATGATAAAATTGTATACTTTTAAGGTTGAGAAATTAAGATGATATATATGCCAAGGCTGCAGATTGAATAATTTGTACATGTACATGTACCTAAATCTGAAACAAATCACAGATGAAATTAAAATTAGTCATACATGTATATGCATCTGATATAATTTTTCAAACTGGTTATCGCTTTATGATATAAATATACATGTAGCATGATGTAGTGTAAGCATAAATTATAGAGCACAAAGTTTTTTTAAGTTTGGGTTACTCAATGCCACATCTTCTAATCCTTATTCCAAAAAGGTAGTTTGTGCAAATATTAAAACTTACTCGTCCCCATGTTAATGCTGGTGTATGCCTTTGAATCCCAAACAAAATAAAATGAGTAAAAGGAGGGCAGAATGATTTTACCAAGTAACTGTAAGGATGTTAGAATAAGTAAAATATTGCTCCAGATGAGTTGAAAAGGAATATTCTGTGCAATAACATGCAGGAAATAACTATGGACATAATAAAAAAAAGCAAGCCATACAAAAAACTGGCATGGCAGCTGGTGTAAATTCATAATCATTTAGATGCAAAACAATCGCCCTGCCCCCACCAGAATGAATTCAAAAAGACCTCCCAATCATGATTTACAAATTGATACCAGTCACACTTGATAAGCAGGAGATATTCAACAAATAAAATCTGGATATATTTATGCAGGTAGGAGTTTATAATTATAATTTAAACATTACCAATGACATGCCGAACAAATAAAAAATCATGAATTTTGGTATAAAATTCTCTGTGAAAATGCAACTTTTTTCATTAAAATTTTAATGGTTCACAATACACAAACACTAGAAGAGACCTAGTAGGCTAATCTATTAATTTATATAATGAACTTGCACTTGGAAAATGAGAACTATACAAGCACACCAAATGCGGATTCCGGATTTGAACAAAAAAAAGGAGGAAGGCTGCATGCCCCAAGACTGTATAATAATGACCTGAATAATTCTGATTTTTTTCCTTCATTAAATTAAGCAAGCAATAAGACCATATTTGTTTATTCGCCCAATCATATCATGTATGACATGAAACGCCGGTGAAAACAAAATATACACTTAGTTTTTCCGTCAGCCGATCCGACTACTACAGGGTCTTTCGAACGCTTTTTTCTTGCATTTCAGGGCGATTATGCTACTACATCTTAAATTAATTGAAAAGTGCAGGTACAAGAGCTATACCAACCCACTCCATTCTGGTATTGGTAGAAACGCCACATTTCAAATTTTTCAAAAAGTGCTGCTACTAGTTATATAACGTTCGTGTAAAAGAAATTTCACAACCCGAAGTGCCAAAAAGTCAATAAATCGATAGAATTCTCCATGTTTTATTGTTTTTTATTTACAAAACCTCTAATAAAAAACTAGTGGCAGCACTTTTCCAGTAAAATAAGTTATCCTGATTACAGGGAGACCAAAATCAGGGCGATCCGATTTCATCTTGCACCTGCACTTTTGACTTTTTTGGAAAAGTCTTTACTTTCAGTTTGAAGTCACGTGACACTAGTGTATTTATATTTTTCTATAAATAAAAGTTTGGAATGTAAATCTGAATAGACCCTTTTCTCTCCGTTTACTCCTATGACGTGTATTTTGGCTTTTAAACAGAGAAAACTAACTCTGAGTTCAATATGATTTTTCTTGTGTATAAAAATGGGAAATTTCTTAAAACGACCTTAACATCCCTGCGTAAACCTGTATTTAAAAAATAGGGAGATAAAAATGATCTCGATAATTATCGGGCACTTTGCTTGACCTCAAACTTAGGCAAAGTGTCGGTTATTTTCCTGATTTTGTGAATTCAGTGAAGAGAATGGCAAATAGTATTTTTTAATTTGTATTTAATGTATTAGTTAGAAAAATATAGATTAAATGTAAATGCACGATAGTTTGTGTATACATTCAACCTTTATTTTTAAATATTTTAATGTATCTGTTCCGAATTTGATAAAAAAATAACTTTCACACTCAAGATTTTGAGCATATATTTATTAAAATTCAGTATAATTTTATTCTTTTAACGTGCATTTATAATTTTCGTGTATCTTGCACGTCTCATTCCCGATCATGTGACAGTTTATTATAAAATCGGTTGCGGGTACGCGTAGCCTACGAAGGCCAATTTGGCTACGCGTACCCGCATGCAGACACTGCCATTAAACAATGACTGAGAGCACAACATGGTACATTTTAGTAAAAAATATACATGACTATATCATTGTATATCAAGCAATGTTAATTATATAATAAAATCTAGGATGTTATTCACTTACATTCTGCCAACACTTAAAGTAGGAACTATTTCTAGGACTCTCGTGACTGTGTGGTAAACAATTTGTGAGGTGGTGTTTGATTAGCATATCAATAGAACAACAACAATGTCAACATGCAACTGCAAACTCGTTATTTTGTTGATTGATTTTATTTTTGTCATTCAATATCGAGTATTATGACTTTATCAATCATTTGTAATGGATATTATGTCAAATAATCGAATAGTTTATCTTTTTATGTCATATTCGTGAAAAAAGTTGAAATCGCAAGTACCTTGCGATTTCCTTTCGATAATTTTCAATAGCACAATTCATTTTGGCCGTCTTGTTTGAAGAGTTTTTACAGTGCGATTATTATTGTCATTTAGATAGACCAAAAGACCATGTTATGAAATATAATGTGGCAGACTTACGTGTCATTCTGATATGTACGATCCGCTAAATCAACCTTTTTGTAAACATAAAACTTGATCTTCCCCGCATAAACATGGCGTTTGCATTATAGTAAGGAGTTGTTTCCCCTTACTGCAAATACATTTCCGGAAACTGGTTCCTGGTGATAAAAAAAAATCGGTAAACTTTTGCACCAATTCCGGAAAATTTCCGTACTGCATAACGAATCGAAGATACAGTTTTCATTTCTTAATTTCTAAAATATACACGAACGAAATAAATAAACATTAAAGAAAGGTGA